ACGTGCGGAATCAGCCGTCAGGGAAGTGGAGCCGCGCCGTGGCGAGTCGCTTTAGAATGTAGTCACTTTTATGCGGCAGCGGGCGTCGCGTTGCGTCGTCATCTCGAGATCTCGACGAGGATCTCGACGGGGATCTCGCCGGGCCGGAAGGCGAGGCGGAAGGCCGCGCGGAAGGCGAGTTGGACAACGAGACCCTCTGGCCGCCGTTCGTGGCCGCCGGCCCCGCCGGCAGTTTGCACGCGTCGTTTCAATGTCAAGGGCTGAGCAGCGCGCCGAGCGCCGCCGCCTGATGGCATCTGCGCTATGCGTTCGAGCGGCGGCGGTGGTGCACACTCGACGACGTCGTTAAGGGGCGTTGCGACACGTTTGTGTGTGTGTGTGTGTGTGTGTGTGTCTTTTTTCCACGCCACCACCTGACTAAAACGCGCGCGGCGCAGCAGCAGGACGCGGTCGAAATTTGTGCTGACGGCGTCCGTGTTTGAGTTTCTGATGACGATCTCCAGCGGCAGCAGAACGGCGGCGGCGCGCGCACACACACGCGCGCACTTGCAAATCGTTTGCCGCTCTGTCTCTGTCGCGCTCACTGAGTACTGATGCGAGAGAGACGGAAACAGCCTGCAGCCACGGGGTCGAAAGCATACGTCGCGGCGCGACGCACAGTGGGCCAGAAGGCCGGTGGAGGCGGCCAAAATTCCAGACGCGTTTTGAGCTCCAGAGTCGCTGAAAACGACTCGAGCCGACCGAGTGACCCCACCAATGGATTGCTCTCCGAACGAGGAATCCATTGGTGGGGTCACACGCCCGGCTCGAGTCCCATTTAGCGACTCTGGAGCTCAAAACGCGTCTAGAGTTTTGGCCGCCGGCGGCGCCGGCCTTCTGACCCACTGTGCAGCGCGTCCCCGTCGACGCCGTGCTTTAGGCCCGCGCCCCGAGCGTTTTGTTTGCCCGGCTTGGCGGTTTTTCTTCCTCCTTGGGCGTTGAGCGTTGGAGGTGGACGTTGGACCGCGCGGCAGAGTGGCAGAATCGCCTTGCCTGCCTCGCCTGCGTCTGATTGTCCCGGCGTCCCGGCGTCCCGGTGCTGCCCGGTGCGCGGGGGCCGCCGGCGTTGCCATGACGACGCGCTGCCGGCCAATTATCGCGTCGCCCGGCCGGACAATCATCGCCATCATCGCCGTGCTCGCCGTGCTCGAGGAGAGGCACCGCCCGGCGCCGCGCCGTCGTTGCGTACGCCCTACGGCCCCACGAGTGCGACAGAGACGGCGATCCTTGGGAATCGCCCGCCCCGCCAGCACCGCACAGTGGGCCAGAAGAGCGGTGGAGGCGACCGAAACTCTAGACTCGTTTTGAGCTGCAAAGTCGCTAAACAGGGCTTGAACCGGACGTGTAGCCCCATCAATGGATTCCTCATTCGGAGAGCAATCCATTGGTGGGGTCACACGTTCGACTCGAGTCCCGTTTAGCGACTCTGGAGCTCAAAACGCGTCTAGAGTTTTGGCCACCTCCACCGCTCTTCTGGCCCACTGTGCACCGCCAGCACCGCAACGCCCCCGCGGCATGAGAAACTGCCGCCGCGCCGCGCCTGTCGAGATGGCATCTTCGGTGGGCCTTTGGACCTCCCTTCGAAAAGCGCTCGGCCTGTATTACACTCGTTCTGGCCGAACGCGAGACGTTCTTCCCGGACCGTTTGCAGTTTCTGGGTTCCGACGCGGCACTTGGCCATGGCGGAGTGCGCTTTGGCTTTGGCCCCGCGAGCCCACTTAGCATTCGGACGCACGCCTCGGCACGCCTGCACTCACTCGCTCACTCACTCACTCTTTGGCGCGACTTGCGACTCTGCGGTCCGCTGCGGTCGGAGGAGGCCGCCCTCCGCTCTCCCCACACAGTCATCCTCTCTTGACAAAAGAGCGTGCACCGACCGTGCGCCGCGCGGGCGGAGCCGCCAAGCCCAGATGCACGTGTGTGTGTGTGTGTGTGTGTGTGCAACGGCTTGCACGCCGCACGCCCCCCACATGCGCGGCCGACAACACACTGCACGCGGCCTAGAAAGCCAGAGCGGCGCCCGAAAGCCAGGCAAAGGCCATGTGGCTGGAGCGGAGCAGCGAAGCAGGGCCGCCGAAATAGACTTGTATCGCTGGGCGGGCCTGGCGGCCCTGGCGGCCCTAGAGGCCCGATCAACCGCGAGCACATGTCGGGACAGAGGGAAGGCCCTGCAGGGCCGCCGAGCCGCCATCTGCAGCGCAGCCGCACCGCCGGCCGGTGGTTTCGGAGGGGCTTTCTCGTAACCCGCACAACGCCATTCATGTGTGGATGTGTGCCCTCCCGCCGTTCATTCCCACACACTGGAAAAAGGGCCTAATTCGGTAATACCACGCTCTGGAGTTCGAGAGAGAGAGTTCAAGAGAGAGTTCAAGAGTTCAAGAGAGAGAGAGAGAGAGAGAGAGAGAGAGAGAGAGAGAGAGAGAGAGAGAGAGAGAGAGAGAGAGAGAGAGAGAGAGAGAGAGAGAGAGAGAGAGAGAGAGAGAGAGAGAGAGAGAGAGAGAGAGAGAGAGAGAGAGAGACAGACAGACAGAGACAGAGACAGACAGACAGACAGACAGAGCTGCGCAAAGCTGTTGGGGATCCGACTATAACGCCGGCCGTTCTCGCGTGCCGTGCGCGTCGCTTAGCGTGTTTCAAACGCGTCGATCTACGCTACAAGGAAATCGAGTCGGCGATCTGAAATCGAAGCGCGCTCCGAAGAGGTGACGTCATTCGGCCTTAGATGAGGTCAGGCTCGGCTCCCCCGGCGTGGAGCGTGCCTGCCGGGGGGCTGCCGGAACGGCCGGAACCCAGCAGGCATTCCGAAAAGTACTCGCCCGCTCTAACACGTCAGAGGTTTCACCAGGTGGTACAGTTGGTTCAGTCAAAGTTGGCGGGACTAGGACCAAAGAAAACCTTTTCAGGGGGTCTCATTGTCTGAGTGCTAACTGCGCTCGTTCCGGTCATTATAAGTGTTCGATCCCTTTGTAAGGTGCAGGTTCCGGCGCATCTTCTCTGCAAACTGAAGTGTGTACATAGTACACTCTTATTAGAGCATGCTTCCAAGTACACACTTATTTACAGCATACTTGCTAGGCACACGCTAAATAAGTGTGTACATTGCATGTACACGCTAAATAAGAGTGTACCTGGCAAGTACACTTAAACTGGCCCATGCTTTTAGATAGGACTAATCGAGTATATTTTAGTGTGTACTTGCAAGGTACACACTTATTTAGCGTGTACTTGCCAGGCACACTCTATTTTAGCGTGTGCCTAGCAAGTATGCTGTTAATAAGAGTGTACTTGGAGGCATGCTCTAATAAGAGTGTGCTATGTACACACTTCAGTTTGCTGAGTTGGGGACTGTTTGCCACACGCATAATGTCACAAGGAATAGACCTGCATAGGAAAGGCTCGCCGGCCCGCCAACTTTGACTGAACCAACTAGAAAACCGGGATCGGGATCGACTGTTTTACTCGTGGAGCTCCAGCACTGCGAAGGACGCTCCTGCGTCAGTTCTAAAAACACACTGCGGACTTAATGCGGTTTATTGACGCTGGTGCACCGTGGGAACTGTAGTGGCAACACTGGCGAGGCTTGGAGTAATACGCGACTCCGAGTCGCTGGTCCTGGCTGCTGGCGGCGGTTGGCGGCAGTGCACTCCATTAACGCACGCGCCTCGAAGACACGAAGAGGAATCCCCGCCAAGCGCCGCCAAGTGAAGCGTAGTCAACCACTCACTCGGCCGAGTCCGCACGGGCAAACCAGTTTCGGACCCGTAAACCAATAAACCGACAAACCGACCAGAGAGCTGCAATCAGCAAGCGGACGATTCGTGATGTGCATGTGTGTGAGTGCGTGCGTGTTTGTGCGACTGCTGCATCTCCTCGTCTTCCGCTAATTGTACAGCCCGAACCAATCACACACGCACACACACACACACGCGCACACAGAGAGAGAGAGAGAGAGAGAGAGAGAGAGAGAGAGAGAGAGAGAGAGAGAGAGAGAGAGAGAGAGAGAGAGAGAGAGAGAAAGAGAGAGAAAGAGAGAGAAAGAGAGAAAGACAGACAGACAGACAGACAGACAGACAGACAGACACACACACACACACACACACACACACACACAGGCACGCACGCACGCACGCACGCACACCGCGCGCGGGCAACAGCTTCGCCGCGGCTCCTCCATCAGGCCGTGACCCTCGGCGACCTGCCCGTCGGGCCCGTCTGGGAGGCCGCGCCCTGGCCTGCAGCGAGGCGTTCCGAACCCGCGCGTCACCGCGCACGCCGCGCTCGCCGTCTCGAAGTCCCGCAGTCTCGAACCTCGAACGCGGCCGCCGCCGCCGTTGCGTAAAGGCAGCTCGACCCCGGTGGCGCTGGCAGGCTGTCGCTGTCGCAGCGCGCGACCGGAGCCTCGTCCACCTCGTCCTTGCCGTGAAGCACCTCAAGTTTTTATAGCGGCTCGCCCCGGGCGACAAGGCACGCGCGCGTGTGTCCGGAATCCTGAATGACTCGAGCGTGAGGCGCCGACAGCCGCCGGCCAGGAGGGCTGTGGTGTACTGGTGTACCTGCACGGCAAGCGTGCTCCCGGACTCCCGGGTGGCACGTCCCGTTAACGGCTAGAGCGACCAGCTTAAAATAGAAAACACAATTTATAACGATAAAAATAAAATGAAAATAAAAACTTAAACTTATGCAGAGTGGTTACAACGGTGTGGTGACAGCGAGCGTGGCGATACTCTGCCGGAGGCGACTGACATTTAATCAATTGGCACTGTTCCAGATGGCTCGACGGGAGGGTCGGGCAGCCCCAGCCCCTGCAGCTCGCTGGGCGGCTCGAGCTCCAGCTCGCCGGGGCCCGGGGCGCGCAGCGTGACGCCGGCGCACGGCGCCCTGGCCCTCTTCTCCTTCGCGCTGCCCGCCCGCCAGGCCAAGCTCACCTACAAGGAGCAGCAGCAGGGCCTGCGCCGCGCCATGGAGAAGGCCCCCGGCATGGCGGCCGGCGCCGCGCTGGCCACCCTGGAGAAGGGAGGTGAGTAGGACAGGCCGACTCGCTGTGACGCGGACCCTGGCCGATTCTGCGGAGCGACGTTCGCCTGCCCGTCGGCGCCCTGGCCGTGGCCAAGGCCGTGGCCTCGCTGTTGCATCGCGTGAAGTAGGAGCGGCTTTGGCGGTCGAGGCGGCAGTGAAGATTTGGAAGCCGCGGCCGTGGGGAATCGAACATCCCGCTGGGCTGCCTGCGCCTCACGGCCGGCGGAGGCCGTGGACGCCGAGGCCGTAAACGCCGAGCTCGGAGAGCCACAAGGTGAGGGCGGCGGCGCCCGTCAGCAGCAGCGCCGCCGGCACCGTCACCCACAGCCTGCTGGGCCTCGGCCTTGTCCGCGGGGCACGGCGCGGCGCTACGCGCGGCGAGGCCGTGGGGGTGTTTGGCCTCGGCCGGGATCGCGACCGCGACCGCAGCCGCTGGCGGGGGCGGCTCTGATGCACGGCCTGCGTCACCGCTTCAAGGACGGCCACTTCCGGCCTCGGCCTGCAGAGGGAGAGAGACAGGTAGAGTGTGTCCTGGCCGAGGCCCTGCAGCAAGTGCACGAAGTGCAGCAACCCGTACCGGACCGACCACATGAGCTCTTCGCTGCCGCCGTAGCCCAGGCCGTCGCCGAGGTCGCTCGCCGCCCTGGCCTCCCCCTCGGCCGAGGTGGACTCGCTCGAGTCCGAGCCCGCGTCCCTGCTCGCCGAGCCGTCTTCGGCCACGCAACTAGACAGCTGCACCCACGAGTACTCAAATAGCGTCTCATTCTCAGAAGTGAAAAAAATGGTTCCTAGTGGGTATTTGAACCACGGCCCTACCGACGGCTCGCTGCCCTGCGGGCTGAAGCCCTCCAGCCCACCACCGGCGTCCCCCGTGTCCGGCCCACTAGGCCAGCCCAGCAGCGGCGCTCCGCGGCCTCTGCGCCGGTTGCTCGGGGCCTCGCCGCCCGCCGAGTGCAGGGTGTAGCGGTTCAGGGGCCTCTTGGGGCTGAAGGGCACCGCCACTCCGACCGCCACGTTCATGTCGAGCCAGGGCTCCATCTGCGTCGCAGAGGGGAAACCTTTGGTTTTCTCCAACCCGACACTAAGCGCCGACGCCGCCAGGCGGGCATGTGTCGGGCCCGAAATGGCATACGATCACGTGTGGTCGGGCCCTTAATGGTAATGGTAATGGTAATGGCACTGATGCGGGTAGGCAACCCGCTCGCACTCGTGTGCGCGCGCGGCCTACCCGCCGCAGCGCAGGCGTTACGGGTCCGCTGTGGCGTCCACTCACTCCCATCCCCACGGGAAAGGTCGGCAGCTCCACTGTGTAGTCGAGCTGCGGCACCACAAAACAAGGTTTAAATGCACGTTTTCTAGTGTGCTGGCTGGTTTGATGTTTGCTGCGGGGAAAAGCCGCACCATGGCGTCCTCCGCGGCGGGGTGCCGCACCAGCTGCGGCGATGTGCTGTTCGGCGCGGCCGTCTGGGGCTCGTCCTCGTCGGCGTCCGAGTCCCACGTGTCGCACCCCGTCAACGCGCACAGGTCCGCGTCGCCGAAGTCCGCCCTGGGAAGGGAATGAGGCTCGTCTGAGTGTGGCTCTCCCGCCTAACGCGACCGAAATGGCCTCCCAGCTTCCGGCCTGCGCGGCCTCCCCCTCGGCCTCCCCGTCGTGCCCGTCGTCTGGCGACTCACCGCGCGGCGACGACGGCGGCCTCGAGGGCTTTGAGCTCGCCGCCGTCCCGGGGAGGCGCGACGGGCGTGGCGCAGGCAGGGACGACTACGGTGGCCTCCGTGGTGGACACGGCCTCCGCGGCGGCGATGGCGATGGCGGCCTCGTCGGTGGTGACGATGGCGGTGGCGGCCTCGTCGGTGGTGACGATGGTGGTGGCGGCCTCGTCGGTGGTGACGATGGCGGTGGCGGCCTCGTCGGTGGTGACGATGGCGGTGGCGGCCTCGTCGGTGGTGACGATGGTGGTGGCGGCCTCGTCGGTGGTGACGATGGCGGCCGGCGCACTGGCGCGAGGTGACGCCCTCAAGTCCCTCAAGTTGGGCAGGGCGGGGGCCTTCTTGACCAGCGCGCCGTCAGACTGGGCGGCGACGGACACCTCCCCGGCGGACGCCTCGTCGCGGCGCGGACGGCGACGCGAGCCCGAAGGTGGAAATGGTCCGCTCGTTGCGGTAGCTCGGCGCCAGGATGATGGACGCCGCCGCGCCCGTCGCCGCCGCCTCCTTGACGAGCAGCCCCAGGCCGCCAGGGCCCACCCCGTGACTTGCCCCTGGCGGCGGCAGCGCGCTCAACGAGGACGAGTCCCGGCCGAGCCAGTCCCCGGGGGTGTCCGCGGCCAACGAAACCTCCCGCGGCGTCCTCCATTTCCTGCGCCGCGGTGCTGGTGGTGCTGCCGGTGGCCCCTTGCTCCTCTGCGTCGTCGCCAGGACCGTCCTGGCCCACTTGGGTCTGTGGGCCCACAACACGGCGATGTTCACGTGCTGCACTGGAAGGCGTGCCACGATTTTTGTACGGACCTCCGGGGCGTCGTCAAGACCGTGGTGGTGATCCTGTGCCGTCCATTGCTGCTCCGCGTCCCGCAGCGCGCCGCTCCCGTCCGTCTGCACTGCCACGGAGGTGAACGATGGCGTGGGTGTCTTCACCGCGGCGCGGCCTTGTCCGGCGACTCCTGCGCCTGGACCGCGACCGCGGCGGGCGTTGGCGCCGACGCGGGGGGCAGCACCTCCGCCTCGGACGAGGCGGACGCCGGCGTGCGCACGGCCGGGGACGAGGTGGATGCGGTGGACGCGACGGACGCGGGCACGTAGACGGGGAACGCCTTGATCGGCAGCCGTTTCTGCGCGTCAAGACCATCAAGACCGTCAAGAACGCGTTGCACGCCACGCACTTTGCAGAGCCACGTTTGGTGTCGGCGCTGTTCGCGTGCCTTCACCTTTTGCGGGCCGATGAGCCGCTTGGGGCTCGACGCGGCGCGGATGGCGCGAGGCCGCGGGGACCCCGGCAGGGGCAGCAGGACCTCGGGGAAGTCCAGCGGGTCGTACGAGTCGGGGCCCTTGGTCGGCACCCCGCCGCCCAGGACGAGCTGCAGCTTGTTGGCGCGCGGCGACAGGGGCGACAGCGCAGGCAGCCCCGGGGCGCTAACACTCGCCCGCCGCAGAGCGTTGCCCAGTGGAGCGGGCGAGGGCGAGGCAGCCAGCGCGGCGCCCAGCGAGCGGTGCGTGGACGTGCTGCACACAGCGCCAAGCGCCACCACACAGTGGGCCAGAAGACCGGTGGAGGCGGGCAAAACTCTAGACACGTTTTGAGCTGCAGAGTCGCTGAATGGGACTCGAACCAAACATGTGACCCCACCAATGGATTCCTCATTCGGAGAGCAATCCATTGGTGGGGTCACACGCTCGGTTCGAGTCCCATTCAGCGACTCTGCAGTTCAAAACGCGTCTAGAGTTTTGGCCGCCTCCACCGGTCTTCTGACCCACTGTGCACCAGTTCCCCTTGACTGCACTCAACCACTGTGCGAGAATGGGGAGGAAACGGCTTCGGACTGGGCCTTCCCTCGTACCTCGCGCGGCTGCCGCCGATCAGGCTGGCGGACCGCTGCGGCGACGACGTGGACGACGGCGTGGGCGTCACCAGGACGAGGTCCGTCCTGCTGGAGAGGAAGTTCTGCAGCACCGTCGGGACCTTGATCCGGGCCGGGGCGGCCGGGGCGGGCCGCGGGACCGCCGCGTTGGGCAGGGAGGGCTTCCGTCGCGGTGGGGCGTGCTGGGCGTGCTGCACAGACTCGGCCTGTGGCTGCGGCCCGGCCAGCCAACTTGAGAACGGTCCTGCGCAGTTTACTTGCGAGGTAGTGCAACATGGTGGTGTCGCTGTACCTGCGCGGCATGCGTGACCCGCCGCACGCGGACGCTGCGGCTGCCGGGGATGGTGGCGGGGGCGGCGGGGGCGGCCGGCCTGGTGACGCGCTTCACGCCCATCGGCTGCTTGTCCGCGGGGCCCGCCCCCAGCGCCGCCCCCAGCGCCGTGCCCGCCCCAGGGCGCCCGGTTCGCGCCCTCGGGGGGTCGCCGTCATGGCTGGGGGGAGCTGGGGTGCGAACCATGGCCCCGACGGGCCCCATGCGTCGTCTGAACCGCCCTGGTCCACCCTGGTCCTGCCCCCGCGGTTGCCCTGGCAACGGGACAGTCGCACTCCCTCCTGCCGGGGCGTTTGCGGCTTGCGCGTCCAATCGTACTGCGTGCGTGGACAGACTGTGGTGCTTGACGGCCTCCTCCGTGTGCTTGCAGTGCTGTTCCCCGTGGTGCACGTCTGCGACGGCGGTGCGCTCTTCCAGAGATACTTGGACTCCGGACACCTCCTCGGCGAGGACGCCCTGGGCCCCGACTACGTCCTATATCAAGGTGAGCGCTTAAACCACGGGCCTCGCCCAGCGCTGCCTAGCGCCGGGAGGGTAGGCATCCCATTGGGCAGCCGGCACTCGCAGACCCAGCTAGGCAGACCTTCCTACTCGAGGAGAGGCGCTGCGGCTCGACGCCGCTGGCGTTTCAACTGTTTGAACCTGGAACTTGTTTTGCCTCAGGGTCCTACCAGGAGGTGCGCTGCATCGCCCCTGAGGGCGCCGAAATCTCGGCGCCGCCCTTCGACTTGCCTGGACCGCCCAGGGACTACCTGCTGCTGGGGTTCAAGTCCGTGGAGGAGAGCTTCAGCCAGGTACGTGTCGGCAACGTGAACATGGCCAGCCGGCCAGCCTGAGCCTGGCTGCTTGGTGAGAGGGACAGTGGCGTGCGCAGAAATTTTGAAAGAGGGGGGTCAAGCCATGCTTTTTTGCCTACTTACAGGGGGAAAGTGACGCAATTTGCCTACCTTCCAGGCGGCTGTCTAGTGGCCAAATGGAGGGGTCATGACCCCCTGACCCCTCCTCCCCCCTTTTGCGCACGCCACTGGAGAGGGAACACCCCAGGTCGCTCCAGGTGTTTGACTGGTCAGTGTCTTTCGTTCCAGGTGCTGGAGGAGACCTGGAAGGACTGGACCGGCGCGAGGCACATCTACCTGTTCCTGCCGGACATCCTCGGCCTGGAGCGAATCTCACTGTACCGGCGGGTGGAGCCCGAACACATGCAGCTCTTCAAGTACCTGGTGCTGGCCAGGCTGGGGCCCACGCCGGGCGGCACGCCGGGCGCCGAGGACGGGCAGGCCGCCAAAGCGCAGGTACCCAGGCGATCTTGTCTACACTTGAATTACTTCCCGGACTGTCGTTTGTGTTCATTCGTCCCTCTCATTCTGGATGTGCAGGATTTGCTGCTGGACTACGCGCAGAGGCTCAGAGTGCACCGGATCAGTGCGTACCTCTCCGTGTACCGGTCCCTGCCGAAAAAGGGGGAACCCGGCTGGACGCCCTGAGCGACGTTTCTAATTTATAAAATAAACTCGTAACTGAGGTCTACTGGGTCGGCAAGCAGCCCAATAACGGGTCAAGTTCTTGCTGCATGATGCAGGATATTCCAATAGTTCCTTGAAAAACTTGAAATTAACTTTCCTGCTGATTATGCTGCTATGGAATCTAATCTTGAAAGGCAACTGAATGAGATACATTAGATAGGTTTCACTCCATGTGTTGTTATTTATGCTTTTCCTAATCTAGTCTCATGTAAGGTATTTGTTACAAAATAGTTAATAATGGTTATTAAAGAAGGATCTTTTCAAATGCTTCTGTGCTAGATACTCATTTCACCATCCTCATCCTTGTGTTTTCATAAGGGAAAAAAGTGGTTCCTCTTATACATAAAGACACATTTAATTAAATTAAATGACAACAAAAAGACAGTAGTTAAGAAAGTCACACTTAAATCCATATGCAACAACTACCATAAGAGGACAACAACAAAACTGTGAGACTAACTATGGAAATATCACCAAATAATTTCCTCTATGTAACGCTACTCATTATCAGTATTCACCCTCACACACAAACACACTCACATACACCAATTCTGAGAACCATATTTTCATACTAATCTTCTGTTCCCACAAATCTAACTTTAAAAGAAGCACACTTCTCTGTTGTTGAGTGAGGCAGAGTGCCTAGTGCTTTAGAACCAGGGAGAGTGCAAAGCCTTATCAGTTATGTTTGGCATGTGACAATGATAGCTTTTGATAATTAAGGACTAGAAGAGGAAGAAGAAAGTTGATTTAATTTACAGGAGTAATAACTCCAAAACAGCTCCAACAAAAATGGCTAAAACCCATCTAGCACATTGGGAATGCATCCAAATAAACGTTAAGCAGTATGGCTACACATGAGGGACTAAAAACGCCCTGTCAGAAGAATAAAGGTTGCATTTCTAGCACTCTGGTGGGACATGTGGAAAAATGAACTAATTATAAAATTCATAACACACTTACACATTTTCTTCCTTTGTGCAAATGAAGTGACACAAAGTTCTTTGTTTTCCTCCCTTCAAAGTATTTTCTTAAAAATGTTTTTGCTCATTCATACAAAACTTTAGCTTGCTGAAGGCCAGTCAATACAGCGAGGTTGAGGATGTTCCAGAAAACATGCCTCAGATAATAATTAATTTTAATAAAGTAATGGGTAGAGCTTACTTTTTACAATCCCTAAGAGAGCAGAAAATTTAATTTTTTTTTTTCAATTCTGACTTGTTGGTTTTTCTGCACTTACATAACAATAAGACAATAAAAAATACAAAGAAATACTGTACACAAGTTCCTTTGAACAATTAAGGGCAAATATAATCAGCTCTCTGTAAGTTCAGCTACAATCATTATAGGGTTCGACAAGTTGTATTCAACATTGCTAACAAAGATACTTTGCACAACTTTGCTTTAGTTAAGACAAGATTTCAGACAAGAAAAAAACAAAAACAAAAAGAAAACTGTGCTACATGGACTACTGTAATGTGCAAATTCTGTTGGTTAAGAGCTTGTTTACATAAATTGCCTGCTCTTCACATACTAATATACATCTAACAGTGCAAACCTACTAACATGTGGTATAATGCCACTACTCAAATCATGGCTCTTAAAACATACAACTTGTATATTTTGTGCAAACAGGAGAATTATCTTTTAGACATCTTTTAGACGAGCAAGCACAATATACACATCAGTTAAATCACAGTAAGAAAGTAGCATATTGCTACATGCGAATAAACCTTGAACGGGTTATGGAATACATAAGTCTTTTCTTAAGAAGTCAAATTTTTGAAAATCACTTAACACAATAGAACCTCCATTGCAAAATGTAAAATAAACAATCAAATCGTTTTAAGATTGAAACTTTAAAAAATGAAGCCAAGATTAAGACAAAGAAAGATTTGGAACTTATGAGAAGGGTACACATATTCCTTGCATGGGCATTTGATTTATGGGCCACTCAACCAAACAAGGAGCAGGACTTATGCGGAAAAAAAAGGATCTCTACTTTTCCTTTCAACCCCCTGTTATTTCAGTAAGCAATTTAGAACCCATAAATTAATAAATGGAAGAACATCATATTTGAGGGAGGCACATGAACACATTATTAATCAATTCATCAGAAGAAGCCTACATTGCTACCACTAGGAAACCCTCATCAACTAAAGTATGGACAGCAATGTCATCATTCTGATGAGAGACAATAGCTCCATTACATCAACTTGAAATGCTTCATTGTCACATCTGTCACTAAAAAGACAGATCAAAATATTCACACATTCAACAAAAGTTCTTGTGATGGTTCATAATGTTTAAGTTAACAATGTACAATCAATATACAACTCCTCTCAAACACCACTTGCATATTTTTTTAAAAAAGTCAGCATATCTTCCTCTTAAGTTAAAAACCTACAGAGTCTTTTTTGTGATAACATCTTAAATTTTAAGAGCACACAAGAATATTCACAAGTTTAAAGATATACCTAAAACTTCTCTATTTCATATGATTTTAATTGTTAAAATAGGTTCTTAAAGAGGAACTCTAAATCTGATGTATCATAAAATTCCACATACAGTAACTGCATTTGCATTGCCAATCTTTTCTATTTGCTGATATCCATTCCCCTAAAATCTAGTTCCTCTAACATACAGGATCTAAGTTTCTTCATCAGTCCTTTCCCATAACCTGTCTTCACAGTACAAATTAGCACACAGTCCATAACATGACACATGGGCAGCAGTATTTAGTCGATTTTCACAGTTGAGTATATTTTACGAACAAATACACTGGTTCCAATATAGCCCACAGTCCCACAAAGAATTCCTAGCATTGCACTGAACAATGCCATGTAACCAAAGTAAAAGGCTGTCTGAAACAGTCCATACATCCTAAACAGAGAAAGAGGGAAAAAAATGTTAAGGGAAATTCTACTGCAGTAATGTTTACAACATGCATTTATTCTCATGAACTTACTTGGTTTTAAAGAAGAAATAATAAAAGGAATAGAGATAGACATATCCAGATGTGGAGGCAGCAGCCATAAAACTTGTCCATTGCCTAAAATAAATTAAAAAATAGCTTAAGTCATGAACCTGAACACATATTAAATGAGTGACTTGGCAAAGGCACTCACCATCTGTAGTCTTCTGCATTTAACAGGAAGTAAGTGCACACAATTGTTACACACACAGTGACAACCGTTAAAATAAGGAAAACAAGGAGCATAAATCCATACACATAGTATATCTTGTAGGCCCAGAATGAAGTAAAGATGAAATACCTGTAACAATTCAATTCAGTTTAGTAAATAACATGTTAAAAAGGAAATGGGGACATGTAACTAAACATAATAATTCTAGGAACACGATAAAGTTAGGAGCAAAGCACTCACATTTCAATGAAAATTGAACCAAATGGAAGCACTCCACCAAGTGTAATAATGACCAGAGGTTCCATGAACCATTTCTTTTCTGGAATGGGCCGAGGGACTGCATTAATTCTGCAGGGAAAGTCTGGCTGCCCATTCAAGTTCCGTCCAAGGACTGTGCCCACCAGAGTTAAAGGCAAAATAACAAACAGACAAATGCATGTCACTGCAACCTGGAGCACAAACACCATTAGAAATCAACAACTGTATGAAGTAAGACATAAAAGACGACATTACTTAGGAGAAAATTCAACGCACCATTGTTCCAAATGGAATAGCACGAGACGCATGATAGTAAATTGCAATGAAGTTGATAAAGAATGCTGTGCCACAGACAAGAACTGGGAGCAGAGATGCTGAGACCAACATCTGCCTAATCCATGTTCGACCGCCAAATCTAGCATACAGGGAACCTCCAAAGTATCCATTGACAGGGGATGAAGCAGCATAAACAAATATAGCAGTGCTCAGCATCGATCCTCGCCTGGCAAGAAAAACAAAACAGGACAGGTTATTAATAATAATAACAGTAATAAGAATAATTATGGTTTTAGTGGCTTAATGGCTTTTTGTATAATTTCAGATCAAGAGCACTTACTCAGTATACAGTTCACCAAGAATTGCGAACACAATGACGCAGGTGGTAACAACGGTCACCTGGTAACCAGTACCAATTAAAGCCGAAAAGAACAGTGGATGAGAAGGTGGTCGGAAAACATCACCGTGGACTTGCTTCCATCCATACTCGTCTCCCAAATCACGCTCCTGCAGGGCAAAAGGAGTAACAGGTCAACTACAAAGATTCAGAAAATAAAAGTAAATTTCATCAGTGGTGCTATCATTATTACCATATCATCCATTTCCTCATCTTTGCTGTAGCGGGCATAATCCTTGCGCAAAGTTCTCATCAAAATCATTGACACCAGTCCAACAAGGAAAATAACCATCATAAAGCTGTTGAAAATGCTGAACCAGTGAATCTGCAAAATTAACACAAATATTTAGACTCACATTATCAAACCAAGACATTTTTTAAGATAATGTCATAAAACATACTCTGTGCTGGAAGAAGTTAGGATCCAAGTATTTGTCAAACCGGTTTTCAAACAGAGTACTTGATGGCTTCCAATTGACTTCATATGTGAAGGGAATGACAGCATCTGGTGTAAGTTTATGCTTGATTTCTTTGGTCAAGTTGACATCGACAATCTGTTTTCCATTATAACCCACATCAAACCTCTTGTGTGTCCAAATGTAATAATTGGTAGTGCCATCTTTTTCTTCAGCTTCACCAACAATGCCTGCAATAAAATAATGATGGTACCATGCTTAATTTAGGCTCATCAAAAGAGATGGACAAATTCTGGCAATACTCACCCCATATTGGAAGGTCATCTATGTACATCTGGTACCAATACTGGTTTTTGACAGCATAAACAAATTGCTTGTATTTTTCTTCATTCAGCTCTAGTTCACAATACGTAGTTCTTGAAATATCAGCTGTAACATTTACCAATAAATATAAAAATAAGCACAGGAAAGCTGCTACATCCAATATTTGTCTCTGAAAATGCATTCTTGCCTTTGAATTCCATCTTAAGACCACTGAATTCCAGCTCAACCCCCTGCAGAGCTTCTCCAATGGTTTCATGGTAATGGCTGATGGAGTCTTTACGCCCAGTGCAGAATGGTAAAGTGAAGTACCCATAGGTCTCTTGGCGGTTGTGATAAGGGCCAACAGTATTCATCCAGAGAACTACTTCATCATTGTCTTCATACTACAAAAAAGGGGTGAAAATTTTGTAAGAGGTGTGTGAGCAGCTTATTTTTAAACCAAAAAGATAGAGAAAGTGTAGGACAGTAGTAAACAAAGTGTTGGCACAGGGATTATAGACAAAGATAAGGGTTCTCACAATGCAGAGTAAAAGTCGTACACAGGTATAGTTTCAGATATTGAATGAAATCAAAGTTACTGTGAGACTATTTTGGAAAGTACTGTAAAGAAGAGTTTTCCATCCTGATATAATTAAAAGAAACATTGAGCAAAACTCAGTTCAAATTGGTATAAAAGACTGAAGATCCAATGAGCAAGAAACAAACAAACAAAACACAAATACTTTTCATAATTTTTAAAATAGGACAGTGAATATACCGATAATTGCATTAGTTCAACACAAACCAACGACACAACACAAAATAAGTTTTATCAGTAGGTAAATCAAAAATTAAATTCCGAAATAAAATAAAGGCCAGTACAGCTATACAAATATTTTATGGAGTAAAGATTATGCCATAAATTGTAATTTAGGTTGAGTTGCTAGGAAAAGTCTCATTCATTTCTTTGAGTAAATAACGCATAAAACACGAAGTCTACGCTCAAGTGCCGTGTCAAGGCCATAACTGCCAATGCCATTCGTTGATTTTGACGTGGCTCGAGGCTTCTTTGCACATACTGATACTTTTTGCAACGTAAACCGTATTCTAACCAATAACTTACTTGATGGTTGTGTTCATCTCCTCTCACTCCCCAAAACAAGCAGACCAAAGCCAAGATATACAAGTTCGTCATTTTTGAACTCTGACAAGCTGGGCGCGGGAGGTCTGCAACACTTATAACCAGAGCATTAGCCTTCAAAGCTGATATCCATTGAAAACGCAACTTCTATCCCAAGAGTTTTGACAGCGGCAGGTTCTGTTTCTAGTTTTCTTGCGGCAGCCAACAACGGGCCGCAGCGCAGACGAACGCAAACTACTGCCACGTCGACTCACCAGATGGCGACACCGTCGTCGCCACCAGCGCCTTCTTCTTCTTTCGCGAGCGACCGGGAGGGGGGGCGGGGGCCCGGGGGGGGGGGTACACGGGGAATGACGGGGAGTCGCCTTAAAGTCTCCCCAAGGGCTACAAATGTCGGAAAAGATGGGATGAATTAACGAGATGCGTTGACTGGCAGCAGCGCGACTGACTAGGGCTCAGGCTCTGGCCGCTGGCACACCCAGATTAAACACCCAGCCAATGCTCCGGCAGCGGGCCGCAGCGCAGACAGGCACGACGGGGGCAAAAAAGCGAACTGATGACACAGGTGCTCGGGGCTCGGGTTGAACCGTTTGAACCCTGGGGCGATGACTTTTTATCAAGGCCCGCCGGCGAGGTCGAGGAGCACGTCGAGGACGATCCAAGGGCCGCGGACCGCGCGCGGTCGGAGCAGTGAGAGTCCTCGGACGAGTCCAGGACGGCATGGCGGCGACCCGGGACGCGCTGAGCGTGCTGGCCATGGCGATGTACGCCGCGCTCTTGTGCGCGCTGTGGCTGGTGCCGCTGCTGGTGGTGGCGGCGCTGTGCCGCTGGTCGTGGTGGCCGCTCGCCTTGGCGGCCGCCTGGACGGCCTACGACTGGGACACGTGCAACACCGGTGGAGCCAGGGCCAGAAGGTGCGCGTCGACGTCCCACAGTGGGCCAGCAGAAGACCGGTGGAGGCGGCCAAAACTCGAGACGCGTTTTGAGCTCCAGAGTCGCTAAATGGGACTCGAACCGAACGTGTGACCCCACCAATGGATTGCGCTCCGAACGAGGAATCCATTGGTGGGGTCACACGATCGGTTCGAGTTCCGTTTAGCGACTCTGGAGCTCAAAACGCCTCCAGAGTTTTGGCCGCGTCCACCGGTCTTCTGGCCCACTGTGCGTCTGGGCGTCCTGGGCGTCCTGGGTCCGCGGATTTGGTCGCAGCCGCCTAATCCTCCTTCCTGCAGGCGCCTGCGTGGCTGGCTGGGCCGGCAGGCAGACACGTGGTGGGGCCGCGGCCTGCTGGAGTACTGCCCGCTGAGGGTCGTGGTGGCGGCCGGCGCGCGAATGGACCCGCGCAAGAGCTACCTCCTGAGCTGGCACCCGCACGCCTTCGTGCCCGCCTTGCAGGTGACTGCCATGCTGCCCGCCCTCTTCAGCGAGCAGCTGGCGGCGGCCCTCCCCGGCGGGCAGGTGCCGGTGGCCTTCCCCGGCCTGGACGTGCTCGTCGCCACCAAGCCCGCCTTCTTCCTGCTGCCCGTGCTGCGCGAGGTGGCGCTCGCCTTGGGTAGGCTCGAGTCGTTCAAGGACTCTCTAGGGTAGCCTAGTTTTTGTTCCAGGACCCTGCGGTAGGCAGCACGCGACGCAAGACACTAGATTCCAGTTTCTGACATGAAGCGACTTCGCCGGCAGGCTTCATCTCCTGCTCGGAGCGCAGCCTGCGCCACGCCCTGCGCCTCCCCGGCAAGGCCGTGCTCTTGATGACGGGGGCCGTCCAGGAGGTGTTCCGGACGCGCGGCGACACCAATGTCTTCTGCCTCCAGCGCAGGGGCTTCTGCCGCGTCGCCCTGGCCGAGGGGTGAGGCTGCCGTCATAGACTGATTCAGAGAGTCGTTGTCGTCGCTCTGTCTCTCTCATGCCTATACGGGACGCCCTACGAGTGCGAGAGTGACAGAGCGATGAAAAGGCTCCCTGAATCAGTCTCCAGCAGTGTCAAGGTCCAGCCCTGCAAAGTCCTTCTCCGTACCGGTGCAGGGCGTCGCTCGTGCCGGTGGTGGTCCTGGGGGAGAACAGGGGCTACCGCATGCTGCTGCCCGACGCCATGGAGTGGCTGCACAGCGCGACGGGGTGGCGCGCCGTCCTGCCGATGGGTCGCGGCGTCCTGCAGGACTACGTGGGCGTCATGCCCCGGCGGGTGCCCATCACGGTCGTGGGTAGGTACCCCCTTCAGGGGCGGATCCAGGGGGGGGGGGTCTATGGGGGCGTTGCCCTGCCCTGAAGGCGGCGAAGCCGGACAGTGGGCCAGAAGACCGGTGGAGCGGCCAAAATTCGAGACGCGTTTTGACCTACAGAGTCGCTAAATGGGACTCGAACCGAACGTGTGACCCCACCAATGGATTCCTCGTTCGGAGAGCAACCCATTGGTGGGGTCAGACGTTCGGTTCGAGTTCCATTTAGCGACTCTGTTGCTCAAAACGCGTCTATAATTTTGGCCGTTCCGCCGGTCTTCTGGCCCACTGTGAGCCGCCTGAATGGTAGGCAACTAGTCGCACTTAGCCCCTGTAGGTAGGCAACTTTTGCGACATCGCCCCCCTGAACCCGTCTCTGGATCTGCCCTTGACCCCCTCTGTGGACCGCGGGGAGCGTCCACGCCGTCCACGGTCCGCCTCGAGTAACCCGTTCCATGCCGGCATGCCGCGGCAGTCGGCGCCCCCATCGAGGTCACGGCGACGCGCAGCCCCTCGCGCCAGCAGGTGGCAGCCCTGCACGCCAGCTTCGTGGACGCCGTCAGGCGCCTGTACGACGAGCACGCGCCCGCCCACTACAAGGAACACGTGCCGCTGGTCATCGAAACCTGAGACTGCTCAATAAAGCTTGCCAACGTCTCTCTTTCTCTCTCATTGCGATGGCGACAGTCGCTTCCGGGCCGGAGCACCTTGGCGACGGCGAGACACCCATACAGTGCACTGGCGTGGTCATCCGCCCGCTTTCCCAGGCGATAGGCGCGGGCTAGGCGGCGGCGTGGAGCGGCCCAGAGGGCCAGTTCCGAACAGCGCTTTGGCCACTCTGCCTCCCTCGCACCCCTGCGGGGCGCACGATGAGTGCGAGGGAGACGGGGCGACGAGAGCACCGTCCGGAACCAGACCACTGCGTGAGTGCGAGGGGTAGCGGGGCACGCTGGTGGCTATTCCTGTTCGCAGGCTCTCGCCCCCCGCCGCCCCGCGCCCCCTCGGCCCCCATGCGGCCCGCGGCGAGCAGTTTGGGTCCGCCCCTGCGCCGGGACGGACGGGGTCATCGCCGAGCCCATCCGCGCCGACGCCACCCGGACCGCCCGGACACCGATCATCGGGCGCGGACCCCGCCGCCGCTGCAGTTCCCCGCCCCCGCAGGGACTTGCAGTGTAGCGCCCCGGTCCCGCCCCCGGCCCCGCCCCCGCCGGGGCCACCCCCGGCATCGACATGGCGGACAACGAGGGAGGCTCGGAGCAAGATGACGTCTCGTTCCTCCGCACGGTAGGCCAGTCGGGCGAGTCGGACCGACACCGACGCACAGTGGGCCAGAAGACCAACGCAGGCGGCCGAAACTCCAGACGCGTTTTGAGCTCCAGAGTCGCTAAATGTGACTTGAACCGAACGTGTGACCCCACCAATGGATTGCTCTCCGAACGAGGAATCCATTGGTGGGATCACACGTTCGGTTCGAGACCCATTTAGCGACTCTGGAGCTCAAATCGCGTCTGGAGTTTAGGCCGCCTGCGCCGGTCTTCTGGCCCACTGTGCGACGTCCCCCCCCCCCTTTTTCCCCAACCCCCGGAACAGGGCGCCGCCAAGCGCCACGCGGCGGAAGAAACGCGCGTAACCAGCACCGCGAGGACACTTCTCGCTCCTCTCTTTGATTAAACAGGCGATGCCAAACGAGCGGCGGCAGATAAGACGGCGATAGCGAAAGCGACGCCTGTGTCAACGCGCCCAAAATCTCAGCCGTCTGGCCACGCATCACACACACTTGCACACACGTACGCGCACGCGCGCACACACAAGCGCGAGAGTAACGTAGCAGAACTAGTTTTTAACACGTTTCAAAAAGTAACAAAAGTAAATACTGGAGCGCTCAGTTAATTTAGTGAATCGTAAACGTGGACATGGAGAGTAAAACAGCCCCGGGACACCGCCGCCACCAGCGTGTCACTGCTGCTGTCTGTCACTGCTGGCGCGGCCGACGGGCAGGCCTGCCGCCACACCGGGCAGGCCGCCCTAGTGACCCTGTGGAAGGCCGTGACGATCCCGGATGCCGCCCGGATGCGGCAGCGGAGCCAACGGCGGCGGTACAATGCTGGTACAATGCTGGCCGCGCGGTCCGCGCGCGAATCGAGCAAATGAGGAGAGCGGCGCGGTTTGTCGTTGTCGCGTGTCCCAAAATAAAAATAGCCAGCCGGTGTGCGGGCGGCGCCCGGCCCGGGCAGCGCCGTCGTCCGCGTCCACGACCACGTCCACGACGGCGACCCCGGTGTTGTCGCCGCCGACGTAACACTCCCCTTCACGTAATCGTCCCTAACCGGCCCGGAATGTGCTTGCTCCGGCCCGCAGGAGGACATGGTGTGCCTCAGCTGCACGGCGACGGGCGAGCGCGTGTGCCTGGCGGCCGAGGGCTTCGGCAACCGGCACTGCTACCTGGAGAACATCGCCGACAAGGTGCGTAGCTTCGCCTGCCGAGCGACCCTGAAGAGCGGTCTGTCTCTCTCGCACCCTCACGCCATGAGAGCGACAGAGACGGGACTCTTCTGAATCGCTTGGCAGGACCCTGCTCTGCCCCCGCGCACCCTGGCGTGCTCTAACCACCCTTCTTCCGACAGAACATCCCGCCGGACCTGTCCCAGTGCGTGTTCGTGATCGAGCAGGCGCTGTCGGTGCGCGCGCTGCAGGAGTTGGTGACGGCCGCCGGCTCCGACTCGGTGAGTACCGGTGTGTGTTCCTGTTTACTGGCCTAGCGCCGCCCGGCGCCGCCTCGCCTCGTTGACGGGGCCCGGGCTGGCGGGGGGCTCCTCAAACACCACCCTTGAGCATCTCTGTCGCCCCTGTGCGTGTGAGAAGTGCCGTCTGGCCGTCTTACTGAGTATGACTACTCAGAGAGGTGTAGCACAGTGGGCCAGAAGCCGGTGAAGGCGGACAAAACTCTAGACGCGTTTTGAGCTCCAGAGTCTCTAAATGGGACTCGAACCGAACGTGTGACCCCAGCAATGGATTGCTCTCCGAACGAGGAATCCATTGGTGGGGTCACACGTTCGGTTCGAGTCCCATTTAGCGACTCTGGATCTCAAAACGCGTCTAGAGTTTTGTCCGCCTCCGCCGGCTTCTGGCCCACAGTGTGTAGTGTAGGGCGCTGCGGCCGGGAGAGCGCCTGCGAGGTAGGCACCCCTTCGGTTGCCAGACACGCGTGCCTGGCGGGCTGGCCTGCTTGCCGGGCGCTCTACCTGTCAAGTCGAATGGTTCCGCCACCAGCACTCCTCGCTCTGTCTCTCTCGCACCCTTCCGACACACTCCATGAGTGCGAGAGAGACAGAGCGAGCGTGCTGGTGGCAAAGTTGCTCCACTGGGCGAAGCGCCACTGCACTGCCACCACAAGCGCCTCAAGCGCCCCACGCCTCTTGGGGCCGTCCCCGCCGGTCCCCGCTACTTCCCGTTAACCATCCGCCATTTCGGCGGATCTTTGTTCGTTTCCTTTTGTTTTCGTTTGATACGCGATTCAAGTTCCTTGTTTTCGTTTTTGTTGTTGTTGTGTCGCTTGGCGGTGAATTGACTCTGCGCCCTGGTTAGTTACCCTGTTTTACTATTAACATCTCGTTTGTTTTCAGGGACACGTCAGGGTAGTAAGTACGCCTTGTATTTTTGGTACCGTACACTCCATATATTTTAGTTCCACTGAACGGCCTTCTAAAATCTGTTGCGCAAGCTTTAGTCGTTTGCACGAGTAGTTAGTACTAATACTATGGTGTTTATGATGTTGACTGCATTATAGTATGCACATTCGACGACTTTAGAGGTTTGCAGTCGATAGCAAATGCATAGTTTCGGATCGTTCCAGTTGATTCTGGGTTTCCCGTTTTCGACAAAGTTTAAAAATGGCCGAATAGCAAAAATGTTGTTAACTCGTACTGCTTCGGGTACTTGCACACGTAGATGCGCTAAAACGTCTTTGCTTGCTGCGTATTGTAGAAGGCTCCACCTAATTTATCCTAAGAGACTGTCTGAATGCAACTTCCATTAATACAAAAAAGTTTCACTCATTTCAGCTGATGGAAATGTCTATGGCGCCTCATTTTCGGAACTGTCCTCTTCTGTTTTGCTAATTTGACTGCTGCACCTTCTCTACGCGGTCTCACATTTTTGGCCCGTCCCGTGTATTTTTTTTTTTTTTTTAAATTTACTTTTTAACGGCCACGGTGTTTCCGAAGCTAGACTTGCAAAGCCCTGGCCTTTTTGTTTCTCTTGAGATGAATTCGAATTCGAAATTGGTAGTAAAAACTTGGGCATGGGCTTCCCGAGGGAATTCCCGTTCCTCTGTGGGCCAATAGCCGCGAGACTCCTTCCGCCTAACCAGAGCCGCCTCCGCCCCGTTCTCGGCTCCTGACTTGCTGTTTGTTTGCAGGGCAAAGGCACGGGTTCCGGGCACAGGACTCTGCTGTACGGTAACGCCATCTTACTACGACACCAGAACAGCGACATGGTACCCACAGTCTTTACATCACTTTTTTTTCGTTTTATTATCTTTTTGTTGCTCAAATTTAAATGAATGTGATTCTTTTTCGCGCAGTACCTCGCCTGCCTCTCCACCAGCTCGTCCAACGACAAGCTGTCCTTCGACGTGGGTCTCCAGGAGCACTCGCAGGGCGAGGCGTGCTGGTGGACCGTGCACCCCGCCTCCAAGCAGCGGTCGGAGGGCGAGAAGGTGCGCGTCGGCGACGACCTCATCCTGGTGTCCGTGGCCACCGAGCGCTACCTGGTAAGCACGGCCCGCACACTGAAATTCCAAACGCTATGAGTATAGCACGTATGGTACAATGCAGCTGAGATATCGCACCATACGTGCAATGCCATAGCCATATTGCACCTTACGTGCAATGCTTCCCGAAAAGGCCCTATGCTAATGCATGGGAATGGGGAGGTATTGCACTTCATGTGCAATGCTTTTGCATTGCACCAATTGACGCTATTCTCATAGCGTTTGGATTCTCAGTGCACGGCCAAACCCGACATTTCTAGCCGTTTGTCGCCGTTTTGATCAACTTTGCGGCATCGCTGCTACGGAAAATTTTGTCACACTAGTGGACAACTTGGGCGTGATATTCTCTCTGATCGGTGCTCACTCCTCTCCTCCTTGTTGCAGCACACCACCAAGGAGAACGACTTGTCCGTGGTGAACGCGTCCTTCCACGTGACGCACTGGTCGGTGCAGCCCTACGGCACGGGCATCAGCCGCATGAAGTATGTGGGTAAGTCCTTCCTGGTCCTTCGGCCTCCAGGACCTCAGCAGCAACCCTCGGCGCTCGCGCTTCCTCTCGCGCCGAGGGACAACGACTGGTAAATTCCGAGTCGGGATTACGGATTACCCCGGATTACCCCCGGATTACCTCCGGATTACAACAAAAACGTTCCTGGATTTAGCAGGATTACCCCGGATTACCCCCGGATTACCTCCGGATTACAACAAAAACGTTCCTGGATTTAGCAGGATTACCCCGGATTACCCCCGGATTACCTCCGGATTACAACAAAAACGTTCCTGGATTTAGCAGGATTACCCCGGATTACCTCAAAATTTTCTCGGATAACCCCAGATTATCTCAAAATTTCGGGTCATCCGGATTACGGATTACCAATTTGCTGCCAGCCGGATTCCCGAAGTCGTTACCCCCTCCTCTTGCGCTCTCACTCGCCCTCTCTGCCCACAGGCTACGTGTTCGGCGGCGACGTCCTGCGGTTCTTCCACGGAGGCGACGAGTGCCTGACGATACCTTCGGGCTGGACGGAGGCGCAGGGGCAGAAGTACGTGTGCCGGGCCGGCCGGGCGATTCAGAGGAGTCCGTCTCTCTCGCACTCATGGGTCTCTCCAGACGGGTGCGAGGGAGACGGAGCGACAAACCGTTCTTCTGAACCGCTCGGCTGCACTCGGCCCTTCGGCAAGGTCTTTGTTCGACTTGGTTGTAAACGCGCTCCCTGTCCAGCATCGTGGTGTACGAGGGCGGCAGCGTGATGAGCCAGGCGCGCTCGCTGTGGCGGCTGGAGCTGGCGCGGACCAAGTGGGCGGGCGGCTTCATCAACTGGTACCACCCCATGCGCATCCGGCACATCACGACGGGCCGCTACCTGGGCGTCAACGACAGCAACGAGCTCTACCTGGTGCAGCGGTGAGTCTGCTAGAGCTCTTAAAAACCCGGACCGCAAGTACCCGGGTCGCCCGGGTACCCGGGTATGCGGGTAAACCTTGGAGCAACCGCCCTGGCAGAAGGCAACACGCAGTGCGCTCCAGTGGGCCGTGTTGCCTACTGCCAGGGCGGCGGATCCAAAGCTCCGGGCAAACCCGCAGACCCGGGACCCGGTTCCTCGGGTTTTACCCGCATACCCGGGTACCCGGGTCTACCCGCGGACCCGGTGCAACCCGGGCGGGTGTCAGAGCCCTAGAGTCTGCCTCTCTCGCACTCACGGGGCGCCCCGCACATGTGCGAAAGAGACAGAGCGACGAAATAAATCCGATGGCCTTCCCTCTTGCAGCGACGAGGCGACCACCGCGTCGTCCACGTTCTGCCTGCGGCAGGAGAAGGACGACCAGAAGGTGGTGCTGGAGGACAAGGACTTGGAGGTGATCGGCGCGCCCATCATCAAGTACGGCGACAGCACGGTGCTGCTGCAGCACTCCGAGACGGGGCTCTGGCTCACCTACAAGGTAGGCGTCAGCTACCAGGGGTTGCCGACCTCAGCCTGCCCGTCAGACTTCTCTCCTTGGCAGTGGGTAGCGAACTGTGCTTAAACGGACACCCGAACTTGCAGGCGTACGAGACGAAGAAGAAGGGCGTGGGCAAGGTGGAGGAGAAGCAGGCCGTGCTGCACGAGGAGGGCAAGATGGACGACGGGCTGGACTTCAGCCGCTCTCAGGAAGAGGAGTCGCGCACGGCCCGAGTCATTCGAAAGTGCTCCTCGCTCTTCACGCAGTTCATCGTGTAAGTGCTGCTTGCTCGTGCCGGCCCTGGCCACGAACGCGCCGGCACACAGTGGGCCAGAAGACCGGCGCAGGCGGCCATGGATTGCTCTCCCAACGAGGAATCCAATGGTGGGGTCATACGTTCGGGTCGCGTCCTGTTTAGCGACTCTGGAGCTCAAAACGCGGCTAGAGTTTTGGCCACCTCCGCCGGTCTTCTGGCCCACTGTGCGGCACGGCGACGCCACGCCGGACCGAGCAGTGTCGCGCTTTGAATTTCCCGCCTTATGGGAAAACAGTTGACGACAGCGGTGAAAGGGCGGTGCGCTTTACAATTTTCAAATCTATTTCCGGTCCGTACGCGCGAAGCCACGAGCGAAAGTAAACAAACAGGAGCCTTTGTTTACGGTGATTTTCTCGAAACTAGTGTGATTTGCGTTTGTTATTGGGTCAAAATGGCATTTTTTGAGTCGCAGACGGAGTTTAGATACGTTCGTGCTCGTTGGGTTAGGCTGTTAACCTTTGTTGCTGCTGGCAGAGTCAGTTTAGAAATATGGCTGTTGTGTGTTTCTGGGTTAGGACTAAATTGTTTTGATGATTTTGCACAGTTGCCATCATTTAAAATGTGAACACGACCGTAGTCTTAGTTCCATAATTTGAGCCAAAATTTTTTGTGTTACAGAGGACTGGAGACTCTTCAAATGAATCGAAGGCACTCAGTTTTCTGCCAGTCGGTTAATCTTAGCGAAATGGTCATGTGCCTTGAAGATCTCATCAACTACTTTGCCCAGCCTGAAGAGGACATGGGTAAAGATTTTTGTCCAACACCCTGTATCTCATGACAATAGCTCAGCATTTAAACTGGAATTTGTTTGCTTATTTACAGAGCATGAAGAGAAACAGAATCGACTTCGTGCATTGAGAAACCGTCAAGACTTATTCCAAGAGGAAGGCATTTTGAATTTAATCCTGGAAGCGATTGATAAAATTAATGTTATTACATCACAAGGTTTCCTAGTTGCCTTGGCTCGTGATGAGTCTGGGCACAGTTTCGATATAATCTCAGCATATTTGTATCAGCTGCTCGGTCAGTATCCAGCTCATTGGAAACTTTCGCATACCACCCAAACCTCTTGTTGTTCTATGAGATTTGTAGGATTTTGAATTCATGAATAACTTTGGTTTCTCCTTTACAGCGGCCATTATTAAAGGCAACCACACCAATTGTGCCCAATTTGCTAACTCAAACCGATTAAATTGGTTATTCAGTCGTCTGGGGTCTCAAGCTTCAAGTGAGGGCACAGGAATGTTAGATGTGTTGCACTGTGTGCTGATAGATTCTCCAGAGGCTCTAAACATGATGAGGGTGTGGCTTCAATAGAATTTATTGTAATTTTTTCCTGCTAAGTCCAACCATGTAATACATGTTCCATTGTTGCAGGATGAACACATCAAAGTTATTATTTCACTACTTGAGAAGCACGGAAGGGACCCCAAAGTTTTGGATGTACTTTGTTCCCTTTGTGTTGGTAATGGTGTTGCTGTAAGATCCTCACAGAACAATATTTGTGACTACCTATTGCCTGGGAAAAATCTTTTGCTGCAAACTCAACTTGTTGATCATGTTGCAAGGTAAGGATAGCACGTGTACAAATATGGTTGCGGGAGTGTAACAATTTCAAGCTGGCTATAACTTTGACATGTCTTTAGCATTCGACCCAACATATTTGTGGGACGAGTAGAAAATTCAGCTGTGTACCAGAAGTGGTATTTTGAAGTCACAATGGATCACATTGAACAAACAACTCATATGATGCCTCATCTTCGTATTGGCTGGGCTAATACTGCTGGGTGAGCATTTAAAATTTCTTCCCCTGTTGTAGTATTTGAAACTAAATTGTTGATTATTTTGTTTGAACTTTATATTGTAGATATGTTCCATATCCTGGTGGTGGAGAGAAATGGGGTGGCAATGGTGTGGGAGATGACTTGTACTCTTTTGGCTTTGATGGAGCCAACCTTTGGTCAGGTGTGATATTTTTAGGGTTTTACAATGTTTGTATAAATGAAGTGCAAGGCATTAATACATAATAATTATCTTTGTCAAGGTGGACGGAAAACTTTAGTCATAGCTGGCGCTTCAGAACCTTATATTCGGAAAGGAGATGTCATTGGCTGTATGCTGGACCTATCTATTCCTATCATTAGCTTTACCTTCAATGGTATGAGAGTACCAGGATCATTCCGCAATTTTAATTTGGATGGAATGTTCTTTCCTGTGATGAGCTGCTCTTCTAAACTCAGGTAACAATCCATCTGGATCTGACCATAGCATTTTTTGATTGGGAAAAAAAAAAGATCTTGTGAATTACATCCTTTAATTGACTCCTACATTGCAGCTGCCGGTTCCTACTTGGTGGCGATCATGGGCGTCTCAAGTACGCTCCACCAGAAGATGATTTCTCACCACTAGTGGAAAGCTTACTGCCTCAGCAGCAGTTGTCACTTGATCCTTGCTTTTATTTTGGAAACCTTAATAAGAGTGTTTTGGCTGGTCCCTGGCTTATTGAAGATGACACTGCTTTTGTTCCAACCCCTGTTGATACTTCTATGGTAACTACCCTCCCTCCTATTAGCAAAAAAAAAAAAAAAAAAAAGTTCATGACCATGTAAATTAACCATACTTTCAAAAATCCTATTTAGATTACACTTCCAAATTATATTGAGAGCATCCGAGACAAATTAGCTGAAAACATCCACGAAATGTGGGCTATGAACAAAATAGAAGCAGGGTGGTCTTTTGGAGAAAGACGTGATGACATTCGTCACATTCACCCCTGCCTTGTACAGTTTGCTCAGTTGCCCCCAGCAGAAAAGCGCTATGATTCTCAGCTAGCTGTCCAAACTCTCAAGTAAGTAAAATCTTTATGTCTTTCAGAATCCTGTTACATCTTCAGCCTGTCCATCAATTATTCTTTTATACCTCATTTAATTGTTGTTTTTTTAGGACTATTATGGCTCTTGGATATCACATTACGATGGATAAGCCTCCTGCTCGAATAAAAACTGTCAGGTTACCAAATGAGCCGTTTTTGCAGTCAAATGGGTACAAGCCTGCACCCTTAGACCTGACAGCCATTACTTTAACACCAAAACTCGAGGAGCTGGTAGATCACCTTGCAGAAAATACTCATAATTTGTGGGCCAAGGAACGCATCCAACAGGGATGGACTTATGGTCTCAATGAGGACTCAGAAATGCTTCGGAGCCCACATCTTGTGCCATATGGCAAAGTAGATGAAGCAATCAAGAAGGCCAACAGGTGAGTTTATTTCTTTGTAACACTTCTGGTTCAGAAAAAGATCACACAAGATTTTGTTCATTTTCTCTGTGCCTTGTTTAGGGATACTGCAAGTGAAACTGTCAGGACTCTTCTTGTCTATGGATATGTTCTTGATCCACCAACTGGAGAGGCTCATGAGGGTTTGTAATTTTGTGGATGATTCTTTTCTCTTATTTTCTCTGTTGAGAAAGATTTTTACCGTTATTTATTTTCATTGTTTCTTCAGCCCTGATGGCCGAGGCTGGCCGTAGCCTGCAGGCATCCTTCAGAACTTACAGAGTGCAGAGAAATTATGCTGTGAACACAGGAAAATGGTAAGGAATACTCCAATGATATGAGCAAATGGTTTATCTTTTATATAAATGAAGATACATTTTACCTTTGCAATTCAACACAGGTACTTTGAGTTTGAAATCCTGACAGCTGGTCCCATGAGGGTTGGCTGGGCCCGTGCTGATTGCAACCCTGGCTGCATGTTGGGAAGTGATGAATACACATGGGCTTTCGATGGATACAATGTAAGGAAACTGAAATTTATGCATCTAATTTAACTTAACAGACTGTACTGTTTGATCATATTTTGTTAGATGATGTGTTGGGAAATGTGAGAGAACAGATGTATTAGATAGAAACAGGGTTTAGAATGAAACAAAGCTGGGTGTTTCCTACATCAAAAAATTTAAATGCTTCTTCTTACAGCGTATTTAGATCACTTTATGATCATTGCGGTAATTTTTTCCCATTCATTGTTTTTTCCCTGTCTCATACTTTTTATTTTGTTCGACACTGTATTAAAATCACTTACATGTTAACTGTGGTGGATCCAGGCTATGAAGAGGCACATGGGATTAAGTGAACCATTTGGTAGGAGGCCCAACGTTGGGGACATTGTGGGCTGCTTCCTAGACTTGTATGATAATACAATCTGTAAGTGCCTGAGTCACTTTCTGACTTTGTCAAGTTTTCTCACCAGTTTAACAACTGTCTCTAGTTGTTTGTTTCTACACAGTGCTCACATAGCATTTCTATGCTCATCTTCCTTGGAGATGTAGCCAGTAGTCTATGATGCACTGTGTAGTGAGCTTGGTCCTCTTCCCTGCTCGGAGCCTGCCGTTCCCACAGTAATTCACTTGTGTACTGTCCCCGTTTTTCCATGGTGCATTTGGCAATTTGTGACCCGTCCCTTCTTTGTTTTTGTGTGCACCTGTTTTCTATTGTCAGGTAATTTTTAACAAACATGGCCAATTTTCAAAATTATTCTAATTTTTTTTCTTCTTTTGATCAGCTGGGAGCTGATTAACAATCGTAGGCATTGATGTTCCATCAGAAAGATCAGGGTTTTGTTTAAATTAATTAAGGTACTTCAATTTGATCACACAAAGTGGGTTTGGTAATTTATTTGTAGTTACTAGACAAATAGTACTCCACCTGACAGTCGAAGCGAAGGCTTTGCTAGGAGCCCACCCATACAGACTGATGGGCAGACCTTGCTTACCTCGACAGCAATGATGGTGATAACTCCCCACTAAAAATTCTTGCTTGATTCTTCTGCTTGAAGGAGGAGAAAGTTTATAGTGGAATGGCAGAGTCGTTTGGCCGCCAGTGGCAAGTTGGGGACGTGGTTGGGGTGTTCCTTGATCTCATTGATCGTACCATCAGTAAGTGCTGTCGCTGTCTCTGTGACTTGCTTGCTGCTTGCTTTCCTCAACATGGGATTAGACTCCCATGTTTTCCTGTATTGTCCTTGACTTTTCCATCTGAACATCTGTAACATATTTCTTTTCTTCCTTCTGGATATTTCCCATATCTAGGAATTGTTTAGATGCTTTCGTTTTACCATGTGACTCATGGTCTCATGAAATATTTTGCAGCTGTCCAAACTTGAACATTTTATTAAAGATTGTGTCTTTTTAACTAGTGTAAGGCTTTTTTGCTCCTGTTTAAAACATTGTGTTTGTGTGCTTTGTTTAACATTTAACAATTTCTTTGTCGCTTTTTAGATAAGATGACTGAATGGAAAATAACAAGTGTGGTTCCAATTAATTTATCTAGGTACTTCTAATTTATCTTTTTTGTGGTATTTTGTCCGACTTACCCTCTTAATTTTATTCCTATACTTAAGGAAAGGAGCTAAAACATTTCTTGTACCACTCACTTTAGGCTTCTCTTTGAACGGTGAGCTTTTGATGGATGCTCTGGGAGGAGAAACAACATTTGGCGATGTGCAAGGAGATGGATTTGTTCCTGCATGCACACTGGGTGTAGGGCAGAAGGCAAAACTCATATATGGCCAGGATGTGGACTCTTTAAAATTCTTCACAACTTGTGGACTTCAAGAGGGATATGAACCTTTCTGTGTGTAAGTAGAAATTTAAGGATGTTGTATATTACTCAGCTAATGTAATTATGTGTCATCATCTAAATGTATAATTTCTGTTTTGTTTTTTTGGTTTGTTTAGAAATATGACTAGACCTGTAACATATTGGTACACAAAAGACCAGCCTATCTTTGAAAATACTGATGATATAGTAGATTCAAAGATTGACGTCACCAGAATACCTGCAGGATCTGACACACCACCTTGCCTCAAAATAAGTCACAATACTTTTGAAACAATGGAAAAGGCAAACTGGGAATTTCTTCGCTTGTGTCTGCCTGTTATTTGTCAGAGCTCTTTTATTGAGTAAGAATTGTCCTTTAATATTAATAAAACTGTATCTTGTGACAATGTAGTAAATAATCTCCATTCTCCTTTTCTTCCAGTGAGAGTGAGAAAATAAGACGCTGGCAGGAAATCAAAGTAAGACAACACCGTCTCCTAACTGAAACAGAGCAGACAACCCCAGCACATCTTGAACAAATTATGAAATCTGGATTCTCTCTGAGTGACATCAAAGGTAGTACTATTATTTTGTTTCATGCATTCCTTTGACTTCATAACTTACCTTGTGTTGTCAATTTTTTACTCTCTTTAGGTTTACAAAGAGGGTATTCAGAGGATGCTGCAGAACATGATGAAATGGGAAGACCTGACAACTCTCCACCAACAACAAGCAAGTTAAAACGGTTGCCTACTAGGCCACCAAGGAAGGGCTCTCTGTCTCGTACCAACGGCTTTGACACATTGGAGACTGGTAGTAAGTCATTTTGTTAAGTTAATTTATTCTGGACATTATTTTCTGCAATTAATCTATTCATAACCAATTTGATCAGGCAAAATGCAACACTCAACAAGTGAAATAGATCTTAATAGATTTGATGGTAAGGACGCTGATGCGGATAAGAAAAAAAGAGGACGCTCTCCCTTCAGGTGAGTATCAATTTTGAGGCATGGCAATGATTTTTATGAAATGAGACGAGTTAATTTTTTTGCTACAAAATCTGATTAGATTGTTCAAGAAACGAGACAAGAGTGGGGACCGTCTGAAGAAAGCCAAAACTCCTGAGCCTCTGTCCTCAGGAGACCGACTGCAGCCCCCTGGCCGAAGTGGACCGGCCACGAACTTGGCTCGCACCAATCCCCAAGTTAGAGTGTCTACAGTAAGCTTGCAGGAAATTCTCTTGAACTTCTGAAAATTGATTAGTTTATTTATCGTGGATTTTTCTTCACAGACTGATCTGAAGGTGGTTCCTCCTGTTCAAGAGCGTGGACCCAAAATCATGTCAGTTACTCCTGCTACAGGGATAGAGGCTATTGGAAATGAGATCTATGATGCAGATTGCCTCAAACTTATCAATGAATATTACTATGGTATTAGGATCTTTCCTGGTCAGGATCCCACTCATGTGTTTGTTGGGTGGGTGACCACCCAATTTCATTTGCATAGCAAGGACTTTAACCAAAGCCGTGTTCGCAAGGCTGAAGTTCATGTCTGTGATGATTATGACAGACTTCTTGAAAAGTAAGACTAATATACATAATTTTTATTTGATTCAATTACACCCTTTACCTGCGGTTTTAATAGCATGCCTCCATCTTGCTTTCAGAGTTGAGCGTCAGAGTTGTTACATGGTCCGGGCTGATGAGTTGTACAATGAGGTAACTCAAGATGCTTCAGGCAAAGGGGCCTCTCAAGGAATGGTTGTTGGATGTTCAGTGGATACTGCTACAGGTTACATAACATTCACTTGTGAGGGCAAGGAAACTTCATATCGCTACAAGGTACCTAGTATTATTTCATCACCTAATATTAATATTCTTATAATTTTTAGTAATGTTCTTTTTCTTGTAACAGATGGAACCAGAGACCAAATTATTCCCCGCAATATTTGTTGAAGCAACAAGTAAAGAAATCTTGCAAATTGAGCTGGGAAGAACATCTACCACTCTTCCATTGTCTGCAGCTGTTCTTCAGAACTCTGATAGACATGTGATCCCACAGGTACTGATTTACAATCTTATCTCTCACATTCTGTTCTTCAGGCAACTTTGCAATGGTGTTTGTCTGTTTCATTTTCCAGTTCCCTCCTAGATTGAAAGTCCAATGTTTGAAGCCCCACCAGTGGGCTCGTGTTCCTAATCAGTCTTTGCAAGTACATGCTCTAAAACTGTCAGATGTTCGTGGGTGGTCTATGTTGTGTGAAGATCCCATTTCTATGTTAGCATTGCATATACCCGAAGAAGATCGATGCATTGATGTTTTGGAGCTAATTGAAATGGATAGACTTCTTAGGTTTGTGTGAAATACCATATCTTTGTCCTGCTCGTTAAAATTCAGTGTGATAATTGTCTTTCATAATTTTCAGTTTCCATGCTCATACTTTGACCTTGTATGCTGCACTATGCTATCAATCAAATTACCGAGCAGCACACACATTGTGTCAGCACGTTGACCAGAAACAGCTCCTATACGCAATACGTTCCGAGTTTATGTCTGGTCCTTTGAGACAGGGCTTCTATGACCTCCTAATTGCACTGCATCTGGAGAGTCATGCTACAACAATGTAAGTTCTTGTCCATTACATTTTTCCTCTGTTTCCTTATCTTTCCTGTAGCTTTGTCATTTGTTTCCTGCAGGGAAGTTTGCAAGAATGAATATGTTATTCCTCTGGGACCAGAGCTTAAGACCCTGTATGAGGATCCGGATATGTGCCATTCTTTGAGATCTCTTGACACACAATCGATTCAACCACAGATGAAGATGACTGACATAGCGTAAGTAAACCCATTCGCACCTTCTATTTCAGTTATTGTTTCTTGTTCATTATCCACATAACTTGAACTTTTATGGATTTCTTTTTAAATAGCAGGCTGCTCCCTTTTTCTGTCCAATTTTTCAAAGCCTCTTGTTCCCTTTGCAAATTTTGTGTAACTTAGAAGATGCTTTATTGTCATGGCTATGCATGACAGCTTTGCTTTTAGTTCATAGATTATGTATTCTTCTGTCTCCAATGTCTTTTCAGGGGAATGGACAGCAGTGCTCCTGGCAACGGTTTTGATCCGAAGAATAACCCTATCCCTGTAGTGTGAGTGGGACACAAAGTTTTCCTATCTTTTTTTCTTTTTTTGTAATAATTGGTTCTTTTTTCTCATCTACCTTTAATTACGAGTTAAATCTGTCCCAGAAAACTCTTATCAGTTTGTCTGGGGGTATTTTTGCTGAGTGTTTGTACTTTCTGGATTCCAATCTTGTTTATGCTATTTTCTGTGGGTTTTGAAGCAAGTTCATGTCACAACAAAGTAATTGCTCGCCTTTTGCCATTCAAACATTTATCAAACTAATTCATGCAAGCTGGTAACACTGACAGAGACAACATTAGTCTTTTTATTTTTTTTTTACACCTCTTACACTGGAAACACTATGTTCTTACATACAAATTCAAGAATGAATTTAAAAAATACACTTTAATGATTGGTGCATTCTGTGGATGATCATGTGCATTTTTGGAGTGTGCTGCATTAAAAACAATAAAATTGTGTGCCTGATTTAATTAGCTTTCACTTTACAGAAAATACAAATCTTTATTTTTTAATTTAGTTAGTGCAGTATCACATCTAGCATTTTAAGAGTCATGAGGATTTTATTGAAATGGATGCTTTCTTCTGCAGGGAAGCGTCAGAGTCATTGGACAACATTCGTACTTTGTACAGTCCCTATTTCCCTCTGGATGTGGTTCGCAATTATATTATGCTGGCTTTACATGAAGCTGTGGAAATAAATCAGGTACATAATCGGGATCCTGTTGGAGGCAGCAACGAGAATTTGTTTCTGTATGTATAACGTTCTTCCTGTTATCATTTTGATAGTTATCAAATTTTATTTATATTCATTCACATCAGTTAAATTGGTCTAAATCTCATTTTTTGTTTGTTTGTTTATCAGACCCATTTTGAAACTGGTAGATCGTCTTCTTCTTGTTGGTGTTTTGACTGATGTTGATGTAGAAAAACTTTTGATCATGGTGAATCCTGAAACTTGGGATCCAGCCTTTGATAAAGGTATGTTGTCGTTCCTCTTTTCTGTATTTTTCTGTGTGCAACTTGGTGTAATTCCTGATTTGCTTTATCTCTATAGAGGGAAAAGATGAACATCGCAAAGGTCTACTTCATATGAAGATGGCTGAGGGAGCAAAGCTTCAGATGTGCTACCTGTTGCATCATCTCTGTGATATTCAGCTTCGTCACAGGGTTGAATCTATCATAGCATTCAGTCATGACTTTGTTGGGGACTTGCAGGGTGTAAGTAAATTTTGGGTCTTCCTTTGAGATATTTAAATCAATCTTACTTAGTATTATTGAAATTGACAGGATCAACTGCGCCGTTACAATGAGATTAAGCAATCAGATCTTCCCTCCGCTGTTGCTGCTAAAAAGACAAGAGAGTTCCGCTGTCCTCCTAAAGAACAGGTAATGCCTCAGCTTCATACCAAAAGTGTATACATGCAAAGTTCGAACATAATTTGAAATGTCTTTTACAGATGAATGCTATTTTGTGTTTCAAAACCTTAGAAGAGGGTGACCAAGAAAATTGCTCATGTGGTGATGAGTTACGAGTACGTTTGAATGACTTCCATGCTAATTTGATGAACCATGTATCTTTGAAAGCTTTACAAGAGCCTGAGGTTGTGGAGGTGAGTGTTTTGGGTTCTGAGTGATTGTTTAGTGAGGAAGACTCAACTTTTATTATATTATTATTATGTCATATTTTTCAGGAAGAAAATCCAGATGCACAGAAGACTGGTCCCATAAAGAAGCTTTACAATTTGATCAATGCTGTCAAAGAACTAGAAGAAGAGAAGCCACCAGAACCTGAACCTGAGAAAAAGACCCCAGAAGGTTTGTCTTCTTGCATGTTGATCAAATATGGTAGTTCATTTCAAGTGAGAAGAGCTCATTTATTTTTAAAATGTTTTCAGAAATATTCCGTAAGGTTTTAATTAAAACTATTGTATCATGGGCAGAGGAATCACAAATTGAAACACCGAAGCTTGTCAGAGAAATGTTTAGGTATGTGACTAAAAGAGGTAAAAATTATGAATGATCAGGAAATGTAGAACTATATATTACTTTGAATGTTTATTTTCAGCTTGCTAGTGAGACAGTATGATACTGTTGGTGAGCTTATACGTGCTCTGCAGAAGACCTATGTCATCAATACTAAAACCAGAGACGATGTAGCAGACATGTGGGTTTGTCTAGGACAAGTTCGGGCCCTTCTCCCTGTGCAGATGTCACAGGAAGAGGAAGAACTCATGCGAGAACGCTTGTGGTGAGTTTAGCTCCCTGCAAACTGCATGCATTTTCAGCTGTTTCAATAATTCTTGAGTGTGTTCTCTCTGTTTGCAGGAAACTAGTTAACAATGCCACCTTCTTCCAGCATCCAGATTTGATCAGAGTGCTTCGAATTCACGAAAACGTAATGGCTGTAATGATAAATACTCTTGGCCGGCGAGCTCAGGCGCAGTCAGATGCGCCTCAGGCTGTTGGTCAAGGTCAAGCAGAAGGAGAAGCTCCTGTAAAAGAAAAGGTAAGTAGAGAAAAGATAACTCCCCCCCCCTCCAATGCTTTTATCTATATCTAATAATAATAATTTTTCAGGACACATCTCATGAAATGGTTGTAGCATGCTGTCGATTCCTCTGCTATTTCTGTCGCACATCTCGTCAAAATCAAAAGGCAATGTTTGATCATCTCAACTTCCTCCTTGAAAACTCCAATATTCTTCTCTCCAGACCATCATTGAGAGGGTCTACACCTCTTGACGTAGCATACTCATCATTGATGGAAAACACTGAGTTAGCTTTGGCATTGAGGTATCTAGTGAATTACGTTAGTGGTATTTTTGTGACCGCATTTTAGTTCAAAAAATGCTTCATAGAAAATTTTCTTGTCATCACAGAGAACATTATTTGGAAAAAATAGCGGTTTACTTGTCTCGTTGCGGTTTGCAATCAAACTCTGAATTGGTTGAAAAAGGCTACCCTGACCTTGGATGGGACCCGGTAGAGGGGGAGAGATACTTGGATTTCCTTCGGTTTTGTGTTTGGGTTAATGGTAGGTGATTGACTGATTTAATCCAGTTTTGTGACATTATGTCATAAATGCATTACATGCCATTATTTATTTTTAATTTTGTTATGACAGGTGAAAGTGTGGAGGAGAATGCCAACCTGGTAATTCGTCTTCTTATTCGCCGTCCTGAATGCTTGGGTCCAGCTTTGCGTGGAGAGGGCGAAGGCCTCCTGAGGGCTATTGTGGATGCAAACAAGGTGATAAAAATTTCATTCTCTCTATGTTCCTATTTTGATTGATAGTAATGTGGTAGCTTTGACACTAATTTTTATTTCAGATGTCAGAGCGTATAGCAGAAAGACGCAAGCATTTGGAAAGTGGAGGTGGTGTAAACAATGCTGGGGATGCAAACGGTGAATTGGATCACCCAATGCCAGAAAGTGAGGAAGATGAGGACTATATTGATACTGGCTCTGCTATCCTCAACTTTTATTGTACTTTGGTGGATCTTTTGGGAAGATGTGCTCCAGATACATCTGTCATTGCTTTGGTTTGTATTGTGCAATGCTCTGTAAATTGTAGCTACTGTCTTGAAATTGAACAGCACCCACTTTGTTCATTTTCAGGGTAAGAATGAATCACTTCGAGCTCGAGCTATCCTGAGATCTCTGGTGCCATTGGAGGACCTTCAGGGTGTTCTATCTTTGCGCTTCACCCTGCAAAGCCCTGCTCAGGGTGAAGAACGGCCAAAGAGTGATATGCCCAGTGGCCTTATTCCTGGAAACAAGCAAAGTATTGTTCTCTTTTTGGAACGTGTGTATGGAATTGAAACTCAGGAATTGTTCTTCCGACTGTTAGAGGAGGCATTTTTACCAGATTTACGCTGTGCCACCATGCTTGACAGGGTATGAAAATTTCTTTCCTATAAATTGAAAGAAGTGACCCTTCTAAACATCATCATTAATAAGAGATTTTTGTATTCAACAGAGTGATAATTTGGAATCTGATATGGCCTTGGCTATGAACCGTTACATTGGAAATTCTGTGTTGCCCTTGCTTATTAAACATTCTGCGTTCTATGCTGAAGCTGACAATTATGCCAGTCTGTTGGATGCTACTTTGCATACAGTGTACAGGTTGTCTAAGAACCGTATGCTTACAAAAGGACAGCGTGAAGCTGTGTCAGATTTCCTTGTGGCATTGACAAGGTAAATTTTATAGTATTTTTTTTATTTTCGATCTGATACAATTGAAAATACTGGTCTCTCTAAACTATTATTATTATCCGCAGCCAAATGCAACCAAGTATGCTTCTGAAACTTCTCAGAAAACTAACTGTTGATGTTGCAAATCTTTCAGAGTACACAACTGTAGCTCTCAGGGTAATTTATATGCATTTTAAGATTTATTGTCAATGTGATAGTTTTTCACCAACTTCAAATTATTAATTATAATAAAATTTGGTTGCAGCTTTTGACCCTCCACTTTGATCGATGTGCAAAGTATTATGGGTCCACATCCATGGGTGCCTCCAGTGATGAAGAAAAAAGATTGACTATGATGCTTTTCAGCAACATCTTTGATTCTCTTTCCAAGATGGTTATAAATCTTGCTTTACAATGCACATAATTTAAATTATTTTCTTCTTTTTTACATATGTTTTTTTGGTCCATTGCAGGATTATGATCCTGAGTTGTTTGGGAAAGCCTTACCATGTTTAACTGCAATTGGTTGTTCTCTACCTCCTGATTATTCTCTGTCAAAGAACTATGATGATGAGTTCTATGGCAAAAACTCTCCAGCCTCCAGCCCAACTGATGGGCCCTACAACCCACAGCCTATCAACACCTCAAGGTTCATTTTCTGTTACTGCATTACAAACTGTTTACTGTAGTAGCTTGTGCCTTTAAAATGTTTTTGTCTCACAGTGTTGCCCTTAACAACGATCTTAACACTATTGTTCAGAAATTTTCTGAACACTACCATGATGCCTGGGCCAGTCGAAAGCTTGAAGGGGGCTGGGTGTATGGTGAGCAACGCTCTGACAGCAATAAATCTCACCCTCGGCTGAAGCCATACAATATGCTAAATGATTATGTAAGTACATATTTAAAAGCAAAAATTTAAATAATAATGTCTGCAAGCCATGTGATTTATGTGTGCGTCAGATTTACAAGGGCAGTTGTCAATTTTAACTTGGTGCGTGTATTTTAGGAAAAAGAACGTTACAAAGAGCCAGTGAGGGAATCCCTGAAAGCACTTCTTGCAATTGGTTGGAATGTTGAACATTCTGAAGTGGACATGCCTATGAATACTCGAAACTCAGTAAGACGGCATAGCAAGGGTAATCCGGTAGGTGGTGATGTGAGTTTCATTTTTTACCCCAATTTGCAAATTTTTACAAAACCGCTTTTTCAAGTCTCTTTCTCCAGAGCAATTAAGTGCTTGCTTCATATGTGACTTTCATTTGAGCTTCTAAGTATTCCTGCGTCGTTCCTTCTTTCACTTTTACAGATGATGGACTCGGCTACACCTTTCAACTACCACCCACACCCCGTTGACATGACAAATCTTACACTCAGCAGAGAGATGCAAAACATGGCTGAGCGCCTTGCAGAGAATGCCCATGATATTTGGGCCAAAAAGAAGAAAGAGGAACTTGTTACATGTGGTATGTGTTTTTAATTCTTTTTTAGGGCATAGAGAGTCTGTTGTAAAGTTAGCTTGGTAGGATAAATTTTAATTTCATCTCTCAATGACAGGTGGAGCCATACATTCTCAGCTGGTTCCATATGATCTTCTCACTGATAAGGAGAAGAAAAAGGACCGTGAAAGGTCCCAGGAGTTTTTGAAATATCTTCAGTACCAAGGGTACAAATTGCACAGGTCAGGAACTTTTTCTGAGAAGCATTTGCTAAATAATAGTCAATGAAAATGATAAAGTCAACTGTTTCTTTGTTTTCTTTTTTTTCTCTTGTAGACCGTCAAGAGGAACAGCGCAAGAGCAACAAGAACAGGCAGCTGCTGTTTCCACAGGAGAGCTGCGGTTTGCTTACAACCTTCTGGAGAAACTTGTTGCATACATGGACCGTGCCACAATCAATATGAAACTGCTCAAGCCCTCTTCAATCTTTAGCCGAAGATGCTCTTTCAAAACAACTGGCCGTGATATTAAATTTTTCTCTAAGGTGTCTTTTTTTTTTCTTACAGTATAAGCTTGATATAGCGTTTGTGACAGATGCTTAAAATTTCCAACGCTATATGCGGGATACGTTATATGCGGCGGCCGCTTAATGGAGTTTTCCGCATTGGGGCAACGCATTTGGGCCGCTATAAGCGGGATAACGTTATATCGGGCAACGCTAAATCGAGCTTATACTGTATTTATTTGTTTGTCATTGCAAACTTTAATTTTGTTTTAAAATGCATGTCATTTTTCTAATTACCAGGTTGTACTACCATTAGTTGAGAAATACTTCAGCACAAACCGCAACTATTTTATTGCAGTTCCAACTGCCTCCAACAACATTGGGGCAGCATCCCTAAAAGAGAAGGAAATGGTAGCTAGGTATGTATGAGTAATTCTCATTATGTGCAGCAACACAAATTCCTGAATACCACAGCTATGTTTTGCGTCTTGATGTATAGTAATAGAGTTTGCTTTTTTTTTTCCAGCCTCTTCTGTAAATTAGCCAGTCTTCTGAGAGTTCGTCTGGCAGCGTTTGGGCCTGATGTGAGGATTGCAGTGCGCTGTTTACAAGTCCTCGTGAAGGGTATTGATGCCAAGTTAGTAAAAGCTATATACCCTTTCCCTGGAGTGGATTTCATTTGATTGTATCTGTTATGGAAACATCTTCATGTATTTCCATTTTTTTCAGGTCCCTGGTCAAGAACTGTCCAGAGTTTATTCGTACCTCAATGCTCACCTTCTTCAATAGCGTTGCTGATGATTTAAGCCATACAATTACTAATCTTCAAGAGGTGAGACACCTTTATAGTATTTATTGCTAATTCTTGTTGAACATTAATTTAATAGGATACTTTCTGTTTCAGGGACGCTACAGTCATTTGAGAGGTACTCACCTAAAGACGTCCACATCACTATTCTATGTGAATGATGTAGTTTTGCCAATCCTTACTTCAATGTTTGATCACCTTGCGGCAAATGAATACGGCAGTGATCTTTTATGTAGGTTCATATATTTTAACTTAGACGAAACTAAACAAAATATATTTTAATATGTATCTGATCTATATATTTCTATTTCAGTGGATGAAATTATGGTTGCATCATACAAAGTTCTGAGCAGTTTGTACACACTTGGAATCGATGCCAATCTTACACATGACCGTAAATATTTGAAGACTGAGATTGAAAGGCACCGACCTGCGATTGGAACTTGCCTAGGAGCATTCTCATCTACGTTCCCAGTTGCTTTCCTCGAACCACATTTGAACAAGCATAATCAATTTTCTCTTCTGAATCGTATAGCAGATCACTCCCTTGAAGCTCAAGACATCATGGCCCGGATGGAAAATAGCATGCCAACACTAGAGACCATTCTTGGTGAAGTAGATGCATTTGCGGACTCTGAAAAGACATACAATGATGCTCCACATGTCATCGATGTCATTCTGCCCATGCTGTGTTCATACCTGCCAGTTTGGTGGTCTCAGGGGCCTGATAATGTGAGTCCTGCTGAAGGGAATCATGTCACTATGGTGACAAGTGAACATATGAATCAGCTTCTCAAGAATGTTTTAAAGCTCATTAAGAAAAACGTTGGAAATGAACATGCTCCATGGATGATAGGAATAGCTGCTTACACTCAACAAATCATCATTAATTCTTCAGAAGAGCTTCTCAAAGACCCCTTCTTACCATTGGCTGCAGCTGTCAAGAAGCGAACAGACACAATGTTCCACAAAGAGGAATCATTGCGAGGTTTTATTAAGTCATCTACTGATGACACCTCACAAATTGAGGCTCAGATCCAGGAAGATTGGCAACTTTTAGTTCGTGATATTTATGCCTTTTACCCTCTTCTCATAAAATACGTAGATTTACAACGTAATCATTGGATGAAGCACAACATTCCAGAAGCTGAGGAATTGTACAACTATGTTGCTGATATCTTCAACATTTGGTCCAAGTCTCAATACTTCCTTCGTGAAGAACAGAACTTCATCTCTGTCAATGAAATTGATAATATGGTCCTTATTATGCCTGCAGCCACTCGCAGAAATGCTGTTGTACCAGATTCAACTGCCCTGTCAGGTGGTGGAGGAGGCGGAGGAAAGAAGAAAAAGAAACACAGGGACAAGAAGAGAGACAAAGACAAGGAAATCGCAGCCAGCTTGATGGTGGCTTGCTTGAAGAGGCTCCTACCTGTTGGTCTCAACTTGTTTGCTGGCAGAGAACAGGAGCTGGTGCAACATTGTAAAGATCGTTACCTTAAGAGGTTGCCCGAGTATGACATACAGGAGTTTGCCAAGATGCAATTGACCTTACCTGACAAAATTGATCCAGGTGATGAAATGTCTTGGCAACATTACCTATACTCCCAGCTGGGCCAAAAGAGAGATAATGTTGCAAGCGAAATAAAGGGTACGCAAGCCGATGAACTTGTAGATAGAATTGTGGCAATGGCTAAAGTTCTCTTTGGGCTGCACATGATTGATCATCCACAACAGCAGAGCAAGGGCACATACCGCTCCATGGTGTCAGCATCAAGGAAAAGGGCTGTCATAGCCTGTTTCAGGCAAACCTCTCTGCATTCCCTGCCCAGGCATCGGTCCATTAACATCTTCATTCGTTCGTTCTGTGAGCTGTGGCTGCAGGATGAGAATGTGGGCCAGGAGATCATGATTGAGGATTTGACTCAGTCATTTGAAGATGCGGAAATGAAGAAGCTGGACAAGGAAGAGGACCAGGGCAAACCTGATCCACTCACCCAGCTGGTGATGAATTTCTGTCGTGGTGCAATGACAGAGAGGAGCGGAGCGCTCCAAGAAGATCCCTTGTACATGTCGTATGCTAACATTGTGGCCAAGTCCTGCGGTGAAGAAGAGGAAGAGGGTGGTGGTGACGAGGAGGAGGAGGGTGGTGGTGGTGGTGAAGGCGAGGAAGGTGGAGCATCCATCCACGAACAAGAAATGGAGAAGCAGAAGTTGCTCTTCCACCAGGCTCGGCTGGCCAACCGAGGAGTGGCTGAGATGGTGCTGCTTCATATTTCGGCCTCAAAAGGTGTGCCCAGTGAAATGGTGCACATTACGCTTCAACTTGGAATTTCTGTGCTAAGAGGAGGTAACATTGAGATTCAGATGGGAATGTTGAACCACTTGAAGGAAAAGAAGGATGTTGGTTTCTTCACCTCCATTGCTGGACTAATGAACTCTTGTAGTGTTCTGGACCTTGATGCATTTGAAAGAAACACAAAGGCAGAAGGTCTTGGTGTTGGATCTGAGGGAGCTGCGGGAGAGAAGAACATGCATGATGCTGAATTCACTTGCACACTTTTCCGTTTCATTCAACTGACTTGTGAAGGTCACAACTTGGAGTGGCAAAACTACCTGCGTACTCAAGCTGGTAATACGACAACTGTCAACGTTGTCATTTGCACTGTCGATTATCTACTGCGTCTTCAAGAATCCATCATGGACTTCTACTGGCACTACTCTAGTAAAGAGCTTATTGATACAGCGGGCAAAGCAAACTTCTTCAAAGCAATAGGAGTTGCCAGTCAAGTTTTCAACACATTATCTGAAGTTATTCAAGGTCCCTGCCCTCAGAATCAGCAAGCTCTGGCACATTCAAGGTGATTTTTATTTTTCCTTTGACAAACAAATACACTTCAGTGTACCTTTCCTGTTCATTAAATTTCACTGTCTCTGGGGGCGATTATTTTTGCAGATTGTGGGATGCAGTTGGTGGTTTCCTTTTCCTCTTCTCTCACATGCAAGACAAGCTTTCCAAACATTCAAGTCAGGTTGACCTGTTGAAAGAATTGTTGAACCTTCAGAAAGACATGATTACTATGATGTTATCTATGCTTGAAGGAAATGTTGTGAATGGTACTATCGGTAAACAGATGGTGGACACCCTAGTAGAATCAGCATCAAATGTTGAGGTGCGTGGTGTACTTGTGTTATTTGCATTATTTGTTTCCCCTTGTGGGACACTTCCATTTATTTGTCTCCTTTTTTCCAGCTTATCCTGAAATACTTTGACATGTTCCTTAAATTGAAAGATCTGACATCCTCAGCTAGCTTTATGGTAAGGAGTTCACTAAGAACTTTTATATTTATAGGGTTCTTATATTTGCTGCATTGTTTTTTTAATATGCCATTTTCTGACTTTTGAAACTTTTGAATCCCTTAGGAAATAGATCCCAACAATGAAGGCTGGGTTTTACCAAAGGATTTCAAGGAGAAAATGGAACAAGGCAAAAGTTACACTCCGTAGGTATCAGGGAATTCTCTAATCTGGTCACACAATGCGCCTTGTTAATAATTTAAAAAAAAAATTGTTTGTGTTTTTTTAGGGAGGAGATCGACTTTTTACTGGCCTGTTGTGATACCAACCATGATGGTAAAATTGACTATGTAGCATTTACCGACCGCTTCCATGAGCCTGCTAAAGAAATTGGTTTCAACCTTGCTGTTCTTCTCACCAACTTATCTGAACACATGCCTAATGAACCAAGGTAGGCACAATATATTTTAAACACAGTCTTGCTTAAAAAAATAAAAATAGCTCACTGAAATGAATGGAAACTGTCCTTTTCTTGCAGACTTGCCCGTTTCTTGGAAACTGCAGGCAGTGTACTGAACTACTTTGAACCTTTCTTGGGCCGTATTGAAATTATGGGTGGAAGCAAGAGAATTGAAAGAGTTTACTTTGAAATCAAGGAATCAAATATAGAGCAATGGGAGAAGCCTCAGATCAAGGAATCCAAACGAGCTTTCTTCTACTCAATCGTCACTGAGGGAGGTGACAAGGAGAAGCTGGAGGCGTTTGTTAATTTTTGTGAGGATGCTATTTTTGAAATGCAGCATGCTAGTGGATTGATGGCTGTGGATGATGGCGGTGGCCCAGGCAGTGGTAAAGCTCGCAAGGCCGCTTATAGTTACATGGCAGATGAAGATGAAGAACGGTGAGTTGTAATCATAGAGATTTTCCACTTCTAATTAATGTTTGTGTACATGTTTGTGAAAAAACGTCTTTTGATGACCCTCAGGAACGCTAAGGATCCTTTCCGGCGCGGTTTTGGCGTGGTGCGTGACGGTATCTATCTCTTCTTTGCCATGTTGTCTCCGACAAATATCAAGACTCAGATCAGCCATTTGAGTCACATGAGTTTCTCGGAGGTGGTCATTGGTTTCTTCAAGTCCATCTACTATGCTTTCTACTATTCTGGATACGGTGTATATTGCGTTCTCAGGTAAAGTGAATGAAATAGCTTCAGCACTTTATTCTTAGACTTTTTATTCAAACAAATTTGCTTTTTTTTAAACAGGTACTTTGCTCGTATGTTGATGGCATTGATGCGAGGACCCCAAACGGAGGAGGTGGTCGTTGAAGTGAAGGAAGAGGAGAAACTTGGTCCTTTGCGAGTCCTGCCAGCACTGCCTTCCAAGGAGGAGTCTCCAGCACCGCCCCTACCCATTCATGGCCAGCTTGCCATAACACACGACGGTGAGGCTGGAGCCAAGGCTGACAGCATTCCGCCCTCTGGAGAGGATTCTGGTCCGACTGAGACGGACGGAGAACATCGCATGAGCACAGCAGAAAATCCTGAGGAAGTGGCAATGACATTGGCTGATCTGCTGGGGTAAGTGTTAGTTTCTTACTGATTTATCGGTTCTATTGAGTGTTCTGTCAATGAAAAATCTTGTTTGTGTTCAGTGGTGATGCGGCAAGGAAAGAGGCAGCAGCAACTGCAGAAGTGGCTGCACAACAACAGGCTGTCATGGCTGCTGTGGAAGCGGAGAACAAACAGGAGGCAGTGGTTGAGCCATCCGCTCTTTCCCAGATGGACTTTAACAGCTACACTAACAGAATTGTCAGCTTCCTGGCTCGAAACTTCTACAATTTGAAATATGTTGCTCTTGTTCTGGCCTTCTGCATCAATTTTATGTTGCTGTTCTACAAGGTAAGGAAAGTGTTTCTTTATGTGCCCACAAGAAGTCAATAATATGAATTAAAAGCCATGGTTTTTATGCTTTAAAGGTGACAACAATGGGAGAGGATGAGGATGGCTCTGGTAGTGGGGCAGACGATGGCAGTGGTAGCGGAATGGACAGTCTCATTTCTGAACTGTCCGGTTCTGGCTCTGGCTCAGGCTCTGGAGGAGGCATTGCCGCTGTGATTGGAGGCGGAGGCGGAGGTGGAGGCGGAGAAGGATCTGAGGAAGATGGGGGAAGCGGAGAGGAGGAAGATGACCCTCTCGAGTTTGTGCACGTCAGTGAGGACTTCTTCTACATGGCCCATGTAATGAGGCTCGCCGCTGCTCTGCATTCATTGGTGTCCCTTGCCATGCTCATTGCGTACTACCACCTCAAGGTAAGAACAACTTTGATCAAAAAAAATTTTTTTCATGAAAATTAATTATTTGAACGGTTTGTAAATATTTTCTGCACCTGTTGTCTGTCTTAAGGTTCCTTTGGCCATATTCAAGCGTGAAAAGGAAATTGCAAGACGATTGGAGTTTGATGGCTTGTTCATTGCGGAACAGCCTGATGACGATGACATCAAGTCTCATTGGGACAAACTAGTCATATCCGCAAAGTAAGTTGTTTGGTTTCAGTACATCTGGTTGTTAATTAAGTTTTGTTTTATACTATAGAATAATTTGTTTTCAGGTCCTTCCCTGTGAATTACTGGGACAAGTTTGTAAAGAAGAAAGTAAGGCAAAAGTACAGTGAAACTTATGACTTTGATTCCATCAGCAATTTGCTTGGAATGGAGAAAACTTCATTTAGTGCTCAGGAAGATGAAACTGGAAGTGGCATAATTCATTTGTAAGTATAAATTACTGTATGTGCTTTTATTTGTTGTTGTTAAAAGAGAACCCAAAAATAATTAACATAATTTTTTTCCAGCCTCTTTAATTTTGATTGGCGGTACCAAGTTTGGAAAGCAGGTGTCACCATCACCGACAATGTGTGTATTTTAAAGACTATGTTTTATACGGTTAAGTTCATTTAAATTAGAAATTAATTCTTTCTCTCTTTTTCAGTCATTCCTTTACAGCTTGTGGTATTTTACTTTCTCCATCCTGGGCAACTTCAACAATTTCTTCTTTGCTGCTCACTTGCTGGATGTGGCTGTTGGATTCAAGACCCTCCGCACCATTTTGCAATCCGTCACACACAATGGAAAACAATTGGTGCTCACTGTCATGCTTCTTACAATTATTGTATACATTTATACTGTGATAGCTTTCAACTTCTTCAGAAAATTCTATGTTCAAGAAGAAGATGACGAAGTTGATAAAAAATGTCATGACATGGCTACGGTAAATACATAATATACATTTCTCTTTCTTTTCTTGCTTAGGTAATTCTCACCCTAAAATTTCATCTTCTTTGTTTCAGTGTTTCGTATTCCATCTGTACAAAGGTGTCAGAGCTGGTGGTGGTATTGGTGATGAAATTGAGGAGCCAGATGGCGATGATTATGAAGTTTACAGAATTATGTTTGATATCACCTTCTTCTTCTTTGTCATTGTTATTTTGCTGGCTATCATTCAGGGTAATTAAATATTTTGGCTTCTTGTGCGCTTTGATTTAAAAATATAAAGAGCCTAAAACTGAACAAATGTTCATCTTCAGGTTTGATCATTGATGCCTTTGGTGAGCTGCGTGATCAGCTGGACAGCGTCAAAGAAAACATGGAGTCAAACTGCTTTATTTGTGGTATTGGCAAAGATTACTTTGATAAAGTACCTCATGGGTTTGACACACACGTTCAACAAGAACACAACTTGGCTAATTACATGTAAGCATCGCTCATTAAAAATAAGTAGTTTCTTTTTGTTTTTAAGGTGTACTTATTATATTGCTCTATGATTTCCAGGTTCTTCCTTATGCACTTGATCAACAAACCGGATACTGAGTATACAGGTCAAGAAACGTATGTGTGGAACATGTATCAGCAAAGGTGTTGGGACTTCTTCCCTGTTGGTGACTGCTTCCGCAAACAGTATGAGGATGAACTGGGTGGTGGAGGTGGTTAACCAATATTTTGGAAAAAATGTATTTTCTCGATGCACAAACAATAAATCCATCCACAACACCTTAATGCCTATGATTGGTCATACCCACTTCCTTACACTTTATTTAATGTAAAATGGCAAAAAAATTAGGCAAACGTACAAAAATTTAGAAAAAACAATTTTAAGAATGAAAGCAAACAGTTTTTTTTTAAATTTCAGAAAAGTGGAACTGTCTGGGAGCTAGAAAAAGAGTCCATGAAATTGTATCAAATCAAAATGTTCCTTTTGAATTTTTGCCGCTATTCTTCACTTCCGGGAGTCATCTCGGCGCGAAAGCGCGCGGTCCGCGGGTCCGCAAAGCTTGCGAGAAGGCGGAGAGCGCCAGTCAGTTGTCCGTGCGCTCGCGCTTTGTTTACACCGTGTTGCATGCGTCCAAATTTGAACGGCGATTAAGGCCTGCGCCTTGATCGAAGGCTCCACTGGCCGGCGCCTGCATCCGCGACTCGCGCGCTGAAATCGGCGTCGGCTGTCAAGTGATTGTGGCTCGCGGGGGTCTTGGTGTCGGCCATGGCGGCCCGGTAAGGCAGCTGCTGGGGGGAGCGAGTGACGAGTCGAGCAGCCGCGCCAGCCGCACCGCGGCAGCCCGCCGAGCCGAGCCGGGCCGACGAGCAGGACGCAGCCAGGACCGGTCACGGCCTCACGGGCCGAGCCGAGCCGGACCGCGACGAGCGGAGCAGCAGGCAGGGCGCGCCTGGCCGAGGCCAACTATACTCGTCCCAGCGTAACCTTTCCAAATCACTCCGCCAGTAGCCAGAGAACAGAAAATAGTCCCGCAGGTAATAGGATTTTTAAAAACTAATAATCAATTCTAGACCGTTGCGATCGTAATAAATCGTATAAGTAAACAACGTTGAAAAAATACGAACAATCTCAGACGTAATCACTAAGCATTCCGGGTTCTGCATTTCCGCGGGCAGACGACGCGCCGGTCCGAGCCCCTCAAAACACCGGTCTCTCGGACCCTCTTTTGCACTAAGAGAGTACTGAAAGAGATATCATAATGACAGCTTGCATTTCTCTAAACCTAAGACGTTGTTGTATGCCCAGCTGGCCCTTGTCTTTCGAAATTGTGCCTTATTATTCAGAATTTGATTTGAGTGCACAAGGCTGGCTTCTCCCCCTAGACCGAGCTCCCAAATTTGATTATCTTGAGCAAGTGAAAGAGATTCAAAAATAACTGCTATATCAGTGAAAGCCCCACCATTTTTGTCTGCCGGAATCGCCTTATTTTGCGAAACTTTGCCTTCTTCTTTAGATATCCCGGATTGTGTGCGCGAGGGCGGCTTCTCCTCCCGACCGAGCTCCCGACTTTTTAGATTATCTTTGAGCAACTGAAAGAGATTCAATAATAACTGCTTATATCAGTGAAAGCCCCACACATTTTTGTCTGCCGGAATCGCCTTTATTTTTAGAATCAATACTTATTTCCTGAGGATTGTGAAATAAAATGCGCCGATTTGGGGAAAAGACGGACGAGGGGCTACTTTCGGAAAGGTTACGCTGGGACGAGTATAGTGGGAGCCGAGCCAGCCGCACCGCGCGCCGCCCGGCCCGAGCTGGCAGTCCGGCAGCCAGCCCGCAGCCAGGATGTGCGGGCTGGGAGCAGCAGCTGCGGCTTCAGGAGTCCCCGGGGCGCAGCCCAGGCACGTCGGCGCTAGAGCCAACGGCCCCCAGTGAAACCGAAACAGAGACAGCGTCGCGGCTGTCGCGGGCCGCGGACCGCGCAGGGCCCCCCGCGGGGCAGCGCGACGGTACGCCCCACGGCACGCCCCACGGTACGCCCCACGGTACGCCCCACGGTACGCCCCACGGCACGCCCCACGGTACGCCCCACGGTACGCCCCACGGTACGCCCCACGGCACGCCCCACGGCACGCCCCACGGTACGCCCCTCGCCGTCTTCGGGGAAGTGCCGCCAGTGGCGTGTCCCGCCGTGGATGGAGTGAAAAGGACGCGACAGTCAGCCGAATCGCGAGGTAAGTGACAGACAAGGCGGCCCGTGTGACGCGATGTGCGACGTGCGGGGAAGGCTTAGAACAGTGCCCCTTGTGTTCTGTGCTGCACTGCGCACTCGCCGCGCACCGCGCCCAGGTGCCAAGGAGGCGTAGAGGGGCGGGAGGGAGGAGGGCGCACAGTGGGCCAGAAGCCGGTGGAGGCGGCCAAAACTCTAAACGCGTTTTGAGCTCCAGAGTCGCTAAATGGGACTCGAACCGAACGTGTGACCCCACCAATGGATTGCTCTCCGAACGAGGAATCCATTGGTGGGGTCACACGTTCGGTTCGAGTCCCATTTAGCGACTCTGGATCTCAAAATGCGTCTAGAGTTTTGGCCGCCTCCACCGGCTTCTGGCCCACTGTGGGGCGGGCCCGGGCAGCGGCAGGCAGCGGGCAAGGGGTGCCGTGCCGGGGGTGGCACGGCGGCAAGGGCGGCGCGGGGCGGCGCGTGCCAAGGTGTGAGACCGAGGGTGTAGGCGCGCGCAGCGCGCAAAGTGTGAGATTGTTTTAATTGGACGAGTGTGAGGTCAGGTGTGAAGAGCCAATTAGACAGGGGTGAGGTGGCGAGTGCTTGACAATTGCCGATTTAGTGGCCGAGGTGTCAAGTGGCGGGGTGGGGCGTGGAGGTGCCGGCGGAGGCGGAGAGTTGAAGGGTGGAGTGGGGCGGCGGGGGGCGAAGGGGCGCGAAGGGGAATGCCTGCCTGTCTGTGGACTGCCTCGGCCGCCCCAGCGCCCCGGGGTGTTGGCGGGCCGAGCGGCCTGTGCCTGTAATTAGGATCTCGGCGTCTGCCAGTCAGGGCGCGGGTTCGATCCCCGCCGCCTCCCGCCCGCCTTTTAGCTTTCCACCTCCTTTTCGCGCCCGCATCGCGCCGCCGACTGGGAATCAAGGATCAAGCTCAGCCACAAATAAACGACGAAACCTGGTCCAATGTAGAGCCTGGCCGTCCAGCCAATGAGCGCATTTCCCGGTGTGCCGGCGCGTGGCGACGTCCGTGACGTCACGTCACTCAGTCGCTCTCCTCCAAGGCCGCCCCGCTTTTTCTCGCTTCTCCTCGGCGAGCGGGGCGAGCTGTTCCCCGAGAGGTGTGACAAGGCGCGGCTCGCGGCTCCAATGTTTGCCGGCTCGGCACGCGCCACCGCGCCACTAATGCACGACGCGGACCGCGCCGACGCCGAGGACGTCGAGGACGCCGTCGTCGCGTCCTCCAGGCCGCCCCTTTTCTGTTTAGACGCTCCGCAGTGCCCCCGGCTGCCCCGGGGACTATTTTTAGTGCAGTGCGCCCGGCTCCAGCCCCGCGCTGGCTGCCGTCTGATTCCGAGCACTGCTTTCGTCGCTGTCTCTCTCGCACTCGTGGGGCGGTCCGTAGGGGTGCGAGAGAGACAGAGCGACGAACCAGTGTTCGGAATCAGACGGTTGCTGCAGACTGATGCAGAGAGTCGTTTTCGTCGCTCCGTCTCTCTCAGACTCATGGGGCGTGCCGTATAGGCGCGAGAGAGACAGAGCGACGAGGAAGGCGCACCGTAAGGGCGTTCGTACTGCCTCACCCCGCCGGCAAGTCAAGCCCCACCCCGTCCCGGGCGACGGCCCGGCGACCCTTCCCGACCTATCGCAAGGTTCCCACATGCGACGGCCATGAGTGCGGCAACACATGGGGTCGCCAGGCCGCCATGAGCGACTGAGCGACGGCAGCAGCGCCGCGAGCGCCGTCAAGGGGTCGTGACGGTCTCTGTCTTTCCCATCAGCGCACAGTGGGCCAGAAGCCGGTGGAGGCGGCCAAAACTCTAGACGCGTTTTGAGCTCCAGAGTCGCTAAATGGGACTCGAACTGAGCGTGTGACCCCACCAATGGATTCCTCGTTCGGAGAGCAATCCATTGGTGGGGTCAGACGCTCAGATCGAGTCCCATTTAGCGACTTTAGAGCTCAAAACGCGTCTAGAGTTTTGGCCGCCTCCACCGGCCTTCTGGCCCACTGGGCGGCGGCGGCGCGGCGAAGCTCCTCGTCGCCATCCTCTCGGGAGACGAGACGATCTCGCGGCGACGCGTCTTGTGAAGTCAGGCGTTTTTAAAGTCTGCTACGTGTGCACTTCTTCTTCGGCGGTCTCAACGGCCTCGTCGCGTCGCTTCCAAGTATTTCCGGTCGGCCACGGCGGCGAGGGTTATCTAATTAAGCGCCTTCTTCTTGACGGTGTACTCGGCGAGCGCCGAGCGACCCGTTGTGTCCACACGCAGTGCTGCATCGCAATACGATTGCCTGTACACTGCCGGCGGAATTAAAGCCGAGCGTTAGCGGCGCTCTGTCTCGCTCCCACCCGTACGGGACGCCCCGCGCCCCGTGAGTGCGAGGGAGACAGCGCCACTTCGTTCGGAATCGGCGTGCCGGCCGTTCGTGTGACACGCGGCGCGTATTCATTCAACAGAGTTGCGGCGGTGCGGCGGTGCCGCGGTTCTCGGGTCGCCGACGGCGTGCCGACGGCGTGGTGCTCGACGAGGACGTGCGCTACACGCGAGGCGGCCATCGCGGCCAGCGCGGCGTGACACAGTGGGCCAGAAGACCGGTGGAGGCGGCCAAAACTCCAGACGCGTTTTGAGCTCCAGAGTCGCTAAATGGGACTCGAACCGAACGTGTGACCCCACCAATGGATTGCTCTCCGAATGAGGAATCCATTGGTGGGGTTACACGTTCGGTTCGAGGCCTGCTCAGCGACTCTGGAGCTCAAAACGCGTCTGGAGTTTTGGCCGCCTCCACCGGTCTTCTGGCCCACTGTGCGCGACCCCCTGATCCAAGGTGGCGGTCTGTTTGGGCGACTCGGCGTCGTCGGCTTGCTCGAACTCGCACGTGCTTCGCGCGAGGCCGCCGGCCGGCGCTGCCGAGTCCACGCGGGGCGGCCGGACGCGGCCGTGGCGATGACGGGCTGATGCACGTCCACGCCGCTCTCGGCCGCTGCAGTCGGAGTTGCAGTGCAGGCGTAAGAAATGTTCAATTTCCGACGCTTGCCGACCCGCGCCGCGCACGGTGGTCCGACGCGCCGAGGAATCTCGTGGCCCTTGAGCCCTTCGGCACCAGGGGCCCTTGCTGCAGGGCGCGCCAAGCGTGCGCTGCGTGCGCCGGCCCTTCGTGCCCAAGGACGTGCCGCATACGTGTTGGAGTACGGAGAGGCCGGGCCAGCCGGGCCGGCCGGGCCGGTCGGAACGCTAAACGTGCGCAGGCGCGGCGCGGGGCGGCGCGGGGCCGCAGCCACCCGCATGCACTCCCTCTGCCCCCTCCCCTCTTTCCCTATTCCATTCTTGAGAGGCTGCGCGGCTTATTTGGCTCGTTGACGGGGACCTCGGGCCTCGGGGAAGGGACTGGAAGGGACCCTGCTGCCACATGGCGCGGTGCCGGGCACGGGGCGGGGCAGGGCCGGCAGGGCCGGCAGGGCGTGGAGGGCGTGAAGCAGGCCGAGGACGTCCCAGGGACTTCCCCGGACCGATCGGCACACTGTGTGCGCAGTGCAGTGCAGCACCGCGAGCACCGCCCATCCGCCGCGCCACAGTGGCGTTGTGGCGCGCCGGAGATGTTTGGGCGTGTCTCTGTGTGTGTGTGTGTGTGTGTGTGTATGTGTGTGCGTGTGTGTGTGAGTGTGTGCGTCTAGTTGTGCGTGTCCGGCCCACGCGCCGCGCCCGATGTGAATGTGATGCCGATACGTCGATGGATTTGATGGGCCCGGCCAGGCTGACCGTCAGGTTGACCCTTTTTAAATGTTTTTGTTTTTGTTCGCCCGCGCCGTGTTGTTGTTGTTGTTTGTTCCCGTGGGCTGGACACGCTTGGCTGCGAGCGAGGCTCTAACAAGCCAGTCCGTTGACGGTCCCGAAATGTTAAAAATCGACCAGAAAAATGGATTTATATTGTTTTTTCGGCGAGGACCTTCCCCACCTATAGGCTCTGGTCATTCCCCGGCGGGGCGTAGTATCGCTCGCGCGACCCGCAAGCCAGCACGCCAGCAGCGTGCCGCTCCAAATATGCCCCGTCCTTTCATTGGCCTTTGCTCTTTTGTCTGCATTCTTTCGTCTTTCTATTCGTCTCTTTCGACTTTCTCCTTTGTCCGGTCGCGCTAGTCGCGCTGCACCGCGTGTGTGGCTGTGGGCGGTCTCCTCTTCCTCCTCCTCCCCCTCCTCCTCCCCCTCCTCCCCCTCCTCCCCCTCCTCCCCCTCCTCCCTCTCCTCCCTCTCCTCCCTCTCCTCCCTCTCCTCCCTCTCCTCCCTCTCCTCCCTCTCCTCCCTCTCCTTCCCTCTCCTCCTCCCTCTCCTTCTCCCTCTCCTCCCTCCCTCTCCGCCTCCCTCTCCTCCCTCTCCTCCCTCTCCTCCTCCCTCTCCTCCCTCTCCTTCCCTCTCCTCCTCCCTCTCCTCCTCCCTCTCCTCCCTCTCCTCCTCCCTCTCCTCCCTCTCCTTCCCTCTCCTCCTCCCTCTCTCCTCCTCCCTCTCCTCCCTCTCCTCCTCCCTCTCCTCCCTCTCCTCCCTCTCCTTCCCTCTCCTCCTCCCTCTCCTCCTCCCTCTCCTCCCTCTCCTCCTCCTCTCCTCCCTCTCCTCCCTCTCCTTCCTCTCCTCCCTCTCCTCCCTCACCTCCCCCTCCTCCTCCCCCTCTCCTCCCCCTCCTCCTCCTCCTCCTTGTTGGCGTCACCTCGATTCGCGCGGTGCGGGTCGCGCGGTCGCGTTTCGGGGAACGCTTCCGTTGGCCGCCACGCGGTGCGCCGCCGCGGACGACGACGACGACGCAATGACACCACGCGCTTGTTGTTGTTGTTGTTGTTGTTGTTTTCATGCTGTTTTCCCGGTTTCTGTTTATTTCGATTCGATTTTTGGCGGGCCGCCGCGCGTCTTAGCCGTCGACCGAGAGCCACCAGGCTGCAGTCCGAGTCAGCGGCTTGTTGGCGTTGCGTCGTCTAGTTATTAGCTAGCCCACGTCGGTGTCGATGATTCGCGTGGGAGCGGGGTGGGGTGAGGCGGGGCGGGCTGAGGCGAGGCGGGGCGGGGCGGGGCCCGCTGCTCGCTCGCCAACTCTGCGCATAGTAGTGACTGACCGCCACGCCCCGGCCGCCCCGGCGTCCTGCTGCCGGCGTCCTGTGTGCGATGTGTGCGTCTCGCCGGTGTAAAACTGGCAAACTCGGCCGCTGCCTTTGTGTGTCCGCACGGGACGGTGGGGCAGCCGAGGGCAGCCAGGGGCGGCCGGCACCAGCTGCTCGCCGCTTTGCTTTGCTGCGCCGATCGCTGTGAAGCTGTGAATGGAGCACGCGCCGTAGCACCGCCACCACCGCCAGCACCGCCAGCCACTGCAACTGCAGCATCGCGCCGCACAGTGGGCCAGAAGACCGGTGAAGGCGGACAAAACCCTAGACGCGTTTTGAGCTCCAGAGTCGCTAAATGGGACTCGAACCGAACGTGTGACCCCACCAATGGATTGCTCTCCAAACGAGGAATCCATTGGTGGGGTCACACGCTCGCTTCGAGTCCCATTTAGTGACTCTGGAGCTCACAACGCGTCTAGAGTTCTGGCCGCCTCCGCCGGTCTTCTGGCCCACTGTGCGCCGCGTTGCAGCAGAACGATTACGGCAGATTGATTCCGAGCGTCGTTTTCGTCGCCCTGTCTCTCTCGCACTCATGGGGCGTTCCCTATGGGTGCGAGAGAGTCAGAGCGACGAAAACGACTCTCGGAATCAATCTGCGGGCAGCGTCGTTCATGTGGCAGATGTGGCAGGGGCGGCCCACTGCCCACTGGGGGCCCACTAGGGCACGGCGGCTACTTCAGTTGGCTCTGGCGCGCGCGACCCGCAACGACACGGACTTACACACTCACACACACACATACACACACACAGACACACACACACACACACACTCTCAGACACACACACACACACACACACAGACGATGACCTTTATCGGGAGCCTTACACCATACACGGCTCGCTGGACGCCTCGCGCCGCGCGCTGCGTGCGTCCACCTCCTCCACCACCACGCCTTGGTGCCGCTGCCGCCGCCGCCCTGGACTCGGCCGCCAGACGGCGGGACGCGGCGAGATGCAACACATTGCATTGCGCGCTGGCCGAAATCTCCTTCGCCTCACTTGTCATTCAGACTGTTGCAATTTCCACTGTTTGCGTTTTGCGTAATGAAAACAGTTTTTGCGATGTTTCGCGTTATCCCTGCTATAAAAATGAAATGAAAAAAGGTTATAGCGAAATTTGAATGCGTTAATTAGCGCAGTGTTATCGCAAAAATTCTCAGAGCGTGAAAGTATTGCGAAATGAAGGCCGGCACTCGAGTGTGTGCGTGTGCCGCGGCTTGTATACTGTAAGTGCTCTACTAGACTGTGCACTGTGCGGCTCGTGGGTGGCCGTGGCTGGCCGTGTCGCGTCGGCCGTCCAGGCCGACCAGGCCGTCATCGCGGAGAATGCGGCTGCGGTGCTTATCAGCGATAAGCCGCTATCAGGCCGCAGGTACACACACGCGCACGCACACACACACACACACACACACACTAACACGTGCGCAGGGTACGCCGAGGGTACACTGGTAACGTCGTTGCTCCCGACGGCCTGCTTGGAGAGGCTGGGCAGAGCTGGCGGCAAGGCGACAGCTGCCGCCTGACGACACGCAGGTAGGCAGCCGGGGCGCGCGGCTGGCGAGCGGGTTTGCCTACCCCGCTTCCCTCGGGCGCTCGGCGCGGCGCACGGCACGGCAAGGCGGCCCCGCACAGTGGGCCAGAAGACCGGTGGCGGCGGCCAAAACTCAAGACGCGTTTTGAGCTCCAGAGTCGCTAAATGGGACTCGAACCGAACGTGTGACCCCACCAATGGATTGCTCTCCGAACGAGGAATCCATTGGTGGGGTCACACGTGAGCTCAAAACGTGGTGAGCTCAAAACGCGTCTAGAGTTTTGGCCGCCTCCACCGGTCTTCTGGCCCACTGTGCGCCGTCGTTGTTGTGGCCGGCAGGCGCAGCCGGCCGGTCACTTCCGGTGTCTGTTTGTATTCGGCTGGGCTTTGGCTTTCGGCAGCCCGTCCGACGGACGCCGAGACGCCGTCCTCCGCCAGCGCCAAGTACTCATGGATTGGTCTGCCCGATTTCAGATGGCCGAGCGGGACGCTAGCTGGGGCCTGGCCCTGGGCCCTGCGCTGGGCCCCGCCCTGGGCCCCGCCGCCCAGCACGACGCCCTGCGCGCGGCCAGCTGGAGGGACGACGCCGACGGCGTGCTGCAGCGCGCCTTCGAGGCCGTCGAGTCCATGAACTTCCTCAACGAGCACCCCGCGCCGGCCAGCAGGACCAGCAGCCTCAACGTGGCGGACTACCGGTCGCTGCGTCGCCCCAAGGCGCCCAAGGTGCGTGCACAATCCAGAGGCGGGTCCAGAGGCGGCCTGAGGGGGGCCTGAGGGGGGCAAAGCAGCACTTTGCACCTTCGCTCTGGGGCGAAGTGCTGCTTTCGGCCCACCTTTCAGGCGGCTGTACTCTACAAACTGAAGTGTGTACGCAGTATGCATCTACAGATACTCAGTATGCATCTACAGATACTCAGTATGCATCTACAGATACTCAGTATGCATCTACAGATACTCAGTATGCATCTACAGATACTCAGTATGCATCTACAGATACTCAGTATGCATCTACAGATACTCAGTATGCATCTACAGATGCATACTCAGCTGAGTACACGTCTACAGATGCATACTCAGCTGAGTACACGTCTACAGATGCATACTTGGAGAGCTTAGGTATGCATCTGTAGGTGTGTACTCAGCCAAGTACGCATCTGTAGATGTGTACTCAGCTAAGTATGCATCTGTAGGTGTGCACTTGCGGGTATGCATCTGTAGATGCATACTGAGTGAGTACACACTTCAGTTTGTAGAGTATCTAGGGGTCAGGTTTGGATCCGCGATCCGCGCTTGCTCCGCGCCGCGCTATTCTCTGCCGCTTCCGAGAAGCGAGCCGGCTTGTCAGGCTTGTCTGATGCGAGTTTTTGGCCGCAGGAGACGCCCCTCTCGGCGTGGCAGTGCGCGTCTTCGCTGCGGCGGGACGGTTCTCTGGCGACCGGGGCCCGCGGCCTCAACGGCGGCCTCAACGGCGGCCTCAACGGCGGCCTCAACGGTGGCCTCAACGGCGGCCTCAACGGCGGCCTCAACGGCGGCCTCAACGGCGGCCTCAACGGCGGCCTCAACGGCGGCCTCAACGGCGGCCTCAACGGCGGCGTCAACGGCGGCGTCAACGGCGGCCTCAACGGCGGCCTCAACGGCGGCGTCAACGGCGGCCTCAACGGCGGCCTCAACGGCGGCGTCAACTACCCCGCACCCAGCTTCAGCCCGCCGTCCTCGGAGCGGCCCGGGCCGCGCCCCACGCCGCCCAACTCGCTGCAGCTCAACGGCGCCCCCAGCTACGCGTCGCCAGGTGAGGCGGACACGTTTTTCGGATCGGCCGACAGGGCGGACAGGACAGACAGAGATGCCGTCACGTCGGTCGCCGTCCCGACGCGGCCGACGCACAGTGGGCCAGATGACCGTGCAGGCGGCCAAAACTCTAGACGCGTTTCGAGCTCCAGAGTGGCTAAACAGGCCTCGAACCGAACGTGTGACCCCACCAATGGATTGCTCTCCGACCGAGGAATCCATTGGTGGGATCACACGTTCGATTCGAGGCCTGTTTAGCGACTCTGGAGGTCAAAACGCGTCTGGAGTTTTGGCCGCCTCCACCGGTCTTCTGGCCCACTGTGCGACGGCGCGTGTGACTCGCCGTGCACATGTTACGTGCTCCTCGTCCTCGTCAGCGCGGATTGTGAATAATCAGCCGGCGCGCCGACTCATGGGCCCGCCCCGCCCGGTCGCCGCGCGTGTAGAACCATAACCTAATCACCCACAAAATTGGAGCGAAATGTGTCGATGTACTAACGAAGTTTCCCCGTGCCCCCGCAGTGACGGCCCCGCTCTCGGACACCTCGCCCGAGAGCCCCACCGAGGCCTTCCCCTCGCAGCAGAACTTGTACTGCTCCAACGGCAGCCTGAGCAGCGCGTCCGTCCTCGACGACCTGAGGCAGAGCGAGCTGCACCTCAAGAGGAAGAAGGTAGGCACAGTGGGCCAGAAACCGGCGGAGGCGGCCAAAATTCTAGACGCGTTTTGAGCTCCAGAGTCGCTAAACAGGACTCGAACCGAACGTGTGACCCCACCAATGGATTCCTCGTGCGGAGAGCAAGCCATTGGTGGGGTCACACGGTCGGTTCGAGTCCCATTTAGCGACTCTGGAGCTCAAAACGCGTCTAGAATTTTGGCCGCCTGCACGGTCATCTGGCCCACTGTGGTAGGCCTGAAGGGGACTCGGCCGCCGGGAAGCCCCGACAGCAGTGTTGCCATATAAAGCAGGCGAAAATTGTCTACGATGCGCCGGGCAACCCTATCGATACTGGAGCGTCGTGCGCAAATTTTGCCATCTCCTATGCCAACGTTGCTTGGCAGTGTGGACGATTCACGACTGATTTTGTCGCAGGCGTTCATCGAGCGCGTGCTGGAGCAGCACGAGAACCTCTCCGAGCAGAAGAGGCGCAACGACATCTTCCAGCTGTGCGACAGACTGCAGTCCGCCGAGGTGGCCGCGCCGAAGCCACACCAGAAGAGGTACGCCACACTCGTAGTTTGTTCCTGCACCTCGCGGACTGGAGTGGTCGTTGTGTGTATACTGACAAGGACACCGTTCAGTTCTAGGATCAAAACAAACGGCTCGCTGCCCAGAGACAAGTGCGGCCTGGAGTCTCCCGTCCTGTCGCCGAGGAGGCTGCATTCGTCCTCCGACGATTTACACTCGTCAGGAAACTCAAGGTAACTTTATTCGGATTTTTAAGCGGTCTTGCTACCGCTTCTAGCTCTACATCCGATCCCACTCATCCCATCCCATCCACCCGTTTCATCCATCCATCCATCCATCCATCCATCCATCCATCCATCCATCCATCCATCCATCCATCCATCCATCCATCCATCCATCCATCCATCCATCCATCCATCCATCCATCCATCCTCCATCCATCCATCCATCCTCATCCATCCATCCATCCATCCATCCATCCATCCATCCATCCATCCATCCACCATCCATCCATCCATCCATCCATCCATCCATCCATCATCCTCCCATCCATCCATCCATCCATCATCCATCCATCCATCCATCCATCCATCCATCCATCCATCCATCCATCCATCCATCCATCCATCCATCCATCCATCCATCCATCCATCCATCCATCCATCCATCCATCCATCCATCCATCCATCCATCCATCCATCCATCCATCCATCCATCCATCCATCCATCCATCCATCCATCCATCCATCCATCCATCCATCCATCCATCCATCCATCCATCCATCCATCCATCCATCCATCCATCCATCCATCCATCCATCCATCCATCCATCCATCCATCCATCCATCCATCCATCCATCCATCCATCCATCCATCCATCCATCCATCCATCCATCCATCCATCCATCCATCCATCCATCCATCCCATCCATCCATCCATCCATCCATCCATCCATCCATCCATCCATCCATCCATCCATCCATCATCCATCCATCATCCATCCATCCATCCATCCATCCATCCCATCCATCCATCCATCCATCCATCCATCCATCCATCCATCCATCCATCCATCCATCTCCCCATCCATCCATCCATCCATCCATCCATCCATCCATCCATCCATCCATCCATCCATCCATCCATCCATCCATCCTCCATCCATCCATCCATCCATCCATCCATCCATCCATCCATCCATCCATCCATCCATCCATCCATCCATCCATCCATCCATCCATCATCCATCCATCCATCCATCCATCCTCCATCATCATCTCATCCATCCATCCATCCATCCATCCATCCATCCATCCATCCATCCATCCATCCATCCATCCATCCATCCATCCATCCATCCATCCATCCATCCATCCATCCATCCATCCATCCATCCCCATCCATCCATCCATCCATTCAGCGCGCTCGGCATCCGACCTGCATGCCGTCCGATCCTTCTCCTTCCCCATCCAAAATTTCAGGACCAGGTGTGTTTCTTAAGAGTTTGCCTGTAGTGCAGTTTGCGTTAGGCTGAAACTGGATTCTGGTCCGCAGGCCCGATAACGCCGTCCACCACGGCGCGGTGCACGGCGCGGTACTCGGCTACGAGAACGTGAACCCCGGCGACCTGGCGGCGCACCTGCTCAACGGCAGCCCCATCTCGCCGTCCAGCCCGCGGCGCGGCATCCGCACCGTGCTGCCCGCCAAGGAGGCCTTCTCCTTCCCCCAGTACGTTCAAAACTTTAAACCAAAGTGAGTGTTTCTGTCAGGAGTTTGTGTAAGTGACGAATCGTTTCCGGCGTCTCAGGGACATCACCAACGAGGTGATCGAGAAGCACCCGGAGCTGTACAAGCAGAGCCAGCACACGCCCAAGACCCGGCCGCGGCCGGGCATGACCACGTCCACGCCCCGCGAGCAGCCCGTCAGCACCGCCGCCAAGCCCGAGGCCGCCAAGCCCGAGGCCGGCAAGCCCGAGGCCCGCGCGGACGCGGCCGGCGAGAAGGTGGTGGCCCTGAGCCTGGAGCTCGAGTTCGTGCAGAAGGAGCGCCTCAAGATCATGTCCGCCATGACGGTGCTCAAGACGCGCCTCAGCGAGATCGAGACGCAGCAGGAGGACGCGGAGCGCGACGCGTCCATGGAGCAGGCCTTCATCCGCGCCGAGCTGCAGTCCAAGCGCGACAAGGCGCGCACACTGCAGGCGCGCATCGCCAGCCTCCGCGAGCGCGCCGACAAGTGCCAGCGCGAGATCAACCTGTGGCAGGACGACCGCAACCAGCAGCAGCGCGTCTTCTCGCTGTCCGTGGAGGCCGCCGAGGCCGCGCTCGAGGAGCTGCGCGACCAACTGCGGCGCTGCCAGGACGACGCCGAGCGCAACGAGCTCCGCGACAAGATCTACCAGCAGGCCGACGTCCTGGACTCGGAGAAGAAGCTCTACGAGGACCTCGAGTTCAAGTACCTGGAGGAGGAGTCGGTGTGGCTGGCCAAGAAGGAGGAGCTCAGCAAGGAGCTGGCCGAGGCCGTCAAGAAGTACGACGAGTACGACGCCCAGATGTGCCAGCTCGAGTCCTGGGTCGACAACGAGGGCGCCGACGCCGTGCAGGCCGAGGGCTTCACCGAGCAGAAGCTGGCGTACCTGCAGCGGCTCGAGGAGGTGGGGCAGGCCGCGGCACTTCCAGTTCCCAGCTTTGCACTTTGAAATTAATTCATAACTTTTTTTGAATTAATTCTTCTCCAGGGCCAGTCCCAGCTGGACGTCCTGGACGCGCGCATCGAGGAGCTGAAGAGGCAGGGCGCCACCTCGCTGGGCGCCAACGACGGCGAGCCGCAGGCCAAGCTGCTGTCCGCCTCGCTGTGCGACCTGGACCTCACCCTGACGGACGCGTCCAGCGAGCGCATGTCCTCCACGCCCGGCCTCACCTCGCTCGAGTCGTCCTTCTACAGCGGCCACCACCAGCCGTCCTACGGCGGCGAGAGTTCGTCGCGGGGCGCCGAGGGGGCCTCCACGCAGGCGCTGGCGGGCGACTCTCGGTACCAGCTCCACGGCAACGACGGCCACCAGGACGGCTTCCAGTGAGTACCCGCCGGACCGCGAACCCGCGCCCAATGGGCCAGAAGAACAGCGCAGGTGGCCAAAATTCTAGACGCGTTTTGAGCTCCAGAGTCGCTAAATGGGACTCGAACCGAACGTACGTGTGACCCCACCAACGGATTCCTCGTTCGGAGAGCAATCCATTGCTGGGGTCACACGTTCTCTTTTAGTCCCATTTAGCGACTCTGGAGCTCAAAACGCGTCTAGAATTTTGGCCGCCTCCACCGGCCTTCTGGCAAATCCTTTGTGCTCCGTCGAGCCCCTCACCAACGCCGTGCTTGTTGCAGGTACTTCCCCGCTGACACGCTGCCTTCCGCCATCGAGGCGCGGGTGAGTCTGCCTGCTAATGGCCGACACAGCGGCCCGCGAAGCTACGCGAAGCGAGTCCCCCGACCGAATTGAGTGGGAGTGACTCCGAGCGGGGCGTATGCCCGGCCAGGCCCTGAGCTTGAGTCCGCCGCCGAGAGATGGCGCCTAGCGCGCGCCGTGCGGTGCTGGTGGCAGTTGGGTTGCCTGCCTCCGCGTGTGCGGGCGGGGCTCGCGGGGCGGGGCACAGTGGGCCGGAAGACCGGTGAAGGCGGTCAAAACAATAGACGCGTTTTGAGCTCCAGAGTCTCTAAATGGGACTCGAAACGTACGTGTGACCCCACCAATGGATTCCTCGTTCGGAGAGCAATCCATTGGTGGTGGGGTCACATGTTCGGTTCGAGTCCCATTTAGCGACTCTGGAGCTCAAAACGCGTCTCGAGTTTTGGCCGCCTCCACCGGTCTTCTGGCCCACTGTACGGGGGCACCACCGCGGCACCGCGACCAGAGAAACTTCCTCACTAATCACTCGCCAATCTAGACTGACTGGGTGCACTGCAGCACTGCTTTGAACTTTGAATTCAGGCGCCTCTAATTGGCAGTGTATCCTGCTTTCGCGAGAGGCGTTCTCCGCTCGGCTAGACAAGGCTTCTTTGTGCCCCGAGTGTTGCTTTGACCGCAGCCCCGCACCGCCCCCCTCGTCGTGCTTCGATCTTCGATGTCTCGAACTGCATTAGTCCGCGTCGCCGCCGGCGTCGCCGCCGGCGTCGCCGTCCTCTCGACGGCAGCCCACTTGACGTGCTCGTGGGGTCGCCGTTCCCATTTCTCTCTCGCGTTTCCGCCGAGGCGACGTCCTTGAAACTAAACATACTGGCGGCCGATTCGATTCGGTTTATTTTTCCCGCTCAAACTTTGGCATCTCTAGGCGGACCCTCCGCCTCGCCGGTCGGTCCTTCCCCGCTGCTCGCCTGTCTGTCTGTCTGTCTGTCTGTCTGTCTGTCCGTCCGTCCGCCCCGTCCACCTGTCCGCGGCGTCCTGCGTCGCGGCGTCCGTCCCCCTGCTGGCCGTAGACCGCGTCAGTGAGCCGTGCCGCCGTGCCGCGGGTCCGCCGAGGCAGCACCGCGACGGTACCGCGTCGGCCGCCGCCGCCGGTCGCGCCCAGAAGTTGGCTTAAGCTCGGTGTAAGCTGGGCTTAGCTCGAATAAAGCTTGGCGAAAGCCTCGCAAAGGGCGCCGCCGCCCCGGCGCGTCGGCTCGTCCAGACGCGCCTGCTCATTAGTTATTCGAGCGTCGTCGTCGGCGTCCCTCTCGCGTTCGGTGCCAATACGACCCCCGGCTGCCCCCGGCCCAGCCGGCGAGGGCGGCGGCGACGCGGCGCCGCGGCCAGGAAGCGGTGGCGGCAGCCGGCGCCGTAAGTCAGGAGTCAGGTGCTCGACGGCGTCGCGACCGCGTCGTCGCGGACGTCGCGGACCGCGACTGGCGGGCCGGGCCGCCGCCATGTCCCTGTGGATGAACCTGGTGCGGTCCAGGGGCGGCACCAGGGCCGCCGAGCAGCGTCCGCGCTCCATGCCGCAGCTCGATGTGAGTCCTGCGTCCCGAGTCCAGACCAGGCCGTCCCCTTGGACAAGAAAAGGCGCTCACTTTGACGTTCCGCCTGTTTCTTGGCGTCCGCAGTAGTACGGCAGGTGGTCCGACTTTGCTCGTCGGGTTTATTTACGTCAGTAGATCTAGCCGGTGTTTAAGGCTTAATTACGGGGGAGTGGGCGGGGGCTTTCTGTCTTATAAGCATCAAAAGAAGGCGCGTGTGTGTGTGTCCGTTTCATTGAACGCTTCGTGGTGACATACGAGGGGGTGGGGCTCGCGGCTTGCGACTATTTCCATCCCTTGTCCTCTCGCTTCAACGGATATATATCTGTTGTCTGGCCTCCGACTCCGCCGACTCCGCTGTATGCTGTATGCACCTCCGCTATTGTGGGCCACTGGTTTACAGTTCGCGCCCGGCTCCCGGTCTGACAGGAGCAATCCCGCGTACTTGATGGCCTGCGGGGCGACTCCGCGCCGCGCCTCGTCGCTCTGTCTCTCTCGCACCCCTGCGGTGCCATGCCGGACGCCCGTGAGAGCGAGAGAGACCGCGACGAGTCAGCCTGCAACTGCCCTCGGACACGCTGCACAGTGGGCCAGAAGACCGGTGGAGGCGGCCAAAACTCTAGACGCGTTTTGAGCTCCAGAGTCGCTAAATGAGACTCAAACCGAACGTGTGACCCCACCAACGGATTGCTCTCCGAACGAGGAATCCATTGGTGGGGTCACACGTTCGGTTCGAGTACCATTTAGCGACTCTGGAGCTCAAAACGCGTCTAGAGTTTTGGCCGCCTCCACCGGTCTTCTGGCCCACTGTGCGCTGCCCGCCGCACTGCAAGGTGCAAGCGTCACCGCGTGGTCGTGCAAGCTGTCTGCTCCTCCTTGGTCTTGCACTGAGCCGCAAGTGCTGCGGACGACTCTCGCAGCACGTCCGCCGGGGTGCCTTGCTTCGCTTGCTCGCTCGGCAGGCTTCGCGCGTGGCCCCGCCGGATGACGCGCGCTGCAGACACTTTTCGTCGCGCTGTCTCTCTCGCACTATACAGGACGCCCCCTGAGCGAGAGACTCTCGGAGCCAGCCGTCTGATTCCGAGCACTGCTTTCGTCGCTCTCGCACTCATGGGGCGGTCCGTCGGGGTGCGAGAGAGACAGAGCGACGAAGCAGTGTTCGGAATCAGACGGCAGACTGCTGGTTGCTGTTTGCACCCAGTTTGGCACGGCCGTGCCCGTCCGCCTGTCCCTCCGCGGCGCTGCGCGGCGCTGCGGCGACGCGGACCGGACGACGCGCGAGTTGGTGAATGGTGACAGGGGAATGGGGAAATGCACGCCACTTCCCCCCACCCTGCAAGTCCACCTGCTCCTCCCCGTCAACGCGTCGCAACGCGGCAACAGTTGACTTTGCCGGCCACCGCAGAGTTGTCTTTTCTCGTGCCTGGCGCCTTGCGTGTGTCTACATTTGACAGTCGATGACTCCCGCTTCGGGTGGCACGGCAAGGCAAACCCCTCGCAAGCCTCTAACAGTGCGCACACAGCCCGGTCCCGGGCATGTAGCGCCTGCCAGGTAGGCCACCCACCCGGCCCGCAACACACCGCCGTGGAGACGGTGGCCTACGTTGCCCCTGTCGTCTTCACAGGGGCGAGGTAGGCCACCGTCTGCGCTGCGTTGCGTTGCGGACCCGCTGGCTGGCCTACCTCGCAGGCGCTAGAGGCTCCAAGGTGCCGAATTTCTGGCTTTCCGCTAGTCTCCAGCATTTCTCAATTAAAGCCACAAACAGAGACGCGAAAAACGTGGCCCGAAGAAATTGACCCGGGCCTTAGGGATCGCCCATGTCAATGCCTCCATGTCTAGTGCCCCCGCTTTGTGACAGGCCGATGAATAATTTTATCCAAAAGAAAATAAAACGTGACCAACAAGACCCCAGGCACCAAGTACTTTTCCGCGATCCCAAGGTTGCGCACGGCTGTACTAAGGCGTCTTCTCTCTCTTTCTCTCGCAGGGAGTGGCCGGCGGGGCTGGCCCTGGCTGCCCCGGCTCGGTGGCGGCCCACGTGTCCTTCCGCGGCGGGCCGCCCTCCACCATCGCGTCCAAGTCCGGCTCGGAGGACGGCCGGGTGCCCGACCTGCACGGCGAGGACGAGCTTCGAGAGCTCGGCGGGCACCGCAGCCGCCAGCGAGGCTCCGCCCCGAGGGTGAGTGCGGTTGCCTTGCTTCAGAGGGTGGCAACGCACAGTGGGCCAGAAGACCGGTGGAGGCTGCCCAAACTCTAGACGCGTTTTGAGCTCTGAAGTCGCTAAATGGGACTCGGACCGAACGTGTGATCCCACCAATGGATTCCTCGTTCGAAGGGCAATCCATTGGTGGGGTCACACGTTCGGTCCGAGTCCTGTTTAGCGACTCTGGACCTCAAAACGTGTCTAGAGTTTTGGCCGCCTCCACCGGTCTTCTGGCCCACTGTGCACCCCCAATTTCCTACTGAGAAATGCCGTGCAGTCATAATACTAAGCAAATTCTCAGTACTTTACGACACAAATTTGTCATAATACATAGAAATTTGTTCGTAATATGAAGAAAGTGGTCATTAGTTACTGAGAACTCTTCACCATAAATTACTACCTTCGCTGCGCTGTCATAATACTAGGCTTTTTGTTCATATTACGAAGAAAAAGCTCAGTAGGATATTGGGAGTGTGCAACGGCCTAGGGAGAGCGTGAAGCGATGCTCGCGCCGTCAGTGAAGAGGTTGCGCACTTCTTCGAGATTATGAAAACTAGACTGTTTTTTCAAAACCCTTTGCACCGATAGAAAGGGCTTGAAATTTAGGGTACATTAGGCTAATTGCCCTTCTCAATACTCCCACCTTACCTAATATTAAGGTGCTGTGAAAACACCAAAAAACACGAAAAATCATAAAATTTTGGAAAAAACCTCGTATGTGCCATGTTGATGTAAAGGTTTCCGCCTTTGTGTTCGGTTGAATTGGAAGTACCGGGCAGTCTTCTAGGCCCAATGCACCCCAAATTTTGCGCTCTTTTTTGATCTGTGCAAAGCGTTTTGCAATCAACGACCTAGATCTTACAATCAAAGCAAAATAAGTAACTCCTGCACCTCGCTCGAGCATGGCTTCACGCGCTCCCTAGGCCGTTGCCCAGTGGGCCAGAAGCCGGTGGAGGCGGCCAAAACTCCAGACGCGTTTTGAGCTCCAGAGTCGCTAAATGGGACTCGAACCGAACGTGTGACCCCACCATTGGATTCCTCGTTCGAAGAGCAATCCATTGGTGGGGTCACACGTTCGGTTCGCGTCCCATTTAGCGACTCTGGAGCTCAAAAGGCGTCTAGAGTTTTGGCCGCCTCCACCGGTCTTCTGGCCCACTGTGCCACCCCCTGCTTGCTTGCTTCGCCTTGTTTCAACTCACCGGCCGGAGAGCCTAACGACGCCATGCCTGTGCTCAGCAACAACGGCCCCTGACGCGCTACCTGCCCATCCGCACCGAGGACCTGGACCTGCGGCACCACGTCGAGTCCGCGGGCCACGCCGTCGACGTCTGCCACTTCCTGACCATCGACCGCACCTCCTGCCGCGGCGTGCTGCACAAGGCCTCCTCGCGCTTCAAGAACTGGCAGAAGAGGTGGTTCGTCTTCGACCGCAGCTCCCGCACGCTGTCCTACTACAAGAGCAGGCGGGACACCCGAGCCAGAGGAGGCATCCACTTCCAGGTGAGACTTTCGTGCGTTATCAATTGTGCCCTCGATTGTGCCCCTTCACCCAAAATCCAAAGGCGGTACTCATGGTCTTACGAAGGCGGTATTCGTTTTACCGTCTTCCAAGTGTGGTACAAAAATTACAGCCCATTGAAGGCGGTAAAATTACCACCTTTCACCGCTGTACCGCCTTAAATTTCCCTCCAAACGGAACATTCAAGGCGATAAAACTGTGGAAGGTGGTAATTTACCGCCTTCAATCGGCGGTAAAACGAATATGTACCTCTTTTGGAAAGGCGATAAAACGAATACCGCCCTCGAGTGTGGAAATTTTACTACCCTTGGGTTTTGTGAGTTTTGATTTAAATTTTTTGTTTTGTTTTCATGACTCGTTTTTTTCTTTTCAGTCCATTGCTGAGGTGTACGTAGACCATTTAAATGGTCACAAGCAAACCAATCCCAACTGCGTATTTGTGGTGAAAACGCTGCAGCGGTCCTATCATCTGATGGCTCCATCCCCTGAAGCCATGCGGATATGGGTCGACGTCATCTTCACAGGAGCAGAGGCTTACCAGGAGTATGATTGAGGTCTCTTTGAAGAGACCCCTCGTTATGTTCCTGTGGTATTATTCTTTTGGTTAGTGGGAAAGGTGCATTGTGATGCAGTTGTGAAGTACCTTAAAGCATAAAAGAGGCTTGTGATGTGATGAATAGGACCAGGATTAACATAGGTAGCTGAGTTTGACTTACCTATTTTCAGCTTCATATGGACTGTGGTTACTTTGTTGGTTTTGCTGTGAGAAACTTGCTATGGAAGCACATGGTGCTCAGTCGTTTTGCAATTACTTAGTCAATGAGAATTGGTCAACTTACTTTCAGGGAATGCATTTCACATTGCTTACCAAAGATTGTTCTATAGGGTTATGAATAATGCATTCAGCTGACCTGATTTAGGTGTTACCTGTTTTTACATAGAATATGTAACCAAAGATTTTTTTGAGACAGTTAAGTGTCTAAGATTCTCATCTCTTCTGTTTCACCTTTAGTGTTCCACCTCTAGAGGTTTGTTCTGTAAACCATTTAGTATTTAAACCTTCAATCTGCTACCATGTTCAAATTTGAATGCCACACTGCTATCCTAAAATCTAATTAGGAAGTCAATCTCTATTATTATTTTTCTAATCTGTCTAAGAATTTTACTTTTACCTGACAGGTATAGCCTGTGGATGAATGGATCTCTCAAAGTGTTTTTACTGGGCAACTATTTTATCAGTGAGGAAATGTGCTATTTTTTTAACTTCTTTTGAAGAATGTACTGTATAAGTAAATGTTATCCCAAAATTGACTATGAGGGTATTCTGTGTTGCTCAAGATGCAGCTCATTTAGTTTTCACTGACAAACCAGATGGTTGTTTCATAAATTTATCAGCTTTGCTCATGAAAGACTTTGATATGTCTTTACTGCTTTCTATAAAATAATTTAACCATGTTCTACAACTGCGTGACTCTATTTTCTTTTATACCATATCATTGTATGTGATTGTAGTGTAAATCCTCTAAGAATGATCAGATCTTATAAAGTTTTGATCTTTTTGATTTGTGTTTACCACTTTCTGAAATAATTAGTAGTGTATTCTGGATCTCTTTATTAGGTTCCAATGTTGTAACAATATTTATTTTTAAAGAAGAGGCTTCAATTCCTGTGCCATTATTAAATATTGTATTCACTGTGGTATTTTCACTTAGATGTTAAAAAAAACGATTTATTGTTCAGAATTTGTTAAAAATAATTTTTCTTAAGGTGCCTGAATTTTGCATTTTTGCGGAGCATTGACATGTGAGGTGTCCAATTATGTTGCTGTGTTCTAATTTCTCTGGTGCATAGTTATAGTTGTGTTGCGTACTTTACTTATTCTGAATCAATGAGGGCAATTTTAATATTAGTGCCAGAACAATTATTGTATTTAGTATGCTGTTCAGTTTTGCCTGTAAGGCAGCTTAACGAAATGAGGTCTTTGAGCAGCCCCTTCTCATTATATGTAAAAAAAGAGGCAACTCCCGTTTTGAGGGAGAAGGGGATTTTGATCTTATCTGCCAAAGCTGTAATTAAACCAGACCCTTGGTTTGTTAAATGTTCATTCATAATTATTTATATGCGTATGTGTGGTGCTGCCAAGATTTCCCAGTGTTTTTGTTGTTCAAGTAACAAGATGCTGTGCATCATTGTTTCAGTCATTTTACTTTGTTGTGAGCAGGAAGGGAAACTCAATGTGAGGAATAGTTCTTGTCATGTTCTCTCAGCATCCATTGATGCTACGGACTGGGATGCTAGATGGTCATAGACCACCCATCGTTTCATCACATGTTTTCCTCATACTTGTTCTGTTACTTAAATGTGAATTAAACAATCCTGCAAATTTAAAATGATTGGATGTCTTTTACTACTTCTTAAAACATTCAAAAATGCTCTATATTTAATACTTAACGCCTTAAAAACAGCTCGTCGTTACAACAACATTTTACATAAATAATCAACAATATTCTTATTCAAAACAGGAAACAAAATAAAGGCCGGGAGACGCGCTCCCGCAGTCAGGTACGTTCCAAAAGTAGAAAAACAAAGTGACTAGTCGGACTAGATGGGTTGCGATGAGCGAGGGCGGACCGAAGGGCTAGTCCGAGGCACTAGTGGGCGGAGTCCCGGATCTGGTCCTCGATCCAGGGCACGTAGTCGCTGAGGCGCGTGTAGAGGCCGGGCAGCTTGGGGCGCGCGCAGCCGATGCCCGTGGACACGACGCCCACCACGGTGACGCGGCCGCCGTCCGTCGCGTCCGACACCATGAGGGGCCCGCCGCTGTCCGCCTGCAACAGGACAAGCACGACGAGGGCCAGACGCTGGAAAGCCGTCGCGAGGGGCGCGGGGCGCACGGGGCCGCCGTCCGGGACCGCATGGCTCACCCAGCAGGAGTCGCGGCCGCCGGACTCGAAGCCGGCGCAGATCTGCGTGTCGCGGATCTTGGTCTTCTTGCCCTGGGACTTGTACCAGTCGCGGCACTGGCCGTTGTCCAGCACGCGCAGCTGCACCTTCTGCAGGACGTCGGCGCGGCCGCCTGCGGCCGAGGGAAGCACTACTCACGCATTTTCACAGACACATCCCGCTGGCGGCGCCCGGCCTGCACCTCACCCACCCTTGTTGGAGTTCTCGTTGGTCCAGCCCCAGCCCGCCGCCGTGGCCTCGCGGTCCGAGAAGCTGGAGTGGTCCTTGGTGCCGGTGGCGGACGGCAGGCAGGCCGGCCAGGCCGTGTCGCCCCACTGCACGTCCTCGGACAGCTTCATGAGGGCCACGTCGTGGACGAAGTGCGAGCACTCGTAGCCCGGGTGCATCAGCAGCCTGGCGACGCCCACCGTGCTCGCCTCGCGCTCGCGCAGGTCGTGCTGGCCCACGGACACGCGGACCTGCTCGGGGCGCAGGGGCTCGCTGCTGCCGCTGGGGAACGCCGACAAGTGCGTCTTTCAGTAGGAAATAGCCGCCAGATTGCTGCGCAGGTGCCCCCTCTCCCCGCCCCTCACGCCCCGTCCCCGACCTTGCCCGTCTACGCCGTCGCTGCGGCTGCCACTGCCATGCGGGCAGGCGCCCTGCGCCCCACGCGGCGCCGTTGGGCAAGGAAAGACAAGGAGAGACAAAGGAAGACAAGCAGAGACGACCGCGCGCCCAGCGAGCTGCCGGAACCACGCCGAACACAGCCAAATACCCATGACTGGTTGGCGGCCCACTCAAAACCCGCGGGCAAACCCCCCTTCCGTTCAGCGAAAACATTAAAATAATAGTTCTGGAAAAGCGACGCTGCTGGCCGTATTCGAACCCCGGCCGTTGACGTCACGCTCGCCCCAGTTACGCTCACCTGCACAGGCAGTGCGCCGCCGTGAGCACCCAGCGCTTGCTGACGAGGCTGCCGCCGCAGAAGTGGCCGCCGCCCCTGGTGATGGAGACGAGCCAGGGGAACTCGCCGCGTAGGGCGGTGCTGCCGCCGACGATCCTGGTGGCCGCCCGGGCCCTGGACACCCTGCCCGACACGCGGCCCCACTGGTAGCCGCAGGCAACGTCCGCGTCTGCAAGCACGCCGTCGAGAGTTAGCGCGCCGCCCGCGCCGCCCTGCAACGCCGTCGCGGCCGCCCCACAGTGGGCCAGAAGACCGGTGGAGGCGGCCAAAACTCTAGACGCGTTTTGAGCTCGAGAGTCCCTGAACGGGACTCGGACCGAACGTGTGACCCCACCAATGGATTCCTCGTTCGGAGAGCAATCCATTGGTGGGGTCACACGTTCGGTTCGAGTCCTATTTAGCGACTCTGGAGCTCAAAACGCGTCAGGAGTTTTGGCCGCCTCCACCGGTCTTCTGGCCCACTGTGCGCCCCTCGGCATCCGCGTCGGACTGTCGGACTCACAGTTCTGGAAGGCGGCCGCGCTCCTGGCGGCCAGGAGCACCGCGATGAGGAGGTGCACTGTATCCATTGTATCCGTGGACGCCGTCGCACAGCTCGCGGACACACTGTTCACTGATCGCACTGCTATTCACTTTCGTCGCACTTCCCGGCGGACGCGCAGTCCTGGTCGTCGTCGCGGTGCTCCGGAGGCTGCACTGGTTGCACTGCTTGGTGGGGCGGGGCCCAACCATTCTTATGGAAACTGTCACCGAGCCGTGCCCCGCCGTGTCCCGCCACGCCCCGCCACGCCCCGCCACGCCCCCGCCGATCCAAGGGCGGCCCTTTCCTGGCGCGGTGCGGTCGGCGTCCCCGCGGGCGTGGACCACGGCGTCGATGCCCCTTCCGCGTGGGAGTCATTGCTGCCAACGGCCGCCCCCCGCCCCGCCCGCCCGCCCCGCCCCGCGGACCAGGCCCCACCGCGCGCCACGCGCCACGCGACTCATCCTGGGATGCAGTTCGGTGACACGGAGACCGTTCACCTGCACTGCAACGGCCCGCAGGCCACAGGCCGCCACGGGCCGCACACCCGCCTTTCTTGCCGGCCTGCCCAGCGGACTGATCCCGAGAGTCGGTTTCGTCGCTTTGTCTCTCTCGCACTCATGGGACGTCCCGTATAAGCGCGAGAGAGACAAAGCGACGAAAGCGACTCTCGGAATCAGTCTGCCGCCTGCCCGTCCAGCGGGCAACAACTCAAGAACGGATGCGCTTCGATTTGCGTCCGCGTCGCCCCGGGGGCGCTGGCCTGCCGCCTGCCGGTGCACTGTCCACGGTGCCATCGCGCGACGCCGCGACAGCAGGACGCGAGCAAGCAAGGCAAGCAAGGCAAGCAAGGCAAGCAAGCGCTCTCCCGGCCGAGCGCCCGCCGAGCGCGGAGTAGGCCGCCGGCTGGGCACCACCGCGCTGACCATGGGCGGCTGCCTACCTCACATTACCATTACCGTTAAGGGCTAGACCACACATGATCGTATGCCATTTCGGGCCCGACACATGCTCGCCTGCACTGCAAAAGGCAGGCGCTCCAGCTCGTATCGCACTGCACTCGCACCGGACTCGCACCGCGCGCAACGTCACAAAAACTGCAAAAAAACACAAACAGCCCGACAACGACGCAGTTCCACACGTCGTTTCTTTGTTTTTTGCCGGTGGCCGCGTGGGTACACGCGCGCGATCTCCCTTGCATGGGTTCGAAACTGCACTTTAATTTGCATTGTTCTGCACCCAGTTTGTGAATGGAATCCCAACTCGTCACACACGTTACCGCTTCGGCCGCGCGGCGGGAGTGGCGCGCGCAGCCCATGGCGCAGCCCATGGCGCAGCCCATGGCGCAGCCGCGCACGTGGACGGGGTCGCGTGGGTAGCGGCGTAGAATGTAGTGGCCAATACTCAATATGTAAACAAAAGGAAACAAACACACACACGCACACTCACTTACACACACACACACGCTCACACACACACACGCTCACACACACACACGCTCACACACACACGCTCCACACACACACACACACACACACACACACACACACACGCTCACACACACACACACACACACACGCGCGCGCGCGCGCTCTCACACCTACACACACACACACACCAAAAAAATATAAAATGTAAAAAAAAAGATACCAGCAAGAATTATGGCAAGACTCTGGTATTCGAGCCGGGTTATTAGCACAGGAATATGATATGGCCCGTCTGACGGCGCGGCGTGGAGGCGTGGACTCGGTGTCAACGACTCGGTTTCAAACCTGCTTCGGCGGCCGCGGAGCCGCGGAGCTCTGCGGTGACGGCGAGGGCGCGCGAGCGCAAGACCCAGGCAGCATGCTGTGCGAACCCGGCATAGTTTTCCTGACCCAGACCCGTTCACCTAACCAACACACTCTAAATGTTCTACAGTGAAGATTCTCCATGTTATGGTGAAAATGTTCCATATTATGGTGGTGCAGCTGACTTCGTAACATACCATGGAGAATTCACTGTACCTCACAGATATTTTGACGAATTTCGTTGGTATTATGGAGAAAATCTCCACCATAATATGTTGGTGCAGCCTTTCACCGTAAGACATTTCCTGTGCAAAAATTTACAAAAATAAACAAAAATTAGAAAAAATAACGGAGATTTTAGAAAGAAAACAGTCCGTTTACTCCTGTGCGGTATTCTGCGTGCCGAAAACCGAAAATGACGTCACGTATGGCGCACGTCGCCAGACAGCCTCGCTTCAAAGCGGTCCCCCTCTCTCTATCTCTTCTCATTACTCCGTCTAACGCTTCGCGTCATGCTCAGTGTCTCGGAGTGCCATCATGCATTGCTCCGGCTAATAAATTTCGCCGAAAAAAGTCCAAAAAAACCGTATGGCATGGGTCTATTGTTTTCGAAGGTTGGTAGTAGTTGTTTGCCAGCTTGTCGTCTGCTAATGTAAACGTGACGTAACACCGAGTGGCGGGGCGGGGCGGGGCGGGGCGGGTGTTCACGCGTAGTCCCTTGAAAGTTGACCTCTGGGGCGCCGCCGGCGAGCATTTCCAGCAAAGGCGCGACGTAGTCCTCCACCCGGCAGCGGAAAAACGCCCCCCCCCCTCCCCCTCCTCCATCAGGTCACCAGTCGGCGGCTCTGCCCTGGAGTGAACGACCTGGCCGAACGCGCGCCCAAAAGCCCCTATGGCCCGGGCATGGCATGGCCCGGCCCGGGCTGGGTACTCTGCCAGAAGGACTTCGGAGTAAACAACAACAGAGGCTTCGTCGTCGGGCGGAAACCGGTGGACGTACTCGGTTGCCCATTTCCTGTTCCATTTTGTGAAAGCTTTTGCAAGCAAGTGAGAGTTTGTTGTGCCCTGTACAGTGTGTCCACCGCCTCCACTCCACGCGCCTCGACGGTGTGGCCATCCCGTTGTTGCCGCCCGAACCCTACTAGTCCCCGATCCCCATTATCGGTTTCACCCGACTCGGAAACGCTCGTCGGCGTCGCGGGCCGCGATGAAGAGAGACAGAGACGGAGACGGCGCGCTGCCGTGAATCCATTGGCCCTCGTTTGCATGGCGTTATTTGGGTCGTTTGTCGCGATTTGTTTGGCGAGCGGCAAGCGGCGAACTTGGCCGTCCGCGCCGAGGACAAGCCCCGCGGGTCGGTTTCGCCGCTCTGTCTCTCTCGCACCGAAACGGGGCGCCCCAGAGCGGCGAAGCGATCCTACGCAATCAATCTGGGCGCACCGCCGCGAGGAGGAGGTGGATGACGGTGGCGGCGGCCAAGGCCGGGCCGCCCTGGCGGAAGGATGCCCCGCGTCCCGGCCGTCCGCGTCCTTGGCCGTCGCGGCCGCGGCCACGGGGTTAGCGCGTCGCGGCGCCGGCCCCGCGAGGCCTAATTTTTGGCGGGAACAGGTTTGGAGTGTGCGGCCTAGACTCATTCCGAGAGTCTTTCGCGTCGCTCTGTCTCTCTCGCACTCACGGGGCGTCCCCAGGTGCGGGAGAGACAGGAGTCTGGTGATGGGCGGTGGCTGGCGTGGCGTGCGGCGCGTGGCGGCGCGTCGGTCTGACGGCGCGTCGGTCTGACGGCGGCGAGTAGGGGCGCACCGCCGTCCCCGCCGTCCCCGCCGTCGGCCGTCCGTCCGTCCTGGAGCAAGCGCCCAGGCGCCCAGCGCCCGGAGGTTTGGAGCGCGGGCAGCCCGCGTCGGCGCTCAGTCTCAGTCTCTCACTCTCGCCAGCCGCGCCCCGCCGAGCGCCCCGCCGTCGAACCCTCGCGATCGAAATGGACAGCAGGTGGGTCTCGCTGTGCTCCAGCACCGCGACGATCCCAAGACCGCGGCGGTGCCGTAGTGCGTGGCGACTTGCTTCGGGGAATTCCCGCCGGATCGGAGGATACCTTGTCACTTCGGAGATGTGGGGCGCACAGTGGGACAGAAGCCAGGAGACCGGTGGAGCGGCCAAAACTCTAGACGCGTTTTGAGCTTCAGAGTCGCTGAAAAGGACTCGAACCGAGCGTGTGACCCCACCAATGGATTGCTCTCCGAACGAGGAATCCATTGGTGGGGTCACGCGGTCGGTTCGAGTCCCATTCAGCGACTCTGGAGCTCAAAACGGCTCAAAACGCGTCAAGAGTTTTGGCCGCTTCACCGGTCTTCTGGCACACTGTGGGGCGGTCGGTCAACTATGTAGTCAGTCCGGACTGCGTGAAAGAGGAAGGCGGGCCGTATTTTGAGCATAACTGTTTACGAACGAATTCTTCGTAAAAAAAACTAAATTTACTGTATATTACAAAAATGCTCTAAATACTTTATAAAGTTTTAAACGTGCTCTGGAACTAGACGGGGAGGACGCGCCGTGCCGAGCCACACTTTGCGTGGGCGGGTCCGGTCTATTTCCCCGCGGTAGGAAGGCATTTTTGCATTTTTGGAGGCCAACTCGGGCTAGCTGCGCCAAAAGGCACGGTCGGCATCCTCTGATTGCAGCCAGCCGAAAACTCGTGAACAGTGACGGCCTCGGCGACGAGCCCCCCAACCTGCTCTATTTATTTTCTACATATTTTTAAACGGGGTACGTTGCCCTAAGCCCGTGGCTTCGCAGCTTCCAAGCTCAAGCTTGAATACGCTTGACCAAAAGAGTGCCCCAAGTAAACAATAATTAATCTGGTGAGGAGGGAGTGTTCAGCGCGGTCAGTGAAGGTGACCGCCCGGCCCGGTGTGACTCACAGAGGTATCGTACGCACATTCGCTGGCCGGTGATGCCTGGAGTGCTGGAGTGCCTGGATTCCCTGGAGGTCCCGGAGGTCCTGGAAGTCCTGAAGGTCCTGAAGGTCCTGGAGGTCCTGGAGGTCCTGGAGGTCCTGGAGGTCCTGGTGGAGGTCTTGGAGGTCTTGGAGGTCCTGGAGGTCCTGGAGGTCCTGGAGGTCCTGGAGGTCCTGGAGGTCCTGGTGGAGGTCCTGGAGGTCCTGGAGGTCCTGGTGGAGGTCCTGGAGGTCCTGGAGGTCCTGGTGGAGGTCTTGGAGGTCCTGGAGGTCCTGGAGGTCCTGAAGGTCCTGGAGGTCCTGGAGTGCCTGGAGTGCCTGGAGGTCCTGGAGGTCCTGGAGGTCCTGGAGGTCCTGGAGGTCCTGGAGGTCCTGGAGGTCCTGGAGTGCCTGGATTCCCTGGGGGTCCTGGAGGTCCTGGAGGTCCTGGAGCGGGTGCCAGTGACTCGACGCTCGGCATGAACCGGGTTGGCGCCCGCGCACCGCGGCGCACCGCGCGCGGGCAGTCTCAAGGCCGCTCAATACATTAGAGCGCCGCGAGATGTTAAATGATGTTTGTATTTTGAAGTTTGCGTTCGACAGTCCGCCTCTCTGCCACACTCTTTAGACTCGGGCTGGTTCGGTGAACGAGGCCTCGAACGAGACTAGGAACTGTACTAGCAAACGAGACGCGCTTACCGCTCTCGAAGAGTCGAACCGATCGAGAGGAACGCACACAAGTTCCGTTTTCGGAGGCGTCTTCCAAAGTAAAGAAGAAAACACAGTCAGATTAGTATTTATTGCCACTCACTGCATTTTGTATTCACTGTTTCAAAAAAATTTACTATATTTTAATTACATCGTGGGAAAGCTATAATTATGACAATGTATTTAAAAGCCAAGTGGCTGTGTACTTTCAGCTGGCCGAGTTTCGGCACACTAACCTGTAGCGTATCGTACTGGTTTGGCGGTTTTTGTTGTTTTTTAGCAGCCACGTAGCTTGGATTCTCGATCGATTTAGTATCCCTGAATGGGCGGATCATTGTTGTCTTTTTATCTTTTGCTGACGCGAAGCGGATCACAGTCTGACGTTGCCAAAATACGGAGAGAGAGAGAGAGAGAGAGAGAGAGAGAGAGAGAGAGAGAGAGAGAGAGAGAGAGAGAGAGAGAGAGAGAGAGAGAGAGACAGCGCCTCACCAGGTAGGTCTTGGCTCCAGGTCGGGCCAGGGCATGCCGGGCATCCCCGCCTTCTTCGCCGGGCGCCACGTCCTGGTGACGGGGGCCACGGGCTTCATGGGGAAGGTCCTCGTCGAGAAGATCCTGCGCAGCTGCCCCGACGTCGCCACCGTCTTCGTGGTGGTGCGGCCCAAGCGCGGCCAGGAGCCCAACGACCGCATCAAGGACCTGCGCCACCTGCCGGTAAGCCGCCCTTAAAAACAAAAAAACAAAAAAAAACACACGCACACGCACGCACGCACGCGCGCGCACACACACAATGTAACTGTTGTGCAAATACGTAAAAAGCGCGAAAAAAAAAACAAGATCGCGAACAAAAAGTTTGGGCGGGTAGTATTCGAACCATGAAACTCGTGGAGAATGTGTCCATCTGTCATTAGCCATTCTCCACGCCTTGCAGTCGGACTCACTGATGTCTCCGTCCGAAGGGACTGTCACGGGGCACCAGCCAGAGGGAAAGAGAAAGGGGGCATCGTTCTTGATCAACTTTTTTTTTTATTATTTTGTGAAAATTATTTAATTTTTGTAAGTGTGGCGTCGTCGGGTCACGGTCGGCCGTCGGGGATAAACGCTCGAGGTGCGCAATGCAGCGAAAGCGAGTAATCCGTGTGTAAAAGTAGGCCTATCGAGCGGCCCACGAGTTGGCCACCTTTAAACTAAGATTCCTGCGCTCCACGCCGCTCCACGCCGCGGCGCGCTGCCTCCGCTATGACTGGCGTAACATCGCGTGTAGTAACTAGCCTATGTGAATCTCGGTGAAAGATACGCAAAGGCGCGCGCGCTTCGGCTCGGTGCCAATCAAGCCTCTAAATGGACTCCTGGGACTCCTGGGTCCAGGACTCCCTCCAGATAGCCATCTCCCCCTCCAGGCCCTCCAGCTGGGCTGCCCCCTCGCACACACACGTAAACATACACACGTGTGCAAACACACACATGCACACTCGCAGCTTCCCGATCCTGTGTACTTTTCCAACGTCGCGTGAGGAAGTCTGCATGGCGCACTTTAACGAGTCTTTTTTTAAAAAGTGACCTGGCTTATTCCACGCGCCCATACGTGCAGGTGTTTGGGCCCCTGCTCAAGGCCAACCCCAACGCCTTCGACAAGATCCACGCCCTGGCCGGCGAGACGACGCAGGTCAACATGGGCCTGAGCGAGGCGGACCAGCGCCTGGTGCAGGACAAGGTGTCCGTCGTCTTCCACCTGGCGGCCGCGCTCAACTGGACCGTGCCGCTGCGGACGGCCGTGCGCGAGAACGTGGGCGGCACCAAGAACATGCTCGAGTTCTGCAAGCGCATCAACAACCTCGTCGTACGTAGCGCCGAGCGTAGCGCAATGGGTATAGCCGCGGCACGCGGGGCCGCTGGTCCCGGGTTCGAGTCTCACCGGCGCGGCCCTTGTTTGCCCCTGTTTGCAGGCGCTGGAGTACACGTCCACCACGTTCTGCCAGTGCGGCGAGGAGGTCCTGCACGAGCGGCTGTACCCCGCGCCCTACAACCCGCACCGCCTGCTGGAGATCTGCGAGATCATGGACGACGAGGTGGTGGAGTCCATGGCCAAGACGTACGTAGTGCACCGTAGCACAGTGGGCCAGAAGACCGGTGGAGGCGGCCAAAACTCCAGACGCGTTTTGAGCTGCCGAGTCGCTAAACAGGACTCGAACCGGACGTGTGACCCCGCCAATGGATTCCTCGTTCGGAGAGCAATCCATTGGTGGGGTCACACGTTCGGTTCGAGTCCCATTTAGCGACTCTGCAGCTCAAAACGCGTCTAGAGTTTTGTCCGCCTCGACCGGTCTTCTGGCCCACTGTGCAACGCCTCGCCAAAAGTTGGCAAGCCGCTGCATCGCTCGGCGCGCGTCTCTCACGTTCCTCCTTATTTTTGCATCAGCCTGTACGGGCCGCACCCCAACTGCTACACGTACACCAAGGCGCTGGCCGAGTCCATGGTGGACGAGTACAAGAACGAGCTGCCCCTGCTCGTCATCAGGCCCGCCATCGGTGAGTCAATCGTTGTTTTTTCTGTCCCTTTTTTTCTAGTGTTGCCACCCTGCGCACTGGTGCCTGAAGGCCCCCGTTTCGTTTCCCGTCCGCAGTGATCCCCACGTACAAGGACCCGATCCCCGGCTGGGTGGATACGCTCAACGGGCCCATGGGGGTCTTGGCGGCGGCGGGCAAGGGCGTGCTGCGCTCCATGATGTGCAACGGCTCCATCAACGCCGAGGTCTTCCCCGCCGACGTCTGCATCAACGCCATCATGGCCGCCACCTACCTCCGCAGCCAGCAGTGAGTACCGGCCAAGAAACTGTAGGAAAACAGCACATTTACCAACGAGTGACTTGCTTTTAAGCAGCACGTGTCATCGGAACTTAAAACAGCACAAATGCTGTTAGGAAACAGCAAGTTTCATCATTGGAGAAAACAACAGATATAGTCGATTTCCAATGCTGGAAAAAACAGAACATCTTGTTTGTAAAATTAATGATATATGCTGTTTTGGAACGGTATCCTGTCATTTAAAAACAACACCATTCAATTGAAGATTTGCCGGAGCATTTTGCAGCTCACGGCTCAAATCAAACTCCAACTATGTCAAAATAAATTCTGTTGTTTCTGAACAGCATTTGTGTTGTAAAGTTTTTTAGCAACACTTCCAATTTTTAAACAGCGGTGAACTGTCCAAGAACTGCACGAACTGTTACAAAACAAATGTCTTGTTTGAGCCGTCAGGAAACTCCTATTTCCTTTTTGTGAATAACAGAGAGACCGCGTTGAAGAACAGTGCTGTTTGTAAACAGAAAAGAGCGTTTCTGAATGACTGCTAGTATTGGATAAGACAATTAGGACCCTCGACATTTTTTTTGTAAATGTATAACAACTTCTTTGTTTGAAAACAGAAAAGTGTTGTTTATGAACAGGTTGGTGCCATTTGGAAATGGTAATTCTGTTACACAACAACTTATTGTCAGAGATGAGATACAGAGAGCCATCATCCCTTTTTACAACACTGCTGTTGAATAACGACTCAGTGTCCAACAATATGCCGTTCTTCGACAACAAGTGTTGCTAAAAAACTTAACAGGATATATGCTGTTAATTAACAGCATCTTTTCTATCAGTGTGCCACAGTGAGCCAGAAGACCGGTGGAGGCGGCCAAAACTCCAGACGCGTTTTGAGCCCCAGAGTCGCTAAGCAGGACTCGAACCGATCGTGTGACCCCACCAATGGATTGCTCTCCGAACGAGGACTCCATTGGTGGGGTCACACGTTCGGTTCGAGTCCCATTCAGCGACTCTGGAGCTCAAAACGCGTCTAGAGTTTTGGCCGCCTCCACCGGTCTTCTGGCCCACTGTGCGTGAGCCTGGTCTGACGGTGCCTCCACGCCCCAGGCCCCGCATCCTCCCCGAAGTGCCGGTGTTCAACGCCTGCTGCGGCCCCGTCATGGAGACGACCTGGGGCGAGATCCTGGAGATCGGCAAGCGCGTGCTGCACAAGTGCCCCTTCGAGTGGGCGCTGTGGTACCCGGACGGCGCCATCCGCACCAGCTGGTGGTCGCACCAGCTCATCGTGCTCTTCTTCCAGGTCATCCCCGCCTACTTCATCGACGCCCTGCTCTTCCTGCTCGGCCAGAAGCGATTGTGAGTGCCGTTGTGCAACGCTCGCGTCGGCTAGATTAGCACATCTGTTCTTTTGTTGGTTTTTTGCCGCGAATGTGCGGGCCTTTCCAAGGCCAAGGCCCCGGCCTAGACCGGGGCACCGAAATCACTTAAAATGTGCAAGTTTCTGGCCGGCGCTTGGCCGCGCTTGCCGGCCGGAGCTTTCCGGTCGGCCGCCCCTCCGCATAGCTCCGCATACACTTGAAGGCTTCCTCCCGGTTGCAGCATGGTGCGCGTCCAGAAGAAGATCCGCTCCGGCCACGACCTGCTGGCCTTCTTCACGATGCGCGAGTGGAAGTTCGAGAACAAGAATGGCTACATCAACCTGTGGCCGAGCCTCAACGACGAGGACAAGCAGACCTTCTTCCTCAACAACGTGCTGCCCGTCGACAAGGAGGCCTACATCGAGAAGGCCATCATGGGCACCAGGACGTACTGCCTGAAGGAGTCGCCCGGCACCCTCAAGTACTGCCGAAGGCGCCTCGCCGTGTAAGTCAATCGAAGCGAAGACGGTGGAACTGAAGCGTACTCGTACGCCTTTCTAGTGGTTGTTACGCTCGGTTTCAAAGGGAAGTTCTCCGTTCCGCTCCTCTCCTCGAAGGGGCAACCACGTAGGATGTTTGGGGACACAAGATTTCTGAAGACAAGAGATTTCTAAGGATTTCGTCCATTTTTAAGCCTAAAATCTGCCTGGTTTTGGCCTTTTAGGGGAAAGATTTCGGATTTCCCGAGTCTACGGTGACAGGCCAGGGGACACATGATTTCTCGAGTGGTTGCCCCCTCGCCGCTCCTGCTTATCTAAGTTCATGGGAGATTACTTCTAGCTTGATTTCAAGCGTAAACTCTTTAAGAGTTTGTTGTTTGCTTGAACGAAGCGCACAGTTACGCTTCAGTAGTGTATCAGTGTACGTAGAGACTGCCGTCATGGGCACTGGGACGCACCGCACTGCCTCAAAGTCGCCCGGATCCCTCAGGTACTGCCGAAGCCGCCTCAAGGTGTAAGCAAATCAGAGTGAGGCAGTCGGTGCGGACAGCAGACTGAGAGTCGCTCTGTCTCTCTCGCACCCGTGGGGGACAGAGCGACCACAACGACTCTCGGATTCAGACAGCTGGCCTCGCAGTGTTGCAGTAGTAGTAGTGTCGTATGGAGATTGTGCCGCCTAATGGATCGCCCGCCACGCGGCCCAATCTTTGCACGGGACGAGCGAATTGCAAATTTGCAGTTTCGTCACGACCCAATGGGAAACGGCAATTAGCTCTCGGTTTTCTGACATCTGATTCCCTAATTTACAGAAAGAAAGTTTTGTTTTAGATATTTGTCGTTGTACACTCTGCGCACTAAATGCTTATGGACTATATGTCCATAACTATGGCCGTATTTGTGCAAACTGAAGTTATGTACAAATTTGTACATAAGTTCTGTATGCACCAAAACGGCCATAGCTATGGACAATAAAGTACATAAGACATTTAGTGTGTGAAAGTCTTACGTGCAGATTCTCCATATTATGCTGAACATTATACATATATTATGGCAGTTGACTCTGTAACTTAACTTTGAAAATTCTTTGTACCTTTTAGACATTTTGTCGAATTTTTGGTATCTTGGAGAAAATTTCCACCATGAAATGTTGGTGCAGCCGTGCACCGTGCGACATTTAGAGTGTGCAAGGTTATTTTTTAAGTGAGTGTGTGTGAGGGGGGAAAGAGACTGAGACTCGACCCAACAGACTAAACTTTCACCGCCAACAGTTCAGAAAATTGAACGTTCACTTCCACGGAAGGTTGACGCGAAGGTTCTCCCACTCATCCTCACACAGTCTCACACTCACTCACTCACACACGCGCAAGTGTCTCCGTCCGGCAAATCAGTCGCGAGCCGGCTGACCTGTTTTCTTTGTGTGCGTCAGGCAACACGTGATCCACCGGACCTGCGTCGCCCTGTTCTACATGACGTTGGTGTACTACGTCGTCGCCCTGTCGTTCGGCGCCTTCAAGCTGGCCAGGTCGCTGCTTTCCTAGCCGCGCCGGCCGCCGCCACCCGCGTCATCAAGATCGCAGTCATCGTCACCGTCATCGCCCCTCTCTTCGCCCGAGTCTGTGATTTCCGGTCTGTGTCACCATGCACGTGCCCAAAGAGATTAACCGACCGAACCCTTCGGTGCGAAAAAAAAGGAAGTAAAAAATAAGAGACTTTCGGACTGACAGTTTCATCTCAACTCGCTTAAAACCTTACAAAGTATTTTGAGCCCACGCAAGTTGCATACTTTTTAGTTTGCTCTACAAAGAATAGTTCATAAATTACGAATAATTTTCTTTGTAAGCTCAAAATACTTTATTATGAGTGGCAAGGTACGTTTCTTTGCCAGGCTGAAAATAGTTTGTAAGGTTTTGAGAGTGCAGTTTGCATCAAGCAGAAGGGGGGTTTGGGCTCGGCAGAACTTGGCCACCCCGACTAAAATATGTACTCATTAGATTTTAGGCAAGTAAAAATAAATAAATGAAAAAGCGCGCCTCATTTAGCGCAAATAAACAACTCTTCTTACTCGGGCGACTGGTGCGTCCCACGGCCACCGGCCGGTCGTATTACCGTATTACCGCTCCCCGTGTGCATGTAGATCATGGCTAGCACGGCCAGCACGGCCAGCACGCGAACCAGTTTCTGGGTTGCCTGCCTGCAGGCGCGCCGCGAGCCTCGACTAGCCGCCACCGACCCCGTGTCCTTGCAGTGTGGCGCCCGGTGCCAGGGTCGCCTCGTCGCTCTGTCTCTGTCGCACTCGAGGGGCGTCCCGCAGGGCCCGCAGGGGGGCGTGGCCACGCGGGCACCCTGCCCACCGATCGCGCGCTCCAAGTAAAACTCCTGACGCGTATAAAATCATAGCGGGCAAACCAGTTTATTCTCCGAACTACTGTCAAGTGCGTGCACCTCGAGCCGCCCCGCCTGCCCAGTGCCCACGGCCGGGCCGCCGGGCCGCGCGCCGATGGCCTCGAAGTCTCGGAGCCGCGACCGCCGCACGGCGCCGCACAGCCATCGCACCCCACGCCTCGCAGTACGCACAGCATGCAGCCGCCAGGACCGCCAGGCAGCCACACGGCTCCAGCGATCTGCCAATCAGCAGAGTCGTTTTCGTCGCTCCGTCTCTGTCGCGCTCACGGGGCGCACAGTGGGCCAGAAGACCGGTGGAGGCGGCCAAAACTCCAGACGCGTTTTGAGCTCCAGAGGCGCTAAATGGGACTCGAACTGAACGTGTGACCCTACCAATGGATTGCTCTTCGAACGAGGAATCCATTGGTGGAGTCACACGTTCGATTCGAGTCCCATTTAGCGACTCTGGAGCTCGAAACGCGTCTGGAGTTTTGGCCGCCTCCACCGGTCTTCTGGCCCACTGTGGGGCGTCGCGTCTAGGTGCGGAGAGAGAGAGAGAGAGAGAGAGAGAGAGAGAGAGAGAGAGAGAGAGAGAGAGAGAGAGAGAGAGAGAGAGAGAGAGAGAGAGAGAGAGAGAGAGAGACGAAACCGACTCGCGGAATCAGTGTGCAGAAGTGGGATTGAAACCACGGCGCGCAACGCGACGCGTGACTGACTGCTCGAGATCCGGTGAGAGGCACACCGCGTGCCGGCGTGCCGCGTGTCACACGCTCGCCGTCTGCCGCCCGTCGTCCGGCCGTCGGTGTCTGCGTCGTCCCCTGCTTGACCCTCGCTTAATAAGTACCCCGAAGTCCGACGCGCAGCACGCCGAGCACGCGAAGTAGTGAGGCATAGCCAAGGCATAGCCTCCACGGTCGCTACACTAGGTTGGTTTCCGCGACCGTTTAGCCGGTCCGCGCGGAATGGCGGAATTACCCGCTACATTCAACCGCAGCAGCAGCAGCAAACAACAACAACAACAGGAGCAGCAGCAACAACTCGATGGGCTGCATGCAGCTTACGGCCGCGCCCCGCCGGAAGCATCCGAAAGCACGGCACGTAGGCCCGCTTCGAATTTTCCACACTATCCCCGCGCTGTCGCGTGGTCTGGTGCTCGTCGCTCCGTCTCGCTCGCACCCCTGCAGGAGGCGCGGGGCGGTCCGCGGGTGCGTGAGGGACGGGGCGCCGTGTCTCGGAATCAGTCCGCCGGGCCGGGGCCGGGCCGGGCCGCCAGCACACCCGAATCGACTTGACTCGGCGGGGTCAGCCCCGCTCCCCCCATTCGGAAACAATGTGTGCGCGGACTGAAACAAACTCAACTCCTCTTGCTGCAAGTGTTCCGAGCAGCTTTTGCGGCCCCCCTCCCTTTTCCCCACTGGCACCAACTTGCACTCCGCGCACTGCCAAAGTGAAGGGACCCGCCATCGTTCAAGGCAAAAAATATTAGCTTATACGGCGCTCGGAAATAATCACTTAAACGATGAGAGAGACGAGGAGAGAGGCCGGGGAAGTCCCAACGAGGGACAGGGACACCACCGTGGACCGGGCACCACACCGACGGGGTTTAAAAGGGACCAACATGTTAAACTCCTTTTTAAAAAAAAATTGGGACAGTGCGGACTGAAGGTTTGGCAATTTCGGCGTTGCAAGCCTTTTGGGAAATAATTGAGTGCAGCTTCACTGTGGGGCATTGGTGAAAGGATGGGACACTTTTGGGGAGTTAGTCGAAGGGGGGTTTAAAATTTGGGCGACCGAAGACACTCCTGTTTGCGGGGACCTGCGGCGATCGTGTGGGGAAAAAATCAGGGAGACTCATCCCAGTAGTGTCATAGAATTGACTAGAATGGCTTTATATCTGCAATAGTTTTCAAAAAAAAAAATAAAAACATTTTTATCAATTTTTAAACAATTTTTCAACAAAATTGTTTTTTTTTTTTTCTTGAAAACTATTGCAGATATAAGCCATTCTAGTCAATTCTATGACACTACTGGGGTGAGTCCCTGATTTTCCCACAGATCTGAGCAAGTATGAAACAATCTTACGAGAAGCAAAATTTTAACGTTTCGATAAATCTCAAAAAATGTCCAAAGTCATTTCCCTAAGCCAAAATGAAGCTTACTCAATTATCTAAAAGGATTTAACACAGAAATTGTAAATCTTAATCCGTCTACATCAAATTTTTTTTTTAAAAAAAGTGCTTTTAACATGTATGAGCCCCCTTAAAAGGACACCCGAGTGTTGAGGAACTCCTGGGGTACAGTTTGCAACTTCATCGTCGGACAGTGCGAAGCACTGCAAGGTGTGGCAATTAGTCCGGCCGGTGCAAGCACAACGTGTTGTAGCGACCCGACAGTCAACTTGCACCGTGCCACGGCACTGTGGCACTGCCTCGGGCACTGCGCTGCAAAACCGGATGGGCACCCGCGGGCGCGGCAGGCGGGCCGGCCGCGAGGGTTACAAATTAAGGCGACCGAAGACACTCCACTCCCAGACGGCGGCCCCGGCCAGGGCGGCAGGGCCGCGCGGGGCGCCGCATGGCGGCTCGCATGGCGGCCACCAAACTCCCACGACTCTTTATGGGGAAAGGGGGGGGGGCGTCTAGTCGTCTAGCCCAGAGCCAGGGGGTCACACCATCGAATGCGGTATGAGAACAATGTAAGCACGCTATGAGAAATCACGCAGTGTTTTTGGAGCGATGGGGCGGTTTTGTCTCAGCCCCTCCGAGAGCCCCTCCAAGAGCCCCTCTATCCAGCAGCACCATCACTGGCTCTCTTCGAAGCCTTCGCTGGGCGAGCGCGGTGCTCGGCGCGGTGGCGCGGCAGCTTCGCGGCCTGGACATCGAGGTCACCACTTTGGTCTCGAGGCGGTCTGCAGTCCATGTTGTCGCTGACGCCCGGCCCCCACCAATCGACACGTTGAATTGCAAGAAGGCCCGGACCGACCACAAGCCGACCCACATGTGACAATGCACTCTTCGATCGGCCGATCGGCGCAACAAGTGTAAATGCGCTGGCCGACCAGGGCGGCCTGCAGGCCAGCACCGTGGCGCCGCCTTGCCGACGCACCGCGGCCAAGTCGACCACGGCCCGGTGCATCCGTCGCCTCGCCTGCCGCCAGATGTGGGTCGCGGGGCGCGGCGCCGACGGGGTCATTCACTTGCACATGCAGTTCCGTGGCGCACGCCCTGCGCCGCGCTGCAGCGCCTCCCCGGCCTACTTCTATTGCAGATGGTGCCGCCTATTAGCATTTGGCATGTCAAGCGGCGGGCCGTGGCGGCGGGGGCGGCCCGGGCCAGGCCCAGGGTAGCCCAGCAGAGGGAGGCCGCGCGGTCAGGCCGGCCCCGCCGCCCCGGCCCCGCGGAGGGTGCTTGCCGCGGCCTCGCGGCCTCGGCGTCCTCGGCGCGGCGGACGGGCCGGGCTGACGGGCACGGACGGCGCTGACGGGCCAGTGCTCGGCCGGCATCCTCATTCGCCGCCCACGCCGCGCCGCCCTCGCCGCGACACCGTAAGCCCAGCCCGCGCCACTCCACGCACTCCAACACCACCAGCCAACACGAGGAGGAGCAGCGAACCCGGACGCCGACCCACCCGCAGGCACCAAGCACCGGCAAACCCAAACCCAGAAACCGACAAACCCAACCAAGACATGGCCGAGAAACATGAAGTCGTCATCTCGGGGATCGGGGGCATGTTCCCGGGCAGCGCCAACCTGGAGACGCTGGGGAAGAACATCCTGGCCAACGAGTACCTGGTGACGCGCGAGGAGTCGGTCTGGAACCAGAGTGAGTGCGGCGAGGACCAAGTGCTGCCCCCGGAGTGACGCGGCCCGCACCCGAGGACGCCGAGGACGGCGAGGACGCGGCGGCCCGCAAGTGTACCCACGGGCCGACCAAATCCCTTCCGGAAAGCGACTTCTCGTGTGTAGCACTTGGGGCTGCCGTCGGCCGTCCTCGGAGTACGCGGCACTGTTACCCGGACTTGTGGTGTACTGGCGGTGGTGCGTTCAGGACGATGACGGCGTTTGTGTGCTCCGCTGCCCCGCAGACCAAATGACCGACGTGGAGCCCGTGGCGGGGCGGCTCCCGGACTGGGACCAGAGCGACAACCCCTTCTTCGGCATGCACAACAAGCTGTCCATCTGGACGGACCCCACCACGAAGCTCGGTTTCGAGCGATGCTTCGAGGCCATGATCGACGCAGGTAGGCGACGGGGACGGTGCTCCGCTTCAAGAGAGACGTGTGGTCTGCAAGCGCCGTTGTAACGCTTGTACAGGATGAAGCGTACCGCGACGCTTTCGTTTTACCATAGCGAAGCTGCGGTGCTCACGCGCTTCGGTTCGATTCAAGTCCAGAACGGAAGTGCCTCACTTTTCGGTCGTCTTCAGGTGTGCACCCCGCGTCGCTGCGCGGCTCCAACACGCAGGTGTTCGTCGGCATGCACCTCTCGGACAACGAGGCGGGCAGCTTGGCGTACATGGACAAGTCTGACGGCTACGGCATCATGGGGCACAGCAGGGCCATGAGCTCCAACAGGGTGTCCTACTTCTTCGGCTTCACCGGTGAGCGTCCCTCTGCTTTGTGGAACGACACACAGTGGGCCAGAAGCCGGTGGAGGCGGCCAAAACTCCAGACGCGTTTTGAGCTCCAGAGTCGCTGGATGGGACTCGAACCGAACGTGTGACCCCACCAATGGATTCCTCGTTCGGAGAGCAATCCACTGGTGGGGTCACACGTTCGGTTCGAGTCCCGTTTGGCGACTCTGGAGCTCAAAACGCATCCGGGGTTTTGGCCGCCTCGACCGGCTTCTGGCCCACTGTGCGACAACGCGCTACGGAGCAAACTGGCAAACTGTTTCCGTTCCGTCCCGTTCCAGGACACAGCTGCACCTACTCGGCGGCGGAGGCGTTCGGGCCGCTGGGGGTGCGCATGGCAGCCGAGGCCATCTCCTCGGGGCAGTGCGAGGCCGCGCTCGTCGTCACCTCCACCACCATCTGCGTGCCCTCCATCAGCCAGATGTACAAGGACATGGGCTACCTCAGCCAGGACCTCTTATGCCACCCCTTCGAGGAGACAGGTTGGTGGTTGGCACGGCACAGCACATCGTCGTTCTGTCTCTCCCGCAATCCTACGGGACGGCGCACAGTGGGCCAGGGGACCGGTGGAGGCGGCCAAAATTCTAGACGCGTTTTGAGCTCCAGAGTTGCTAAGCAGGACTCGAACCGAACGTGTGACCCCACCAATGGATTGCTCTCCGAACGAGGAATCCATTGGTGGGGTCACAGTCACACGTTCGGTTCGAGTCCCATTCAGCGACTCTGGAGCTCAAAACGCGTCTAGAATTTTGGCCGCCGCCACCGGTCCCCTGGCCCACTGTGCGGCGCACGCGTTCGAGGGAGACAGAGCGACAAAGTCGAAATGACGACAGCCGCGCGATGGCGATGCCCTTACGGTGTGGTGATTGGCCGCAGCCACCGGCATGCACCGCAGCGAGTGCTGCATCGCCTTCCTCCTGCAGCGCGCCGACCTGGCCAAGCGCTGCTACGCCACCGTGGTGGCGGCGGACGCCGTGCACCTCGGCAGCAGGCTGCGCTTCGACTTCACGCTGCCCAGCCCGGCCGGCCTGCAGGCCTTCCTCAACAACATGTACACGTACGTGGTCGAGCTAGTTATGGCGGGAGGGGGGAGGGGGGGGGTAGAAATTGCCTCAGTTCAAGGGGCACGTTCGGCTTCAACTGAGTCGAAAAAGTCACCAGAAAGTCCACCTTTCCGGGTGGCCCGAGTGTCCAAAGGGCCCACTACAGCGACTGCTGCTCGTTTCAGGGAGCACGACGTGGACCCCCGCTCCGTGGCGTACGTGGAGGCGGACGGCATCGGCCACCACCTCTCCGACGTGACGGAGCTCAACGCCCTGGACGGGGCCATCGGCCGCAGCCGGCCCGCGGGGCAGCCGCTGCTCGTGGGCTCCGTCAAGAGTAACGCGGGCCACACCGAGGTGTGCTCCGGCATGTTCGGCATGGTGAAGGCCATCGTGGCCATGGAGTCGGGCGTGATCCCCGCCACCATCAACCACGTCCAGGACGTGGCCGACGCCAAGTGCCTGGCCGAGGGCAGGCTCAAGGTGGTGACGAAGAACACCCCGCTGGAGGTGCGCCCCGACACGCACGTGGCCGTCAACACCATGTCGCTGTCCGGGCTGTGCGGCCACACCATCCTGCGGCCCAACCCCAAGGCCAAGACGCTCGTCGCGGACGCCTCCAAGGAGCTGCCGAGGCTCGTGGTGCTGTCCGGCCGCAGCGAGGAGGCGCTCACCAAGATGGCGGAGAAGGTAGGCCAGCCAGCCAGCGCACAGTGGGTCAGAAGACCGGTGAGGCGGCCAAAATTCGAGACTTGTTTTGAGCTCCAGAGTCGCTAAATGGGACTCGAACCGACCGTGTGACCCCATCAATGGATTCCTCGTTCGAAGAGCAATCCATTGGTGGGGTCACACGTTCGGTTCGAGTCCCATTTAGCGACTCTGGAGCTCAAAACGCGTCTAGAATTTTGGCCGCTCCACCGGTCTTCTGGCCCACTGTGCAGCGGCTCGCCGCACTCGGGGGTCTGCAGCGCGTTCATGTCTCCGCCTTGCCGGCCTCGCCCGATGCCCCCAGGTCCGCGCGTCGCCGTACGACCCGGAGTACATCCGCCTGCTGCAGGACACCTTCGGGCCGTCCATCCGCGGCTACGAGTACCGCAGCTACGTCATCTTCCCCGCGGACCCCACGCAGGCCATCAAAGTCTCCGTGAGTGTCCCGGTGGCGGATCCAGAGCCGGACTCAGGAAGGGGGAGGCAAAGAAGCGCCACATGCAGGGGCAAAGTGTGCCTTTTTGCCCGCCTTTGAGGCGGCTACACTGGTGAAACAAAGGCATTAAAATTATGCCCTTAAAGGGCGTAAACGATTCACGCCCCTGGAGCGGCGTTGATGCATTTTAGAAGGGCATTAAAATTTTGCTTAAATTTCCTATACCATTACGCCCTTCCCAAGGGCATAAAACGATTTATGCCCTTCCAAGGGCGTAAAAGAGTATTTATGCCCTCAAGGGCGTAATTTTTATGCCTTTGTTTTACCAGTGTACATTTGTGACGACACAGCAGACTGACTCGGCCTTCGCACGTTGCAGCACGTGGACAAGCGCACCGTGTGGTTCGTGTTCTCCGGCATGGGCAGCCAGTGGGCGGGCATGGGCTCCAGCCTGATGCAGCTGCCGGTGTTCGCGGAGACCATCGAGCGCCTGCACGCCGTGCTGGCGCCCAAGGGCGTGGACCTCAAGCACATCATCACGGAGACGGGCCCCACGGCCTTCGACAACATCCTCAAGTCGTTCGTGGGCATCACCGCCTGCCAGGTACGGCTCTCGCGTCGAGCCAGCTCGCTGCAGCGGGACTTGACTTAGCGACTCGAAGGGTTCACGTACACTACAAAATCCACTGTGTACTTAGTATACATCTATAGGAGTGTACTTGGCAAGTACACATCTATAGGAGTATACTTGCCAAGTACACATCTATAGGAGTATACTTCGGCAAGTATACATCTATAGGAGTATACTTGGACAAGTATACAGGTATTCCTATAGATTGGGCAAGTATACATCTATAGGAGTGTACTTGGGCAAGTATACATCTATAGGAGTGTACTTGGACCGCCTATCCGCTTTCACAAGTATACTCCTATAGATGTATACTTGCGAAGTACACTCCTATAGATGTATACTAAGAACACAGTGGATTTTGTAGTGTAATGGGGTTCGCTTTGGTCGCAGATCGCGCTCACCAACGTGCTGTTCGCCGTGGGCCTGCGCCCCGACGGCATCATCGGCCACTCCGTGGGGGAGCTGGGGTGCGCGTACGCCGACGGCTGCCTGACCGAGGCGCAGACCATCCTGGCGGCGTGGGCGCGAGGCAAGGCCTCCAACGAGGCCAAGCTCATCAAGGGCATGATGGCGGCCGTGGGGCTGGGCTACAAGGCCATCCTGCCGCGCCTGCCGCCCACCGTGGAGGTCGCCTGCCACAACTCGTCCACCTCGTGCACCCTGTCCGGCCCCGCCGAGGACGTCAAGAACTTCGTCGCCAAGCTGAGCAGCGAGGGCGTGTTCGCGCGCAACGTCAACGTGTGCGACATCGCGTACCACTCGCAGTGCATCCAGCCCGCCGCGCCCTTCCTGCGCCGCTACCTGGAGGAGGTCATCCCCGAGCCCAAGAAGCGCTCCTCCAAGTGGATATCCACCTCGGTGCCCCAGCACCTCATGGTAAGGCTCCCCGCGGTGCGCGTACTGTACCACTGGACTAGAGCGTGCCGCTGACCGGACTGCCCCTCCTCTCCAGGATACCCCTGCCGCCCAGTACTGCTCCGCCGAGTACCAGACCAACAACCTGCTGAGTTCGGTGCTGTTCGAGGAGGGTCTGGCGTACGTCCCCGAGCAGGCCGTGCTGGTGGAGATCGCTCCCCACGGCCTGCTGCAGGCCATCCTCAAGCGCGCGCTGCCCAACAACGTGAACATCCCGCTGACGCAGCGCGACCACGCCGCGCCACTGCACTTCCTGCTGGAGGCGCTCGGCAGGTGCGAACCGTGCGAACCGAACGCCAGTTCCTTGACAATCGCCCCCTTGAATTGCAGTCGTTGACATAAATCGTGTCGCAGGTTGACGTTCCACGGCGCCGAGCTGGACGTGGCCAAGCTGTACCCCGAGGTGAACTTCCCCGTGTCCAGGGGCACCCCGTCGATCTCCCCGCTCGCGACGTGGGAGCTGGGCGCCAGGTACTACGGTGCCTTCTTCTTGTCCTGCCGCTCGGTGAGTCTCTCTCCTCCACTGCCTTGGCCTCGGCCACGTGCCACGCATTACGGCCACGGCCTCCCTGACGGCCTCCCTGACGGCCTCTCTGACGGCCTCCCTGACGGCCTCTCTGACGGCCTCCCTGACGGCCTCTCTGACGGCCTCCCTGACGGCCTCCCTGACGGCCTCCCTGACGACCTCCCTGACGACCTCCCTGACGGCCTCCCTGACGGCCTCCCTGACGGCCTCCCTGACGGCCTCCCTGACGGCCTCCCTGACGGCCTCCCTGACGGCCTCCCTGACGGCCTCCCTGACGGCCTCCCTGACGGCCTCCCTGACGGCCTCCCTGACGGCCTCCCTGACGGCCTCCCTGACGGCCTCCCTGACGGCCTCTCTGACGGCGCCCCTTCTCGGCGCAGGGCGAGGCCACCACGCAGCTGTACAACGACAGCCCCCACATGCGCGTGGGCGGCGCCAAGCTGCTGCCGTACAGCGAGGCGCTGGACTCGGCGTGGACGGCGCGCGGCATCCTCGACAACGACCAGGACGTGGCCGTGTCGCTCAGGAACATCGTGGTGCACAACAAGCTGCAGCTGCCGCATGACGGTGAGTTCCCGCGTCCGTCTTATCCGTGGTGCGCGAGTCCCTGAACGTCCTGACCGGCTTCTCCCGTCCGCAGAGGCGATGGAGTTGTCGACCAAGGTGTCGCCGGCCCAGGGCTCCTTCGAGGTGGAGGAGACGTACGCGGAGCGCCTGGTGATCTCGGGTACCGCCACGAGCCTGCAGGCGGAGGACGCACCGCCCGCCCTGCCGGACGAGTCCTTCCCCGCCGACGCCCTCACGCTCAGCGGGCAGGACATCCTGGCCGACCTCGCCGCCAAGGGCTTGTCCTACTCGCCCAAGTACAACGCCCTCAAGTCCGTCCTGGTCGGCAACCGCGGTGAGCAAGACGCCAAGGCGTTAGCATGACTAGTTCCAGAGCCCTTTGCGTGACCACCTCCTCGTTTCCAGACTGGATCATCCGCCTGGACAGCAGCTGCCCGCGCGCCGCCATCCTGGAGGCCCTGCTGCAGGTGCTGCAGTACCGCGCCTCGGAGGAGGCCATGGGCTTGGTGCTGCTCAAGCGGCTGCTGCGGCTCGACGTGGACCCCGTCAAGATGAGGGAGCGTGACGGTGAGTGTGGGTTGGCGACCGCAGCGATAGCCCCGCCGCGCGGCGGTACACTCGGAACCAAAACATTGCCCTGACCGCGGTGTCCACCGTGTCTACCGTTCAGAGGTCGTGGTGCGCTATTCCTTGTCCTCCGGCGCCATGTCGGGGCACGGCATCTACGCGATGGGCTTCGAGGGCATGAAGGAGGACAACCCCGACGAGGGCTCGTTCACGTCGCCGCTCAACTTCCAGTTCGTCCGCTACGGCAACAGCAACCTCCAGGTGAGCAGGCCACCCACGCACGACCCTCCAGGGCAGGGCGCGCAAACCTCGTAAACAGCTAAGGATAGAGAAGTCATTCAGTGGGATAAGAACCTCGTGAGCGACAAACGTTAACGACCCGTCTTTCAGAGCGTGGGCGAGTTCGTGAGCCTGGCCGTGCAGCTCGCCCTGGAGGGCTTGCCCACCACCAAGAAGGACTGCAGCATCACCATCCTGGAGCTGCAGAACTGCTCCGGCCCCAACGTGCTGGGCCCGGCCGTGCGCAGCCTGCTGCAGGAGAAGATGGGCATCAAGGTAGGCAGCATGCCGCAGCGCGCCCTGGCCGCGAGGTTACGCCAATGTGGCGGTGCACTGACCACCTCTTCCGCGGGCAGGTGAACGTGAAGACGCTGAGCGTGGGCTCGGGCAGGAGCCTGTCGCTGCCCGAGGTGGAGCAGGGCATGTGCCTGACGGTGAGCGCGCCCAACACGCTCACGGAGGGCGTGCGGGTGGCCGCGCACGTCGGCGGCCTGCTGCTGACGCGGTCCTCGGAGCGCGTCTCCACCCTGCACAGCCAGATGGGGCTGGTGGCGGAGCAGCGCACGGGCGCGGACGGCGAGTGGGTGAGCCTGCTGCGCCGCCCCGTGGCCGTGGTCCCCGAGCGCGCGCGCGTTCTGCAGATGGCGCGCGGACAGGCGCCGCCCGCCCGCGTGCTGGAGGCCGGCCCCGACCACCCCGTCGTCCTGGTGTGGCGCGGCCAGCCCGACGGCGGCGTGCCCCAGGTCGTCGACCAGGTGCGGCGTCGCCCCTACGCCGCCTACGCCAGGTGAGGGCCCTCTCCGGCCAGCAGACCGATTCCGAGAGTCGTTTCCGACGCTCTGTCGTGACGGTTCCTTCGTGCTCGCGCAGGCTGGTGTTCATCCTGGACGAGAGCGCGCCCGCCTTCTCGCTGACCGACCCCCTGTACGCCGGCCAGCTCAAGCTGCAGCTGCAGGTGAACGTGCTGCACCGCAAGACGTGGGGCTGCTGGCTCGGGCTGCCGCTGGTCGGCGCCGCGCCCGCCGCCTTCTCCGCCAGCAGGTGAGTCCAGGCCTCGGCCCAGGCGGTGCACAGTAGGCCGGCGGAGGCGGCCAAAACTCTAGACGCGTTTTGAACTCCAGAGTCGCTAAACATGACTTGAACCGAACGCGTGACCCGATCGGATTCCTCGTTCGGAGAGGAATCCATAGGTGGGGTCACACGATCGGTTCGAGTCCCATTCAGAGACTCTGGAGCTCAAAACGCGTCTAGAGTTTTGGCTGCCTCCTCCGGTCTTCCGGCCTACTGTGCGGTGGCGATTCCGTGCCCCAGATCCAGACACCGAGTGTACACCGTGTGTGTGTTGCAGCCTGGAAGGCACCACCATCGAGGCCTACGGATTCAACCCCAAGGAACGCAGCCCGACCAGTGCCCAGCAGGTCTGTAAGCCCAGGCGCCGTGTGGTACCTCCACACGCCATTCATAGGAACAAGGCCACTCTAAGTAATCATCACAATTAAGCCGAAATAACTTCACACGAGACCATTCACCAGAAAGTTTCGCAATTTTCAGAAAACACTACCTGCTAAAACCTGTGAAAAGATCAAGTAGCGGAAGAGAACACAGCACCAACCGTTTTATAAACTAACAAGGTAGGTTTACGCCAGACCGCGTCTTGTCGTAACAGGCTTCGCGATATCTCGCAGCCTGTTCCTCCAATCCGCGCCTGGCGTACCTACCTTGGCCTGCGGCGCTAGCCTGCCTTCGGCAGGCATTGGCTTGTCCATCGTCGGTTACTTCTTACGTGTTGCATGCTGGGGGGCTCCGCCCCCCAGACTCCCCTTCATTCTAGAAAGAGTTGCTTCATCTACAGATAACTCGATCTTGACCCTTGTAACTTTCTAACTTGTCGAGGCTGGGGGGCTCCGCCCCCAGACCCCCCTTTCTTCAAGACAGAGGTGATCTACCTGCAGAAAACTCGATTTTTCGCCGTTTTTAGGTGTTTTTCGGCTATAAAAACTGAACTAGTTGAGCTAGGATAGTGAAATTTCGCGTGTGCCGAGCCAAGAATATACCTAATAAGCCTGCAAAATCTCAGCCAGATCGGCCGAGCCGTTCAGGAGGAGTAGTGCACACACACACACAGACAGACCGACAGACAGACAAAACTTTTCAACCGCACTGGAGTAACAGGCTTCGCTATCGCTCAGCCAAAAATGTTAAAAACTCCGTTTCCCACGACCAGTGGCGGATCCAGAGGCGGCCTATTGGGGGGGGCAAAGTCGCACTTTTTGCCTACCTTTCAGGCGGCTATCTAGGGTCTATAGGGGGGGGGCCAAAAACCCCATTGCCCCCCCCCCCTCTTTTTATCCGCGCCTGCCCATGACCCTGGCCTTTGGCGCCTTTGGCATCGGCACGGGCAAGATTTGACGACATCTCCAACCAACTTCGCTTTCCAGGTGTGGTGTGGCCACCTGGACTACGTCGGCGTGTCCCCCAAGGGCCAGCGCGTGATGGGCATCGCCCGTTGGGTGTCCGAGACCAGCCGGCCGCGCCTGGACAGCATGCTGCAGTGGGCTGTGCCCCAGGGCTGGAGCTCGGCCGACGCCGCCACCGTCCCCTACGTCTACGCCAACGTAAGACTGGGCCAGAGCAGCCTTCTGCGTGGCGTCGCTTGGGAGTCGCACAGTGGGCCAGAAGACCAGTGGAGGCGGCCAAAACTCTAGACGCGTTTTGAGCTCCAGAGTCGCTAAATGGGACTCGAATCGAACGTGTGACCCCACCAATGGATTGCTCTCCGAACGAGGAATCCATTGGTGGGGTCACACGCTCGCTTCGAGTCCTGTTTAGCGACTCTGGAGCTCAAAACGCGTCTAGAGTTTTGGCCGCCTCCACTGGTCTTCTGGCCCACTGTGAGTCGTCCTGAAACGCAACCCTCCCCGCTGCCGCAGGTGTACCACGCGCTGACGGTGGTCGCGGGCCTGAAGCGCGGCCAGAGCATCATGGTGCACGAGGGCGCCTCCGCCGTGGGCCAGGCCGCCATCCGCGTGGCCTTGCAGCTGGGCTGCTCCATCTTCACGACGGTGGGCGACGAGTCGCAGCGCCGCGCCCTGCGCCTCCTGTTCCCCCAGATCGAGGACCGGCGCGTCATGTCGTGCGCGGACGGCGCCACGTCCTTCGAGTGGCGCATCCGCACGCTCACCAACTCCGCCGGCGTCGACGTGGTGTTCAGCGCGCTGCCCGGCGACCAGATGAAGGCCTCCATGCGCTGCCTGCAGCACTTCGGCAAGATGGTGCACTACGGCCGCGAGGACATGCTGGCCTCCACCACGATAGGTAGGGCCTTCCTTCGGGCCTCGGGCGCCGCGTTGACGGGCAGCACCGCCGGCCGCCGTGCCGGAAGGTTTGCCCGCCCGCCCGGCGTGCTGCTGGAGGGTTTGCCTGCCTGCGCGGCGCGATGCTCTACACACTCCTCTGCCTCGTCCGCGCAGGGCTCTTCATCTTCCTGCAGAGCTTGAGCTTCACCGGGCTGACCGGCGACCAGCTGTTCCTGGCCAACGAGGAGGACCGCCGCCTGGTGCACGCCGCGGTGCAGGAGGGCCTGGACAGCGGCCACGTGCAGCCCATCGAGGGCACCAGGGTGTTCAACGCGACCAACCTGGCGAGCATCAAGGAGGCCCTCCTGTAAGTGCCTCCCTCTCCTCCGAACTCGTCGCCGCCGTCGGCCTTCGCTTACTGACGCGGTCCCGTTCTCGTTTCTCCAGCAGTGTGCGCGGCGAGTACCCGGCGCCCTCCAAGGTGGTCATTTCCGTCCACAAGAACAAGCGGCAGGACGAGTGTAGCGGCAAGAGGAGCTACGTCATTGTCGGAGGCCAACAGCACGAGTGGCTGCAGGTAAGCTTCGAAACGGCAAAGTGAACGGCGTTCGTGACGCTCGCGTTGTTACACTGTTACACGTTTCACGTGGACGCCGGGGCTCTCCTTGCAGGTGGCTGGGTGGGTGGCGCAGCACGGCGCCCACGAGGTGCTCGTCGTGGCCGACAGCGCGTCCGCCAGCCCGTCCCTGGTGCGCCACCGCCAGCGCGCCCTGCGCCGCCTGTTCGACACCAACGTGCGCGTGCAGCTCGAGGACAACCTGGCCAAGAGCTTGGACGAGGGCAAGGCGCTGCGCGCCCTGAAGACCGCCGCCAACGCGGCCCCCGTGGACGCCGTCATCGCCCTGGTCAAGGTGAGGGCGAGATCGGAGCCTTGAGGCGCGAGGGAAAAGACAGCCGGCTGACCGACGCCGTTTGCTCTGCGTTTGCCCCGCAGGACGACGCGTCCGTGGTGACGGTGCTGCACGCCGCCATGAAGAAGGACGGCCTGTCGGACGCGTCGCTGGTGGTGCTGGCCGAGAGCGCGCTGACGGCGTGCGGCTTGTCGGAGCTCTGCGAGTCCCGGCGGGCCAGCGGGCTGCGCGCCGCGTGCATCGCGGGGCCGCTCAACAGCGCCGCCGCGCACTTGGTGGACCTGCTGGGCGGCTGCAGGCCGGCCGTGACGCTCCTCAAGGCCGCGGGCCCCGCCGCGGACGACGCGCTGCACGAGGTGCCCGACGGCGTCCCGCGCGACGCGCAGGCGCTGCTGGAGCTGGGCCGCGTGCCGAGGACGGCGGCGTCGTGCCACGTGCGCGACATGCCCACCCTGGGGCTGCGCCTGCGCCACAGCCGCGAGGCCCTGCCCGTGTTCGCGGTGCCCCCGCTCGGCGTCCTGGACCAGCAGGGGCAGTCCGCCCTGGCCGCGCTCGCGCTCCGCATCATCAACCCCATGATGCTCGTGCAAGCCGCCCCCGCCGACACCCTCGGGCAGCAGGCCGCCGCCGTGGTGCAGGCGATCGTCCGCACCCACCCCGTGGGGCCCTACACCGTGCTGGGCTGGGGCCTGGGCACGCCGCTGGTGCTGGAGGTCAGCCGGCAGCTGGAGGCGCAAGGCCACAAGGCCGTCACCATGCTCGTCCTGGGCGACGTGCTGCAAGTGCAGGCCTGGGCCCAGGAGCAGGCCGACGCCTCCCTGCTCAGGACCATCTTCTCGGACGAACAGTCGCAGGAGGTACGCTACGCCAGGCTACGCGCTACGCATTGGTCTTCGGACACCACCGTCCGTCGTCTCACCTCCCCGCCCGCGGCCTTGTGCAGATCCTGGAGAACGCGGCCGACCCCCTCCGCGAGCTGCTGGCCACGCTGCCAGAGAGCCAGCGCGGCCGCGCCGAGGCAGGCTTCCTCACGCTGCGCACCGCCGTCAACGCCCTGGCCAGGCACACCTCCAACCTCGCGGACCCCTTCCGCGGCCGGCTCATCGACGTGCAGGCCGACAGGGCCTCCTCCTTCACCAGGGTGAGTGCCGCCAGCACGCCCGCAGGAGCGGAGCAGGTTCGGCTGGATCACGACGGTGACGTCATGACGTTGACGTGCTTGCAGGCCAACAACGTGCTGTCCCGCATCGCGCCGCGCCAGGAGGTGCCGCTGGGACTCCGCAGCACGTGGCTCGCCACCCTCATCATGGAGTACTCGGGCGTGTCCAAGGAGGCCACGCTCAGCGAGGTGCGGCCGCTCCTCGCTGCCCTCGCGTGACCAACTCTCCCCTCCCCGACTCCGACGACGCCTTTTATGTACAAATAAAATTCGAAAATAAAATATAGCGGCTTCCTGATTAAACGCTGGTGTTTTTCTTTTCTTGTCATTCCCTTGATTTCACTATACGGAATTGGCCTGATTTGGTTTGGGAAATTATGTTCCTTGTTCTTTTGGGAGGAAAAGACTCGATGCAATACAAGGCAATACACTTTATTATTCCAGATTGGGTACAAAGTTACATATACAATACTTGATTTGTGTTTTATTTATGGAAGTTAAGGTCTGTCACACACAATTCCGTAAACGAATACAGAATGTACGAGATGCTAATACTGAATCCCCATCCTCAACAATATAAAAATTGTTTGGCTGCCCTTAATTAAGACCATTGGCACGAAAAGTGGACATTTAACATACATGATTATGTTTGTAAAATAATAAAGATACGATATACGTAAAGTGCATTAAAATAGACTACAACTGGAGAAAACAATCACTTTATTTTAACTTCCAGCAAGAAATGGTTGTTGAAAAAAACTATTGAGAGCTCAATGTTGCCTCAACCACTCATTTCTTGCTGGATTTCCTCCTAAACTTAAAATACCAGCAATACTTACATGTAAAATCACAATGTAAGAAATTATTAAGTCACATGAAAACATCCAATCATAATGAATATAATGATATATAACAAATGGAAATAAAATTTCTTTAAACATACAAATAAAATAATACACCTCTCAAATAAAATAAATAAATATGCCAGTGTGGATAAAGGAAGGAACGGACTACAAAGCAAAATGCAATCTGGTCTACAAACCAAAACTTTAGTTTCCTAGCAAAGTTGATAATTCTGGACAGATGTATATACATAAAAGAGGCCTTTGGATGAACTATAAATCAGTCTACTAGTAAAGTCATACACATGAAAGAAAAAAAAAAGGAAGAAATGGGAATGGGAAGTAATTTGACATCGATTCAGGACACAGATGTGGATGAAGAAAATTAAAACGAAAACAGCTCATGTTACAAGCCTTTGTGCAAACAATCATGGTTCAATTAACACTTTACACTGCCTCTGCAGGACTCTGGAATTCACTCAGAGCTTTGATGGGGTTCTGGACTTTTTTCTGAGAGCCTTTACGGACTTTGGCTCTCACCTCTTCAGGTTTCTCTGGTCTCACTAGAGGTTTCTTCTCAGGAGCCTTCATCTTCCATACAACGATTGGAGACTGCAAAAAGGCAAAATATTAATATATGAAAAATTAATTGGAGTTCAGGGGAGACAAAAGGGTGAGAAAACTTCAACAGAATGCAACACTACACACTGTTTAAAAATTGTTCCAGCAAGCAATCACACAGCTCGTAAATAGGAAGAATGTTACAGAGACAACGCTACTTTTCCTCATACTTATTGTTAGTGAAAAAGAAAACAACAAAAAACTGAATCTTTTATTTAGTGATAGTATTAGCAGTTTCCAGAATACGTCTAGTGTTTGTTATTGTGGGGAAGAGTGGTAAATAGACCAAATATAAATAGACTTTCTAAACCAAAGCCAAACAAACATCAAAAACATGAACCAACTCGCTAACCAACCAGGTTTACGCTGTACAGAATAGCATATGATGAAGTGATGGGGAAATAAAAATAAGAGGAGTCTCGCTTTTCAAATCCCCTGTCTGTCACTTCCTAAAGAAAAACAATATTTCTATAATGAGATTACTGTAGAAAGAAGCCATGTGATGTGAAAAGAGTTAGGAAAGAGGAGTCAATCATCTACCAAAGATCATCCAATAATCAAGTAAAGGGAGGGTGTGTGCAAAAGTTGTGTAATCATAAAGATGACTAAGAGAGTTGACAAAATGATGAAGTAAGTCACTCGAACAGTACATTCACGTGCTGTGCCGAATGAATGAAGCTTTACTAATTTTAATCAATGTGAGACACTACGGTCATACAATTCATGCACTACTAGCAGTGCTGTATGTAATGTTTCAAGTTTCTGGTTTCTTTTAAAAAGGATCTACAAAAAATACCTCATAGTCTTAACAAACTAAAGAACATTTGTACTTACTGAAACAGCACCCTGTCGTGGATACTTTGTGCTGGCTACATAGGAAGCCTTAACAGTCAAGACGACGGCATTCATCAAGTTTTTAGCTGCTTGGATGAGGGATGTTGCACTGTCCAACTAAACATATGGTGACCAATATTAGTAAGCATATGATCAAATTGACACTTTACCCCAAGAAATGTATTTATTCAACTTACCCCAGATACAATTAGCTCTCCTGAAATGTTTTGTACATCAGCTTTCACTTTGGAAGTGATGTTCAATTGATGGCAGTAGAGAGCAATGCGTTGTAGATATGCCAGAAGATCTTTCTTTGTTGATGACTCTGGGCACTGATCCGCAATCATTCTTGTAAATTTGTCTAAATTGGTACCAGCCTCTGAGATTTTCTTAGCAGCATTGATGACATCCATTGTAGTTTTCAGAGGTCCACGGCCACTGAAAGGAAAATGTCCATGCAAGGTTAAAAGAATGCATACTACAAACAATCTCAATGGATTTGATAAGCAGAACATTATATACCGAGTAAAATCTGTCATTTCCATCATAATCATACACATATGCTTGGCAAGTACAATGATATCATTGCCAGTATCATCCCACTTGGCAACCTCACGATCAAACTTCAACTTCTCGCTTCGGAAATGTTCTACTTGCTGAGCGATCTTCTGTTTGTCTTCCTCCGTCATTTTACGCATAGCCTCCTGCAAGATATTCAGAGATATTTGGAGTAAATTTTGAAGTTGCTTTACATAGAACATACAGTAGTTTGAAATTGAAAAGAAGATACATACCCTTGCTGTAGTGATGCCACTGATATCAGGATATTCATCCACACCATGTTCATTGGTATGGGCACTTGCTGCAAAACAGAAATTAAATCACAGGTTAAATTTAACAAATAAACCAACCAGAAAAATACCAGTTTAGTAGTTTTACAGTGTATGCCTTACACTTGCTCCTAGTCTCAATGGTGTAGTGCTCATCAAATTCAACATCTTCCGGGTCCAGCTCTTCATCACTCTGAAATACAAATATTGAACACAAATAAAGATTATGTACTGGTAGTCAAATAATGCTGTGGTCTTCCTTGTAATGAAGTGTTCTTCATGATAACATACCCTGTTCATGAGAACAGCCCTCCTAATTTCGCGGACTCCATCATACACCAGCCTTGAGGCGTCAATGAATTCATTTTCATCAACTTCTTTGGCAGGATTGGATGAAAGTGCATCTACTGCAATTTCCACTCGCTGGGCGAAATTGGGCATTACTAGAAAAGAGAAGACGACATATTTTTAAGGTACCAACAAGGATCAATTGTCTAACAACAAACGAGATCAAAACAAACCTTGCTCACGCAGAACTTTGACAGCCTCCAGAACACGTTCTGTGTAAATACCCGGCTCATAATTGTCCATTTCTTGACCAACAACGTTTGCTACTCTCGCGGAGCGACCTCTGATAGCACCTGCAGTACGATCCAAGGTATCTGCATCCCCTTCTTGAAGAGCCAACACACATTTGTTGACATCCTCCAAAATATGATTTTCTACAAGAGAAAAAACACCATAAATTCACACAATAAAATAAGAAATGTGAAAATACAGTATAATTATCATAACACAGAGCATTTTCTTTACCAGAAACTGCAAGGAAGTCATCGATAGTGGTTATGTCATCAACAGCCTCAGTAAGGATGCGCACTTGGCTTTCCCAGGCATCTCTAAACACATCCATATTCTCCAAAGCAACTTTGGATTGAGGCCGAGCGGCCAGAATTCGTGCTGCATTGATCACTTGAGGACAAAGAGTCTCAATTTGTGCTGCAGCATACCGCACCATTTTGACACCGTCTTCATTGCCAGACATACTGCACGCCAAATTGGCAACCTAGCAAAATAAGACCAATTATAAGATGTAACATAAGAAAAAAGTAATGACTGATTCACTAAAAACTTAGTAGAAAAAGTACTTACCTCCACCAGCTTATTAGCATGTTCAGTAAACACTTGAGCATACTCTTCAACCTCTTTCTCCTGTCCTTTTCTGGCAGCTTCAATCAAAACCAACAATGGCACATTGGTTTCCAAGAAGCTGAAACCAAATAAGATAATTAAATCAAGTCCTTCAAGTGCGATGCTTCCATCCTAATAAAAATAAAATTAACAAAAAAAATCTGAATTAGTCTGTCTTATTTACGATTAAATTAAACTAACTAACCTGTCTGAGACATGATCCACAACAGCTTTTCTTAATTGACGTCGGAGATCCCTGGTCTTGCGACACATGTGGTCGATGGCTCGCTCCAGGTTTTCGGTAGGCTCCTTCACACCCATCTGAAAGGCACAAGAATATAATAGTTTTCAAGTTACAGAACTGTGAGGTGATTTTGGAGCAGATCAGAAGCATGAGAGTGAAAGATTGCTCTCTACAAAAACTTCATGAAGACATTGACACGACAAAGTGAAATTAAGAGGCCAGCGGCTAGGAGGAAAAGCCATCTACCAACCAAAATCAGACAGACACAAAGTGATACACATAGAGACACAGAAGAAAATCTAGACTGAAAAGTGAACAGAATATTGACAAGAGAGCAAGTAATGCTAAGTCGAAGAAGGGGATGTTATGCTTGCCTGAAGAATTCTGATTGCACAATCATTAGCATAAGCAAAACAAACATGAACACTGCTTTTATCCAGTTTATTGGGGGCTGGCATGACTCAAAACAAAGGATTAAATATTTACCAGCAAGGTCCGCGCAGCTTTAGCTTGCACTTGCTACAAACCAACAACAAAGAGGTTTTGTTAAGCTAGAAGCTTAAATGCCATTACCATGAATCACAAAGCACAGATGCCATTCAGGTACAAGAATCATTAAAATTACCCTCAAAAAAATATCATTACAATTGCTCACATGTTCACAGCTATTATAATAGCCTTGATAAACAATGGACTATGTACAATCTCAGAGAGCACCAAAGAGGGAAAAAAAAAAAGAAAGAAAGAAAAGGGCATACTTACATTGTTCATGTACTCAGACAGGAGTTCCTGCAGAGCTTGGCGCACTGCATTGCATTCGGCGACGATCCTCTCCCGTCTTTCATCGCGGGTGCAGCTTGAATCGGCCATGAGTGCAGCTCCACTGATGATGCTCTCCAGGCGCTCCTCCAGGGACGGCCGTGTGCGAACCTCATTGTAGGCGAGGGGGTCCATGACAATGCGGTCCTACATGCCAAAAGTGAGGAAACAAAACCAGCATTTATAATAAACAGCAATGGGGCCATAGCTAATTTGAGATGCCAAGTCTTACATCAAAGTCATCAAGAGCTGCAGCTAGTTCTCCAGGGCCATCATAGGGATTCTGTGGTATTTGTGGTCCTTTGCCTTGGGCCACATCAGAAATGGTCGTAACAGCTTCACAAACTTGCTTGAAGACGTAGTCTCGATTTGCCTTTGCAGCAGCAAGCTCAGGGTGCCGAACATACACCTAAATTTAATAGAATATTAATATTGGCACAAATAATGTACGCCATCTGTCTCTTTGAGAATATTGGAAGATAAGATTTACCTTTGATGCCGTGAGTAGCATAGTGGAATGTTTCTTCAGAACAGCGCGAGCAGCAGCCAGATCATCACGCAACTGAGGATCTTTTAACTCCTGCTGCCGTTTAGCAGCTTGGTTCATAAGTTCAGAAGCATTACGACCAAAAGCTTTGATGTTGTCCAGTAACTCCACTTGTGATGAAGCATTTTTAACCTTTTCCAAGTCGTCCTCTACCTGAGAACATGAGAAAAATTCTTCACAGAATGGTTCCTTGCTAAGGTTCAATGAAACTTCAGGGTGAACTCAAAGGTACTAACAACACGCAATGACTTCAAAAGGAGATGTACATCAACCATGTCAGCTAGAATAAGAAGTCTAGTGACAGCAGAAAGCAAATTACGAGCAGCTCGGACCATGTTTCCTCTTTTCAAAGAAGAACAAGGATCATCTGCAAACTCTCGTGCAGCAAGACTCATAGCAGCACCTTAAAAATAAAAACCAGGAAGGGGTTAGAGCAAACATTAACTTCAGAAATACAGTTATTTGTTATTAGGTATATTTACCAGTCTTGCGGACTTCTTCCACAGCAGACAGCATTTCAGACTTAATGTCTGGATTTTCATATGCGATCATTTCCCCACGCTCAATGAAATTTTCTGTAGCTTTTTCCACAGCAGCCACCAACACATGAGCTCTCTTCGAACGGCCTTTCTTCTTTTTTGAGGGTCCTTTTGTGTTGACGAGTGTCGTGACCTTATGACAAGTAATACCAGAGCATTAGGATTGAAACAAACAATATTGAAACACATCAACATTCCGAAGGTACTCACCTGAAGCACAAGGGGCTCTAATGTCTTCTCTACAGACATAGTCCGAATTTCCAAATTCTTTGGATCCCATTTTAAAGTAATGGTACCAAATTGATCGGCAGTCATGGTTGTGCCTGAAACAACCAAAGCTAGAATGTTACGACATAAATATGGTAAAATTTAACAACTGCTTCGATCCCAAACAAATTAAAATGAGAATTTGACAGGGGGGCTCACTTAATCAATGGTAGAGATAAGGCCGAGCAACAAGAATAAAGTGGTTATGGTAGACACGAAATTAGTCTTTTCATGAGTGGAAATGCCTACGCAAAGTAGTCAAGTAGGTAAAGCGCGGACGCAAACAATCTGCTACGTCCCAAAGTAAAGCCTCGCCTCCGGAAAGTGACTCACTGAGGAAAATGGGAACAACGACAGAACCGAACAGTGCTAAGTACACAAGGAGGGATTTCACGTATATGCCTTTAATACGCGTCGGACGCGCGGCTCACTACAACCAAAATCTTCAGTAAATTACAGGGGTCATGCCCACTATGAAATTACCTCGGAAATCTCACAACTTTCACTAAAAAAGCCCAACCTCTGGGCGTGTCTTGCTTGAATGTTTTCCGAATGACCCAAACATTTGACAACTTAGAAACGGGGATGGTGACTCATGGGAAGGGTGTGTTCCAGGTTCCGCTTCAAAGGCGCGGCGTTTCGGTGTTTTCTTTGCGTATTCCAAGCAAACGAAGTTTCTCAAAGGTCGCTAGATTACGAGTTAAAAGCAGGAACAAATTTGCATACCCTATGCAGACACTTTAAATTGAGCAGCCAAATATAATCAGATTTTGTCCGTTTCCAAACGAGCAGCAATTTCTCATAGTGCAACCTGCTCAAATCCCAACCCAACCAAACAACAACACAGAAGAGGAGAACATGATCAAAGACAGATGGGAAGGGCATTAGTTTATTTTGTGTATTTATTCTCGGAATGCGTGACATCTTAGCCGCGACACTTGAAGCGTTCGTTGCTAGTGAGGCTAGGCTGGTGTGTGTTTTCGACTGATCGTGTCCGAACAAGGACGTCTGAAACTTGAAGGGAATGGCCAACGCCAGAGCTACGACCTTTAACAACGTTTGGAACTTCCTTGGAGGCAGTCTGGGTCTTCAGGGGCATGAAAAGGCTCTCAAAAATGCCCTCTACAATGCCCTGGCTATGCTCTTACTGGTTGTCTGCTGTGCAGCCTTCTATGCATTGGTGTTCGTTCTGGACCCATTCCTCAAACCTCTTCTGTGGGCTCTTCTCTTGGGCTCCGTCTTACATCCTTTCAAATACTCCCTGGTTTATTCTGTCAAAAACTGGATTGATGTCCTGGAAACAAGAGGTACCCCTATCGCTGTTGCATTTGTCATGATACCTGTCAGCGCCTTTGATCGCTTCTCCGACCGAATTGGAGACCTGATTTACAAGAACCTTCGAATCATCTTCTACCTAAGTGCAGCATTGCCTCTCATGCTGATCTTGTATGGGTACACTCCGCAAAGTTGCCTGTGTGTGCTGTGGAGAATGGCATATGCTTTTTATGCTCTTGTTAACTTTCTTGTTGGCCTTTCAACTGGCCCTGTGGTAAGTTTTTGAACTTGAGGTCCCAAAAATCATTTACACTTTGTACCTTATATCACATGTCTTGTTTATCATCTGTTTTAGGTGGTGACATACTTGTGTGGGTACTTCACTACACTAGCACTTTGGTGGAATCCAGATGTATCTTATCGTTTTTCTGCTGGAGGCTACGTAATGTGGTGTCTTATAGCTGGCTATTTTGCCCGCTTTGTTGGATCGTCTTACCAAGTTTTCGCTTTTGCTTTACTTCAGTCAGTCTATTTGTTTGGATATTTTTATGAGAGGTGGTCCGCAAGTGACAGCTACAAAGTTTCAAAAGGTAGAGTTATCAAAGTGCAAAATTCATGATGATCGTGAACTTTTACAACTTTTACAGTTTTCCTATTTCTCTTTTGGCAGAACGACATTTGTCCTTAGTTGAAGCGCTGATGAAGAGCGCCACAAGCAGCGAACAGTCATCGGACATAGTGATGCCAACTCAGGTACTAATTTAATTCCTCACCCCAAAGAATGTTGTTATTGTGTAATTATTCTTTGTCTTATAGTATGCACTTATTGTTGAACTCTGTGAGCAGTCACTCCCTGTTATACCGCGAGAAATAGATGCAAATGATTCCACTGGATCAGATCCCACTTCTAAGGAGCAGCCAAAAATTACTGATGCAGATTCAAGCCGCAATGCTACAGAGCGAGATTTACAAAATACCTCGTTATCTGAGGTTGACGGATCTCTTAAGCCAAGAGCACCTAGAGAGGTAGGTCACACCCCACCCTGACACTCAAGAGGTGAACTCCCAAACACTGTCCTGATTTTGAAGTGACTGAAATCACATACATAATCTAGCTCCTTGCAAAAGCCACTTCCCTTCCCAATACCCGCACCCTAAGAAGCCTCACCCTTGCAACGGTCAGTTTTTCTGTCAAATGTTATCTTGCTTAATTCCTTTTGATTGATGGTGTTACGCATTTGTGTGCAGTTGGACAGTCACTTGAGAGCACAGGCTGTCAGTGCTGTTCGGCCAACAAGCCTGAGGGCTCCACCTCCGGAAAGTGATAGAATAACCAGTGAGAAGTGCCTGTATGTGTTGGGTTGGACTTGTCTGGCGGTTTTCATTTGGAACCACATGTGGCTTCTTCATTTCCTACCTGTCACTATAATTGTGTACCTGATAAAAAATCTAGGTAAGAGAAAACTTGAATAAGAGATTTTAGACTTGCGTTTAAACTAAAAAATATTGCATACTTATAATGAATACTTTTTAAGGACATTATTTTGGTGTATGGAAGTGGATGAGTGCAAACTTTGAGATTCTTCTGTCGTCCTTGAGTCAGTGGAGTGCAGTCAGGAAAGAAGCACTCTGTCCACCATTTGTTGCAGGCCTTATGAAAGTAGGTGCCCACTCTCATGCTCTTAATTATTCAAGAAATCGTGAATATTTCATATAAAAACATTGTTTTAAAAATCAATTCCAGATTCAAATTTCTCTTCGGCAACAAATTCTTCATTCCCTGCGGGACTCGGTGGATTCGGCTGCCAGTGTGCTTGTCATTTTGGCTTTGCTCGTCTTCCTTCTCAGCACAACCATCTTCATTACAGTCAATGTTGGTACTTCAACTCATCAGAGTTCAACCAAACTCAATTTCTTTGTGGTGCAATGCCTTATACAGTTTTTAATTTTTTAAAAGGTGTATGCAGAAGGTATCCACCTGGTTCATGTAGCTGGTAATGCTATTAACAACACTCTGAGCAATAACCAAGAAATCTTGGCCTTGCTTCCTGAGGGAGTTCAGGAAAAGCTGCATCTTGTATTGGACAATGCTTATTTATATGGCCGTCAAAGTATATCCAGTATGGTTAGTCTTTTGTAATCCGGTGCGGCGTGAGCTTGGAATAGAGGGGCCAGTCCTTGAATGCTCATAAAACAAAATTGTGGTTGTTTCCCCAGGTACATGCAATGCTGAAAAATGCAGATGCCGACAAAGCTGACCTTCTGGAACAGAGAGTCCTTGAGTTGTGGGATCGCATTTACCAAGCGTGGATGATGACATCAACTGATGTTCCAGGTGCGATGGGGCCTAGAGTGTCCTCAAGTGCAGTGTACGCAAGTTGGGAGAGCTTTCTGGATGGTGTAATGAAAACTCCAGGTAAGGTCTACCTTTCCTGTGTGAATTTCATAAGGACTGTGCGCACTGCTGTTAATCAAATATTGGTTATTTGTTGTTGGGTTTTTGTTTTGTTTTTCAAATAGAATTACTGAACCTTGATGGGCTAATGCAGTTTGGAAAGGAGAATGTTGGCATGCTTTCATCTCTTCTTGAGTCACTCTGGGACATTTTAAAAGGAAATGTAAGCCTTCTCTTCCAGTCATCGGTGACAATATTTTCTGTTGTTCTTGGAGGAGGCTCAGCTGTAATTAACTTTATAATCAATTCAGTAAGTTGTCATCACTCTACTCTGATTGATTTGAAAGTTGTTGTCGTGATGGTCATGGTATGGTGTATGAAACTCACCATTGTCTTTATTTCAGGTTGTTTTCTTTACTGCATTGTTTTATCTGCTAAGTTCAAGTGGAAGCTTGTATCGCCCTGTCGAACTTGTTGCAAGTGTTAGCCCAAGCAGTGGAAATCAGTAAGTTAATCTGACGATGTTACTTTTATCTTCTAAAAATTTTGAGCAAGCATTGTTCTGTAATATTGTTTTGTTAAAATAATTGCAAATTCATAGGATTGCCACTGCAATAGATGGAGCAGTGGGTGATGTCTTTCGTGCTTCCTTCAAGATGGCAGTGTTCCATGGCCTGTGGGCCTGGTTAATTCACACACTTTTTGGAGTTAAAGTGGTTTATTTACCATCAGGTAATTTGTTGTCTTCCTTTCCCCTATCAGTTGCAGGTAGTCAATAGGATTTCTTTACTGTGGCAATTTTTTGTTTGATTTCCAGTACTTGCCTCCATACTGGGGGTTGTGCCATTCCTTGGAACCTACTGGGCTTGCATTCCAGCTGTTTTAGAATTATGGCTTGCTCAGGGACAGTCCATGCTTGCAGTGTCCATGATTCTTGCATTTTACATTCCAACTTCATGGGTTAATGGCCTGGTCTATGAAGAAATAAAAGGGTCTGTATTTTTCTCCACTGCTCATCTATACTAGCTAAATTAGATTTTTTTTTTACCAAAGAAATTTCTTGATTTTTAGGGGTCACCCATACCTTACTGGCTTATCTGTGGCTGGAGGGGTATACTGTATGGGTAGTGAAGGAGCAATATTTGGTCCTTTGTTACTTTGCTGTGTGTTTGTTGCGTTAAATATTTCTTCAACACTGATGAAGGAGCCTTCACTCTCTCATATGAACCCTCTCAACATGATAAGGTAACAGGCTTGGCATGCATGTGTTTTATGCAAATTAGATTGACCCACCAGCTAGTAGAAGTAGAAGAACTTTGCTTTATTCTGTGAACAGTATTTGAAATATTCTGAACCAGTGTACCATTTATGCCCTTAAATTTTTTTTCATAAAAACGAGTGCATTAATATGAGCATTGTGATTTGAAAATGTAAACATCTTGTCTTCCATATCTTGTAAGAAAAATAGATTCTATTTAAAGGCTTCAGATTCTATTTAATTTTGCAAAACTACAAATTTGCTTATGAGAATACGCTTATTAATTGAGATATTTCTTCTCATTGTCATTGTGCTTTCACTTCGGGACAGGCATCATCCTTCTCTTCTCAACAATTAATTTTTTCTTTCTAACTATTTTTTACCGCAACTTATTTTTCCTTTCTTTTGCTCTATGAAGGTGGCAGTAACCAATAATTAATTGCATGAAAAATGTTTGTAGGTTAAACTTTGACCGCAATTGTTCATCAACATGAGGGTTCCGCATCTTTCTTCTATCTACAACCTGTTCAGAAATTCATAAACCAAACAGAATACTTTGGTAGGTCAGTAAATTTGCTTATTTGACAAAAGAACTGGGGTTTTGTTTTGTATGGAGTGTGTGTATTAATCAGTCTCTTCTGTGCTTGACTTTTCTCTCAGGCAGTGTGCATTCTTGACTTGCTTATGACATATTTCTTTTCAACTGAATAATTCAGTTGAAATAGCCTGGCTGTGGAAAACCTAATTACTGGTAATACTGCGCTGATTGCATGCATGTTGCTGAAGTATTGCATGATGATGTGCTTTGACATTAATACTTTGTAAGGAGTATCTGCTCAGTTACTACTTACAGAGTTAAATTAATATCCTGTGGTGGGTCGTAATTTTGAAAATGCATGCTTGTTTCTGTGGTCCTCACGACTTTGAATTATCATCTTTAGAGAGGAATCATGCAGTGCCATTCTTCTTAACTCCTTGAATATAAAACCTATATTTCCAATCTGTTTCTGTTTGCAACAGCGGCCCTCCACCCCTGCGTCGCCGGGACACTTTGCTGTGAGCCTAATAGGGCAAATGTGCTTAAGCTGATGCGGACTCTCTAGTCATACCGAACTTGCATCCTACTATTATGCTTCTCTAGTCATTTTGGGTACTGCACGGAAAAAAATATTGGGGTTCAGAAGTTGAAGTCAAATTGTACTAACAATTCTAGTGTTCATGACATAAAAATTTAGTTAAGTGCCTCTTCAGTAAGTGCTAGGGTTCTTCTTGAATCTCATTTTTAGAATCGTAACAACTAATCTGCTCATGTGTCCATTAGCATAGTTTGGTTTTGTTCATCCTCTCTTTTTTTCAATCTACCTCTTCCACTAGTTCTATCATCTTTCCATTTTTCTCTTCTATGTGGAAACACAAACTACATTCCTTCAGGCAATAACATTACCTCAAAGGATTTTCTTCTTGCTATTCCATTTCTATCAAACTCCACACACTTCCATGGGACCACAAAGAAGGTGTTTCATTTGACTCTCAGTGTTATTTTTGTTTTAGTTTTTGTAAAACAATAATTATCAATTTTCTATGTTGAAGAACATGTTAAAAATAGGGTATTCTTTGTACTTTTGTATCTACGGTAATAGGAATAGAGATGTAGAAGGCGCTACAGACTGTTTCATCGGGTAATTTATTTAACTTATGATTATAAAATTAATGATCTAATGAGTTACTTAATTTTTAAAAATTGCTTTTGTATCAAGCTAATAAATCTGTGATTGCCTTTTATGCCTTTTCTTTAATTTAAAAATAAAAAAAAACAACTTTTATACGTTTTAAATTTTTTTCCAAGGCCACATAAAAATCTTAAGATTTAGACAACAGACAACTTATTGTTGGCAAGCCACAACACGTTCCCCTGTAGGTAGGTAAATTCTACTCAATTCGAACCCCTGCTGAAGGTGGACTAGCCCTGGCCATTGAGCGCTCTGATGGTGAGGTGCTCAATGAAATCGCAGCGCTGGTCGGTGTGGAAGCGCAGCACCAGTGTATGGGGGTCCGTCACGTGGAAGCCGTTGCGCGAGAAGCGACCCCGCAGGGGGCCCGCGTCCAGCCACACGAAGGCCGCCGGCGAGTACGTCGCCAGAGACAACTCGTAATCCCAGCGCTGGTGCTGCGAGCCGGGGTAAGGGCCCCCCGCCCTAGTCCACTGCAAGCAGGAGAAGGTCCTCTGGTTGAACCGATTGTGGCGGTACACTGGATGGTACACTGTCCTCGCCGCAGACCTGGACAGGGAAGTTCCTCTCCCTTCCCAATCTTACCCGGAACGTGGTCGTCGGCATGGGGGTGTCCTTGGGGGAGAAGGGGAACAGGAAGTTCTCCGCGAGGGTGGCGTTGTCGGTGTCCGTCAGCCTGAACTGGATGACGCAGCCCCAGATGGCGTTCTCCGAGCAGCCCGCCTCGTGCAGCACGGCCCGCATGGGCTTGACCAGCGCGCGCACCGTGCCCGCGCCCCGCATCGTCACGGCGTGCACGCTCTGCGCGCGCGGCCGGAACGAGTCCCAGCCCATCACGTCGGTGTGCACCAGCAGCTCGCCCGAGCGCGGCGCGTCGGACACCACGTCCACGACGAGCGCGCCGCCCTGGACGTGCGGGGACACCAGCAGCGGGGCCAGGAAGTCCACGGCGTAGTGGTGCAGCATCTTCCACCGGCCGGAGAAGTCTGCGGACGGGGAAAGAGCAAGTGGGAGTGAGACAGAAGTCCGTGGGACGCGGCGGCGAGGACGGGGACGTCTCACTTCCCTACCGATGCTGGCCCAGGAGGGCGCTTGCCACACGTCGTTGAGCTGCCAGTACAACGCCCCCATGGTGCGGCCCTCGCCCTTGGGCGTCAGCAGGTTCCTGGAGCGCCGCAGGAACTCGGTCTCGGTCTTGGTGGCCATGGCCTGGTAGATCTGCAAGCTCGCCACGTGTCAGTACCTTGGGCTCCATGACGACGGAGGGTCACCTGTTTGTCCGTTTCCCCTCACCTGGCTGTAGTACGCCACAGTGTCGAAGTGCTTGGACTTGTTGAAGTCGCGCGGCATGGGCAGATGCTGCATGATCTGCATGGCGATCTCCAGGTTGCCGCCGGGGTGGTGCTGCCGCGACGCCGCCAGCGTGCTGCCCAGCGCCAGGTCCTCGTCGGCGTGCTCGGCGTCCGTGGCGTTGAGCATGGTGGACCTCGCGGGCCAGGACATGAAGCCGTACTCGGAGCCGAAGCGCGTGTTGTGGAAGACGGCGGGGTTCCAGCCGTCGGAGAGGTAGTCGTAGTGGTGGTCTGCGGACAGGGCGCGGACATAAGCACGTCGCGCGGGTGCTCGTCAAGACCGAGGGGGTAAACACTCGTGTGATACCCTGTACACAAAAACCGTGTATTACGCGTAATACACGTAAATGTAATACCATTTTTGGGCCAAATGTGCCAAATTTTGGCATTTTCATGCCGTAATACTCGTGTAATATCCCCGCAATACAGCGTAATACCGAGTACTCTGTACAAGATTTCTCGGAGTGTTTACCCCCTCGGTCAAGACCAACACACAGTGGGCCAGAAGACCGGTGGAGGCGGCCAAAACTCGAGACGCGTTTTGAGCTCCAGAGTCGCTAAACAGGACTCGAACCGAGCGTGTGACCCCACCAATGGATTCCTCGATCGGAGAGCAATCCATTGGTGGGGTCACACGTTCGGTTCGAGACCCATTTAGCGACTCTGGAGCTCAAAACGCGTCTGGAGTTTTGGCCGCCTCCAACACCGACGCCGACCTACCGTCGCCGTACAGGGCGCTGTAAGGGTTCTTGGCGAGGAAGCCCTCCGCCTCGGACTGCGCGCCGTTGGAGGGGCTGGACACGGCGAAGGGCGTGGCCAGGCCCTCGGCCCGCACCGCGGCGCGCGCCGTGTCCACGTACAGCTTGACGTAGTCGCGGTGGTACTGCTCGAACAGCGGGCCCTGGGTGCGGTACCAGTTGCCCCTGAGCGCCGCCTCGTTCTCGTTGTTGCCGGCCCACACCACCACGCTGGGGTGCCGATGGATGCGGCGGTACTGCTGCCGCACCTCCGTGTCCACGGACTGCAGGAACGCCGGGCCCACCGGGTACATGGCGCACGCGAACATCAAGTCCTGCCACACCATGATGCCCAGCTCGTCGGCGAGCTGCGGGGCAGAATGACAGAACGCTCGTTTTGAGCGGGGCCGGTGCAGCCGCCCTCTTCTTGAGCACCTTTTGCTTGGGCCTGAAGCGCCTGCGAGGTGGGCCACCGGCCCGGGCCACAACGCACCTCTGTGGAGATGGTGGCCTACCTCGGCCCTGTCGTCTTCACAGGGGCCAGGTAGGCCACCGTCTCCACAGAGGTGCGCTGCGAGCCGCAGCGATGGCCCACCTCGCAGGCGCTAGGCCCCGAGCAAGCGGTTCTCAAGAAGAAGGATGGCGAACAGGGCCGGCGAGGTGGACCCGGTGGACCTACCTCGTAGAACAGGTCCGACTCGTAGACGCCGCCGCCCCAGACGCGCAGCATGTTCATGTTGGCCTCCTTGGCGGAGTGCAGGAGGTGGCGGACGACGCCGGGGTCGGCGCCCAGCTCGGGGAGCACGTGCGCGGGGATCCAGTTGGAGCCCTTGGCGAACACGGGCACGCCGTTCACCCGGAAGAAGTACGTGAGCCCTGTGTGCAGCGCGGTGCAGCGTGGGACGGTAAATGGGCGACGTGGCAGATTCGAAACACAAAAAAATGACCTAACCTTTTTGAAAAGATGTCAGAAGTTAAGGGTAATAACTTTAACTCTTACTATAACGTTATGATGCCCTTATGAGGTAAGTTAAGGATCCCTGCGACGTGGGCAGCCAAACCAGCCGTTCTTAAGATGCTTCGCAGTGTCGGAAGAGTTAGCAGCTTTGACCTGCCAAAGGGCGGCACCTTCTCGAGTGCAATACCCCGATATTGCCTACTCCTCGCGGGCAGGCGACTCTTTCAAGACTGTCGCATCGTGGGAAATTTCTCGGCAGTGTGGCGACACTTTGAACTTGCCTGCTCGTCATCGGCCACGTCTCCACTCACCCTTGGCGAGGTCGGTCTGGTCCACGGGCTCCTGCACCAGCTCCACGGTCCTAAAGCCCGTCCTGACGGTCATCTGGTCCCACAGGTCGCCGCGGTCGGCCTGCCCCCAGTGCGCGAAGGCGCGCAGGGTCACGTTCACGGTGTACAGGGGCTGCGCGCCGTAGCCGCTCGGCCACCACAGCTGCACCTTGTCCTGCACGGGGAAGAGAGTCAAGTCATTGGAAGACCGGTCATGATGGCCAAAACTCTGGGCATGTTTTGAACACCAGAGTCGCTAAGTGGGACTTGAACCGAGCGTGACCCTACCAACGGATTCTCGTCCGGAGAGCAATCCATTGGTTGGGTCAAGCGGTCGGCTCGAGTCCCCTTTAGCCACTCTAGAGCTCAAAACGCTTCCGGGGTTTTGACCGCCTTCACCAGTCTTCTGGCCCACTGTGCGGCGCTCGGTGCGGCGCCCCGTGAGCGCGACAGAGGCAGAGCGATGGAGCGGCTGGCTCACATTGTGCAGGGACAGCGTGACGTCCGTGAAGCCGGCGCCCTCGGCGTCCCCGTTGAGCGCGGCCGGGACGTCCTGGCTGGCGGCGACCTTGCCGTCGGGGCCGATGAGGGTGGCGGTGATGAGGGCGCGGGGTGGGTCCCACCCGGAGCGCACGCCCACCTCCCAGTGCACGCGCACCGTGGCCTTCCACTTGTGGACCACGTCGGCGGGCCGCGCCGTGAAGCCCACCTCGCGCAGCACCGCCGCGTCGTGCGCCTCGATGAGCACGCCCTTCCTGTAGGAGGGTCGGTCAGGCGCGGACTCTCGGCAAAAGTAAGGCGGGCCTTGACAGTGCCCCCCCACCACGATGCACACGTGTAGAAAGGGTTGCCAGCCTGCCTACAACGCTCGGGCAAAGAAGTTGCCCAGGCAGGCAATCCTTTCGATCCCGGTGAATCGCGTCAAGTTTTGCCTCGGTGGCAGCACTGCGTCAGGCCGTACGTACCACAGCCCCATGGAGGGGAAGGCGGGGCCCTAGTCCCAGGCGAACGAGGCCTGCATCTTCCTCAGGTGGTTGACGCCGCACTCGCCGTGGTAGGCGGCGTCGGGGCAGGCGGGCGGCACCGGGTACTGCTTGGCCTGCTCGGCGGCGCGGCGCCACGCCTCGGCCACGGGGGACGTGAAGCGGACCCGCAGCCTGTTGTCGGTGTCCTGCAGGACACGCGTGCACGGAGGCGTGACTCGCTACAACGCGACTGACGACTCCACCATTTCCGCAGGCCAAGAGAATTTTTCTTCAGGACACGATCGTTTATTTTCCTGGGAAACTTCTAGGGAAGTGATAATTTTGTGCTCACCATTTATGGGTCGCGAGTCAGAAAAGGTTGAAAACCGCTGTCCTCACGCATAAGATAAAATAGCATTTTCGTAATGTACTCTGCAAACTCAAGTGTGTGCCAGGCATGAACTTCCTGGTTCATGCCTGCAGGCATACACTTCTTAGTGCATGCCTGGCAGGCACACACTTCCTGGTGCATGCCATGGCAGGCACACACTTGCTTGTATGCACGCATAAGCGACGGCAAGTGTGTGCCTGAGGCATGCACCAGTGTGTGTGCACTTCTTGGTGCATGCCTGGCACACTCTTGAGTTTGCAAAGCAGGTAAAAGGTTAGACTGGCATGGGTTTGGTTTGGAGATAGCACTGTGTGTTGGCCGTCGTCCGGACATGTCTAGGCCGTGTTGACTCGAGTGAAGGGCCCTGGGCTGGCGTGGCCCATGCTCCACGCTTCCCCCCGGGGCAGGGCGTGCTTCACGCGTGGACTTTGGAGCGCAGGCGGCACGACGGGCACGGTGCGGCGCGCACAGTGCACTGCCCGTCAAAATTAGCCAAGTGTTCGGCCCGCGGCCCGCGGTTCCACCCGAAGCCCCACACACCCTTACCTTGAGGACGCCCTTGACGTCGAAGCGGTAGCGGACGAACATGTTGTCCGTGGCGCCCAGGACGCGGCCGTTGAGCCTCACCTCGGCCACCGTGTCCACGCCGTGCAGCACGAGCACCTGCTTGTCCTTGGCCAGGACGTCGCGCGGCACTGCAAGTGGCGCAGTTTGACGTCGACATTCTCAGACTTACTTTCTCGCTTTAGATCCGTGCGTCGCACTCGGTCACTCGCCTTGGAAGAAGCAGTCGTAGGTCCAGTTGGCCTTGGCCACCCAGCGGTACTCCTGGTCGTTGAAGCGGTAGAAGAGGTCCTTGGGCAGCACGCCGGCCGCGCGCAGGTCGGAGTACACGCCCCCGGGCATGCTGCCGGCCACCGGCTTGCCTGCGTCAGGCGGCGTTAGTGAGCCTCAGTTCGATACGAGAGCACTCACAGGCAGTGCCATCGTCGCCCTGTCTCTCTCGCACCCCTACGGAGCGCCCTATGAGTGCGAGAGAGACAGAACGACCGAGCATCGTTTCAGCCTGCAGGCGCCAGCTGAAGCATCAAAACCAATTTTCAACCCAATAACCAAAACAAAGGGGGACGAAAGCCGATGGGGCAACCACATTGGATGTTTGGGGACACAAGATTTCTTCAGGCTCAAGATTTCGTCGGATTTCGCAAGATTTTAACCGTTATTCCGCTCAAAATTAGCTTGTTTTTGGCCTTTTGCGGGGCAATAAGATTTCAGATTTCCCAGAGATTTCTAGCGCTAAGGGGACACAAGATTTCTACAGTGCCCCCTCGACGAAAGGTCGCACCTCCGGCCTCGTTGTACAGCGTCCAGTCTCCGTCATCGAGGGGTACTTGGTGCGGCCGCGGACTGCGAGCGCGCTGGCGGGCCGTCGCCCTTGCCGTCGCCGCCCCCAGGAGGAGCACCACGACCACGGCCAGACGGTGCGGCCAAGTCATGGCCTTGACGGGCTGGTGGACGAGCGGCGACTGCGGCGAGCTCGGCGTCAACGCGCACTGGGGCGCGGCGGGGCGTGGCGGGGCGGGGCGGGGCGGGGCGGGGCGTGGCGGGCGGGGCGGGGCGGGACGGGGCTGGGCGGCTTGGCGGAGGCGGTGAAAGGATGCACAGCACAATAGGCCGGGCTGTCAACGGCGTATCGCCGGCGTGCAGAGAGTGGTGGCCGATAACATCGCCGTGAGGCAGCACAGCTCTAGTGGGAGGAAACAACAACAAGCAGCAGCAACAAAAACAACAGCAACAACATATCAACAACAAAATACTAACGACGGGCGAACAGAGCAGACACGAGCGCTGACATGGGTTTCGAGACTGTTGAGTGTGCAGCGGAAAATGACGCGCTAATTGCGTTCTGGTGGGGACCCGCTAACTGCTTTTCGAGTGCCCGAATTGGGTGCGTTGTCTCCCAGCGGTGTTCCAGGCTCCAGGACTCGAGTTCCAGGCTCCAGGTTTAACGCTCCAGGGTTCACATTCCAGGCTCCAGGGTTCGCGTTCCAGGCAGCTGCGCCAGCGCCGCCGGGTTCGCCAGTACCGGCCGCGTTCGCTTGCTTTGTCTTTAGTTATTTATTTCCTGATTCGGTTACGACTGCTATGCCGAGGGCGAGGGGCTGGGCGGGCTGGGCGGGCTGGGCGGGCTGGGCGGGCTGGCGAGCCCCAACGCGTTGCAACGGGGCAGCATGCCCTTCAAACGGGCCCTGTAAAATTCAAACGGCAAAGAGAGGCTGCGCGGCCGGGGCCCGGCGGTCGAGGGCGGTGCGAGTGTGGGTGGAGGACGCCGAGGACGGGGGAGGGGCTCTGGGAGGCGAAGACCCCCTGGTCCGAGGAAGGGTTCCTTCTCGGTACACTGGACGCACAGCGGCGGCCGTTAAGTTAAGCACGCACTCGTTGCGTTCGGCGCGGACCCCAGGCCGCACCCAGGGTGCAGCCCTCTTTTGTTGCAGGGTAGGGATTTGGGTCGGCGGCGTCTCTACGCCTCGCCCTTGCCACCCCCAGCGCCCCCTCCAGGCCCTCCGCGGGCCCCGGCCCGGTAGCTACACTGGGCGGGGGGTGGCGCGTGGCGTGGCGGGGCGCGCGGGGCGGGCGGGGCGCGTGGGTGGTGTGGGAGTCGCGGGCCCCGCTCCACCGGGTTCAGTCGAGCCCGTTGCCTCGCCCGGCCGCCACGCCCCGCCCGGCCGTCCCCGTCCGCGCTGCCCGTCCGAGGCCGTCCCCGAGGCCGCGCGCCGCCTCGCACTGCCCTGGCACTGCCCTGGCACCAAGCCTGGCACTGCCCCGCCGCGCGCCGCGCCGCGCCGCCACGCCCCGCCCTGCGTGCTGGGGCCCTTCTTGCCTTGCGCCGCGACCGCCCTGGGAGCCACCCCGGAACCGCCAAGACTCCGCCAGGACACCGCCAGGGACTCGGTGGCCGGTCGCGCCACGCCGCAGCCCTTCGCGCGCGCCGACCAGGGCGACAAGACCAGGGTGCCCCGGTGACCGCGGGGCCGCGAGGCCGCGAGGTGTCGGCGTGGCCCATGTCCTTGACGCGGTGCCTGGCGGGGACCCGGCAGCGCTCGGCCCGTAGAGGTTAGTACGGCCACGTCCTCCACCGCGACGACGTGTCTCGCGGACTCGCCGGAGCACACGAAGCACTGGGAAAGGACTGCACGTTGGGGTCGCCTGGGGTCGCGGCTGTTTCCCGGCTGGCGGAATTGTTCAAAACGGTCGAAAATGCCTTTGAAAACTCGTGTTTTAGGCCGACTTTAAGCAGCAACTGCGTCTGATCCGAGGCGGTATGTCGTCCTCCCTCAGCGGGCATTTGGTCTTTGGACCTTCCTTTAGAATGCATTTGTTACGGAGCGCGATTATCGGCCTTAGTTTGGGAGCAGTATTGTCTCAAAGTGGATCAAAATGGCATTCAAAGGCATTTTTTACTGTTTTCATCAACTTTGAGACAATACTGCTCCCAAACTAAGGCCGATAATCGCGCTCCGTAACAAAGGCATGCTAAAGGAAGGTCCAAAGACCAAATGCCCGTTGAAGGAGGACAAAATACCGCCTCGGATCAGACGCAGTGGCTGCTTAAAGTCGGCCCAAAACACGATTTTTCAAAGACATTTGTGACCGTTTTGATCAACTTTGTGGCAATACTGCTCCCAAACTAAGGCAGATAATCACACTCCGTAACAAAGGCATGCTAAAGGAAGGTCCAAAGACCAAATGCCCGTTGAAGGAGGACAAAATACCGCCTCGGATCAGACGCAGTGGCTGCTTAAAGTCGGCCCAAAACACGATTTTTCAAAGACATTTGTGACCGTTTTGATCAACTTTGTGGCAATACTGCTCCCAAACTAAGGCAGATAATCACACTCCGTAACAAAGGCATGCTAAAGGAAGGTCCAAAGACCAAATGCCCGTTGAAGGAGGACAAAATACCGCCTCGGATCAGACGCAGTGGCTGCTTAAAGTCGGCCCAAAACACGATTTTTCAAAGACATTTGTGACCGTTTTGATCAACTTTGTGGCAATACTGCTCCCAAACTAAGGCAGATAATCACACTCCGTAACAAAGGCATGCTAAAGGAAGGTCCAAAGACCAAATGCCCGTTGAGGGAGGACGAAATACCGCCTCAGATCAAACGCAGTGGCTGCTTAAAGTCGGCCCAAAACACGATTTTTAGAAGACATTTGTGGCCGTTTTGATCAAGTTTGCGGCAATACTGCTCCCAAACTAAGGTGGATTATCGCACTTTGTATCAAAGGCATGCTAAAGGAGGGGTCGCGTGGGGTCGCGAAATTTTTCCCGGGGGTCGCGGAAATTTTTTGTTACAAATTTGGGGTCGCGAACCGAAAAAGGTTGGGAACCGCTGGTCTAGCCCGTAATGGTAATGCTAGCCAGGCAGCCCGCCCGCTGCGCTGCCCCGCGGGCTTGCCTACGCCCGTCTCGGCAGGCGCTTTCCGTGAGACAGCTGGCCTCCATCCTGGCCAGGCCGTCCCGTCCTGTGTTGCCACGCAAGTACTCTACAAACTGAAGTGTGTACTCAGTATGCGTCTACAGGATGCATACTTGCAAGTACACATCTGCAGATGCATACTTAGATGAGTACACATCTGCAGATGCATACTTAGATGAGTACACATTTACAGATGCATACTCAGCTGAGTACACGTCTACAGATGCATACTTAGATGAGTTAGGTATGCATCTGTAGATGTGTACTTGCAAGTATTCATCTGTAGACGCAAGCTTAGTACACACTTCAGTTTGTAGAGTAGGCAAACACCTCCACGATGCACCGGTGTGGATTGAATGGATAGCCGTTGCCAACCTCCAGCGTGCCCTCTGGACAGCTTCTCGAGAGCAAAGCCCAGATACGCCCAGTAAGCAGCCTGAGACTGGCAACCCTTTCGACACCGGTGCATCGTGTGAATTTTCACCTCCTTACGAGGAAAAACCGCGGCCGTCTCCAACCGCTCTCGCAAACGGCGACGAAAGCGCCACCCACGCCGCGGTGCTGTGAATCAGACAGACGGACCGACACGACAAGACAAGACTGCGCCACTGCACGCACCGAAATGGAAATTAAAGCATTATAGCTCGCCGCCGTCGTCGTGGCGCGTGGCGCGCCGTGCTAGCGTAACTCGCCGTTTGTGTGTTTGCGTGTTGACTCGGAAAATCCGCGACGGCGCCGCCCAGTTTAAGTTACGCGGCCCGGCCTCCGGTCCTCCGGTACACAGTAAACACACCCAGGGGTAATCTTACCCCTTGGCCGCCTCTGGCGCCGCTGGCGGGTGCCTGGCGGCCTTTGGCCACTCCAGCGGGGCGGCCCGTGGGGCGCACAGTGGGCCAGAAGACCGTGGAGGCGGCCAAAGCTCTAGACGCGTTTTGAGCTTCAGAGTCGCTAAATGGGCCTCGAACCGAACGTGTGACCCCACCAATGGATTGCTCTCCGAACGAGGAATCCATTGGTGGGGTCACACGTTCGGTTCGAGGCCTGCTTAGCGACTCTGGAGCTCAAAACGCGTCTAGAGTTTTGGCCGCCTCCACCGGTCTTCTGGCCCACTGTGCGTGCCCTCGTCGCGCTGTCTCCCTCGCACTCGTGGGGCGTCGGGGCTGGTTGGGGCATCCCGCGGGGGTGCGAGAGAGACAGAGCGACGAGGGCGCTGCCGCCGTGCTGCCACCCGGCCCTGCTTCATCGCGACGGAGGTAAATGTGTACATAAACCTGACCCCGACACGCGCGAAGCCCGACACGCCGCTCAGCAATTGATTCTCACGCGCACCGGGGGAGGGGGGCGGGGGAAGGGCGGGTCGAGTGCCTGGCCTGGGGTTGCCTGGGTGTGGGCGGACGGGGGGGGGGGGTGCAGGGGGCTGAGAGGGCGCTCCGGCCCCTCAAACTCCCCGACTCCGCAGCCCGCTGCCCGGCGCTGCCCGGCCGTGCGTTCCGACCAAGCAGTCACCCCATCAGGGGCCACGCGCCACGCGCCGCACAGTGGGCCAGAAGACCGGTGGAGGCGGACAAAATTTTAGACGCGTTTTGATCTCCAGAGTCTCTAAATGGGACTCGAACCGAACGTGTGACCCCACCAATGGATTGCTCTCCGAACGAGGAATCCATTGGTGGGGTCACACGTTCGGTTCGAGTCCTGTAAAGCGACCCTGGGGCTCAAAACGTGCCCAGAGTTTTGGCCGCCTCCACCGGTCGTCTGGCCCACTGTGCGCCGCGCGCGGAGGCAGTCCAGCAGAAATGACGCTGCGCCCGACTGCCGAAAATGAAGTGCTTTGGTCGCTCTGTTTCTCTCCCGCTCTCCCGAGAAGGGTCCGAGACGGTCCGAGATACATACTTTAGTGAATTCCACCGAAGTTGTTGTCTTGCGGTTGGAAAGACGCCCGCCCTTTAGGGCGTGTGACACGGAGTCCGCCGGCGGTCGGCTGCAGGCTGCAGCCGTCACTCTGTCTCTCTCGCACCCCTACAGACCGCCCCATGAGTGCGAGAGAGACAGAGCGACGAAAGCAGTGCTCGGAATCGGACGGCAGGCCGGAGCAGCCCGGGGCCGCGCGGGCCGGACTCTGGGCGTTGAGACACCGAGACACCCTGCAATTAGTGTTATTATGGCTGAGACCTTCAGGGCTCCTCGTCGCGCCGCGCCGCGCCTGGCCGTAGCGGATTGCAAGCATAATAAGCTTACCGCCGTGCCGGGCGGGCAGGGCGGGCACAGGGAGGCCAACAAAACAACACGAACGGGGAAAAGGGGCGGGGGAGGGGGGAGCGATTGCGCGGCGTCACAAACACGTCACGATGAGCCACCCTTCAAGCCGCGCCCTCTCTCCCCCCCTCCCTCTCTCCCTCTCTCCCTCTCTCCCTCTCTCTCTCTCTCTCCCTCTCTCTCTCTCTCTCTCTCCCTCTCTCTCTCTCTCTCTCTCTCTCTCTCTCTCTCTCTCTCTCTCTCTCTCTCTCTCTCTCTCTCTCTCTCTCTCTCTCTCTCTCTCTCTCTCTCTCTCTTTCGCGCTCGCCGCAAAAGGCAAAATGTCAAGGCCGGCCCTTTTGGCATCGTCAAGCGAGTGAAGCGAGTCGAGCGCGGCGAGGACGGCGACGACGACGAGGAGCAGCGCGCCGAGCGCAGCGCGATTGTTCGCGCGCGGGGCTTGAAAATGGCAACAAGCGGCGTCTCTCTCGCACCCGGACGGGACGCCCCACCAGTGCGAGCGAGACAGAGCGACCGCTAGCCGGCCCGCCGCGGCCCGCTCGGAATCTGGGGGGCGAGTAGGAAGGGCGAGGAAGGGCTCGCCGCTTCGAGTGGGAGGGGGCGAAAGGGCCCAGCGCAGGGCGGGGCCTCCCCTTGCAGTGGCTCTGCAGGGCGTGCAGGGCTGTCATCCAGGCGTTATTCGCAGACGCTGCATCCTTCCCTCTTATTCGCACTCATCACCCCCCTCCCCTTGCAGTGCCTCTGCACGGCGTGCAGGGCCGTCATCCTGCATCCAGGCGTTATTCGTAGACGCTGCATCCTTCCCTTATTCGCACTCGTCATCCCCCCCCCCCCCCCCCCGGGCGAGCCTTGGTAGGCAAAACAGACGGAGGGGCATCTTGTCTTGTGCAAACAAACCGCCGCCGCACAGTGCAACATGCGTTCGATTGGCAAAGTTTAGACGCGCGCGCGGGGCGCGGGGCGAGGAGCGAGGGGCAAGGGGCGGGGGGGGGGGGGGGCAGGACTCGAGTGCCAAGAAAGCAGAGAGCGGAGCCAACAGGGCACTGTCGGGAAGAGCCGCCGTAGTGATAGAAAACACACACATACACACATCACACACACACGCACACACGCACGCGCGCAATATACATACATACGTACATAGGCAGACACTCACACTCACATGTGTGTGCGGGCAAGTCGAGTCGGTTTGTCAGGGCCTTGACGGCCTTGGCGGCGTGCTGCTGCAGTCGTTGCGAGGGAGGCCGCTGGCTGTGCGGGGAAGCTGGCCCGCCAGGCCTGCTGGCCGCGGGAAGGGAAGCCCATTTGCCAGTGGCGAAGGCCCGAAGGCCCGAAAGCCCGAAGGCCCGAAGGCCCGAAGGCCCGAACCTTCGGGGATCGAACCTTCGGGAATCGAACCTTCGAGTCTACGAGTGTCGGCATGCAGCCGCGCGCAGCAGTCCGTTGCAGTGCCGTGTCGTCCATCGCAATCATGCATCGCGTCGCCTTGCCGCGGCTTGGCACGTGCCGCCCTGGTTCGGCGGTCGATCGCCACGCCGAGGGTCTCGAGCACTAGTCAGCCGCGGGCCACGGAGAGTGTCCTTGGATTGATAGTGAGAGCAGTCATGCATATTCCGGCGTGTACATATCACACTTGGAGTGGATTTGCCAGAAGACCGTTGGAGGCGGCAAAAATTCTAGACGCGTTTTGAGCTCCAGAGTCGCTAAACGCAAGGCTAAACGGGACTGGAACCCAACGTGTGGCCCCACCAATGGATTCCTCGTCCGGAGAGCAATCCATTGGTCGGGTCGCACGTTCGGTTCCAGTCCTGCTTCGCGACTCTGGAGCTCAAAACGCGTCCGGGGTTTTGACCGCCTCCAACGGTCTTCTGGCAAATCGAGGGGTCCTATTCAAAAGATCTTATCTGGGCGTTCCCCCCAGACAATCTTATCTTAAACGCCTGCAAATTTCACTCATTTTGATCTATCAGAATAAATACGACGGTAAGAGAAACATATTTCTAAATGCACTTTTGGTTTCTTTGATCTTCCATCTTTAGAATTACTTGAACAAACTCACAAATTATATTGATATGTAGCTGTACCAAATGATCAAACTATGTGAAATTAACCTGCGTTTAAGATAAGATTGTCTTGGGGGGGAACGCCCAGATAAGATCTTTTGAATAGGACCCCTCGAAATCCACTGTGCGGCGGCGCACTTAACAGGGCGCTAGATTGAGTTATCAAGGCGATATGCGCCCCTCCCCTCCCCCTGTCGCCGTCACGAAGGCAGCACAAGAAGCTCGATGCGCTTTTATTTGTGTTTTCCCCCCGGGGGGGCCCCGGCGACCCTGGGGAGGGGCCCTCGGGATAACCTTTCCCCGGGTTTTCCCTTTGCGGCCCCCCCAAAAGTTTCAGTCCTTTTTTTTCTTGGCTCAGATCCTCCTTCGCGGTTGCAGTCTTTGTTTCGGGCCCCAAAAATCCCACCGGGTCTCAAGCATATAGGGGGCGAGTCTGTTAGATTTGAGGATCTTTGGCAATCCGGGGTGTACTATCATCCCCCGTCGGAGTGGACTTTTGAGTACACGCGCAACAGAGCACACTGTTGAGTTTGCAGAGGTGTAGAACCCACCCCGACGTGGCCGGCCTGACGCCGAAAATGAATAATGGTATCATCTTCGAGCCGTGGACGGCCTCACGCCAAAAAACATAGCTTTTTTTAAAGACATGGTCTGGTTTATTTTCATTTTTTAAATGTCTGGAATTTTTTTTGTAAGCTTTACGTTGTTTGTTTCATGTGTTCCAGGTCCGGCTGCCGCCATGCCCTCCCTGGCCGCCGCCATGCGCGCCTCGCCCGCCGACCGGTCGCCGCGGGCGGAGTAGGCCGCGGCCGGCAGGGGCAGGCAGGCAGGGCTGGTCGGGGCTCCTCGCGGCGTGGTCGGCGTGGTCGGCGTGGTCGGCTCGGCGGGGCCGCGCAGCGCCGCGCAGCTCGACGCAGCATGGCGACCCCTCCGGACAGCCCCATCGAGGAGGTGGTGTTCGAGCTCGAGCCGACGCGCGCCCCCAAGCACCGGCCCGTCGCCCTCGAGGACCTCTGCCGCCAGACCAAGTTCACGCGGCAAGAGATCCGCGTCATGTACCGGGGCTTCAAGCAGGTGAGTCGAGCGGGCCGACGCGCCCGGCAACGCCCTCCAACGCACTGGCCAGGACCAGACCAACTGGTCGAAGGTCCATGACGCCAGGTTGACGTTATTTGACGTTCGTTGTTTTGAACCCATTCTGAGAATCCCGCCTTCGGCGCCCACCAGCCCAACGCCCTCGTTAGTACACTGTGATTGCATTGGACCCACCACGGTGCCCACCACGGTGCCCACCACGGTGCCCACCACGGTGCCCACCACGGTGCCCACCACGCCGACCGCGCGGCTGAGCGACGCCCGTGTGCTGTCTGCAGTCTGCGGTCACCCCTTGTGTACTCACGGAGCGGTGGCGCGCTGCCGTGCGGGGCCCAACCCCTGCTAGCTGCACACAAGGCGTGCCGTGCCATGCCCACCGCAAACGACACTGCTCACCACCTGCCAGAGCCGGGGCTGAGGTTCGCCCCCCGGCGACGGCGCCGTGTGTGTCATTCTTTCTAATCCGTCGGAGACAGTCATCACACTGATTGCGGTCTAGTGAAGGGGAAGAAAAGCGAAGCAAATATTTTTGTAAGCTATAACCCCACTTCCCGGCTGTATCACTCGCGCGCTTAGCAGTAAGATCATGACTCCGGCGTCTTGTCATATGCAATTTAAAGATTTGTCTAATTTTTTCGAAAAGTGTAACTGATAACGTTTTTACCATTTGCGCAAAAAGTCTTTACTTGGCATTTCCAACGTTGGTCTTGTGTTTAATTCAGGTGCACATCCATCCCTACAAAGCTCTCAAAAAAAAATGGATGGAGGCTGGCGTTGAACATGGGTCCAACGACCGGTACTCCAACGCAGTGCACCAAACCGGACCGCTTATCTCGTTACGTTGGCTGCCTCAACTAAATGCGAAAAGTCCGTAATTAAACAGTAATGGAAGGGGGGGGGCGAAAATGACGGAATGCCGTTTAATGAAAGCTTTTTGCTCGTGAGGAGAGAAAACACTTGACAGTGCGGGCACTGTGAGAAAAAAGGACGGAAAAAGTACGGAACATGTCTGGTCAATAGTTTGCCTGGACCGTCCGTACTTGCCAACTACGGAACTTCCGTACTTTTCTCCGTACCTCCGTACTTTATTTTTCTGTACCATTTCCGTACAAAAGTACGGAATTTTTTACAGTGGGTGGCGGCTGACGGAAAGCCGCGGAAAGCAGCGTGGCTGTTGCCGCCGTCGACAAGTCTCGCCAAACGCGGTCCGCGATAGACGAACGCCGGTCCCAACAAGAAGCACAGCGCAGCGCTCATTATAGTGCGCGCGCAAAAAACAGCAAGTTTGTCTCGGTCTCTCTCTCTCTATTTCGGTTTCTACCTATAAAGACGCCAAAGAAGCAAATTGCAGGAAGATGATGGAGCTGTGTCTTGCTCGCTCTCTCTCACTCTCTCTCCCCCCCCTCTCTCTCTCTCTCTCGCTCTCTCTTCTCTCTTCTCTCTCGCTCTCTCTCGCTCTCTCTCGTCTCTCTCTTCTTTCTTCTCTCTTCTCTCTCTCCCTCTCCCTCTCCCTCTCTCTCCTCTCTCTCTCTCTCTCTCTCTCTCTCTCTCTCTCTCCCTCTTCTCTCTTCTCTCTTCCCTCTCTCTCTCTCTCTCTCTCTCTCTCTCGCTCTCTCTCGCTTCCCCTTCCCCCTGTGCTGCGACATGGGGTGTCCGCTGCGCCGCGCCCCCATTGATCGCTGCCCCCAACCCCTTACGCACGCCTCCCCCACCACGCCCCGCCGCGCCCCGCGCAAGCTCATCCACCGCCCCCCACCGCCTCCCCGCCCCTCACACCGGTCCTGCCGGTCCTGCCCCGCCGCTGCACGAGCTGTAAGGCTGTAAGGCTATAAGGCAGCGCCACGCCGCCGATGCGATTCAAATGTGTGCTGGCCCGCTAAAAGTAAAAGGGAAAGAAGTGGACAGGGTCTTCTTTCCCTCCTCTCCGCCAACGGCAACGGCCGGGTATTTTGCCGGGCCCGGTCGACGTGCGTTGGCGCGCTGGTGCTTTGGCGGCGACCGCGGCCCATCCCGTCCACCCTCCCCGCGGCCACTCGCCTTTTTCCTTCTTGGCGATGTTGTTGTTTTTTTTTTGCCTCTCCATTTTACAGCCTCCCTCGCGAAGGGCTCGCGGTGGCGGCGCTGTGTCGAACCAAAAGTGAAATTCTTATCTCCACCCGGAAGGAGCTTGGCGCCTCACTGCTTCTGTCTGTCTCTCTCCCTCTCCGCGGCCGGCGGCTCCGAGAGCCTCCACGCCGCCTGCCAGACGCCGGGTAGGCAACCCGGGTGGCGGCGTGCGCGCCGGGCTGCCTACCCGGCGGCCGGCGGGCGCTTTGCGCGCTTTGCGGCAAAACGCGGCGGCGAAGCGGAATTCCAGCCCGGCTGCGGTCGGCTGGGGGGAAGGGGGAATCGAACCCGCGGCCTGCGGGGGGAGGAGGGGCGTAATCCGTTGCCTTAACGCGCGCGGCTATTCACGGGAGCGCTAATTGGGCCGAGCATAAGCGCGCGTCGGAGCGCCAGGTGGCGGCACGTGCTTCAAAATGTTTTTTTTTTCTTTTCGTGGCGTCGAGTGCCCCCTCCAGGGCTATTGTACACAGGTCTCTGATTGGCGGCGTGGCGGCGTGGCGGCGTCACTCACCGCGCCGTTCGATATCTCGATAGCGCCAGTTTAGCGCCGGCTCCTCGAAGTACCCTCTCGAAAGCCTTTGTCCGCGGCATCGGCGCGCGCCAACAACAACAAGTGTCCACACATCAAACTTTGTTCGACCGCCGTTCGTCCTGGCGAAGTGCCGCCTCAGCCGGGCATGGCTTCGAGGTGCTCCAGGCTGGTGCTGGCCGCGTCCCCGCCACCGTCGTGGAGGCCGCCGTCGTGGCGGCCCGGACGGAAACCCGTCAGCAGCACCTCGGACAGCTCCAGCACCTGGTGGCGCCAAACCGGCGGGGCAATAAAATCATCATCAAAAACAACATCAACAACAACAGTAACAACAGTCACAACAACAACAACAACAACAACAACAACAAAAGCAAGAGGATCGCGGCCGACACAACCTGCGTGGACTGGTCGCTGCCGGATGACGTCAGCACGCTGCCGACGTTGTCGGCGCCCTGCAGGCTGGCCTGGAGGTCCAGCAGCTCCTGCTGCTCCTGCATCTCCTGCAGCAGCTGCTGGCGCTGGTGCTGCTCCCAGACGAGGCGGTGGCGCTCCCGGTTGCCGGCCAGGGCCTCGTTCACGTCCTGCGGGACGACGACTGGGGTCTTGCGACGAACAACGGGATGGCGGTTGACGGCGCACAGTGGGCCAGAAACCGGCGGAGGCGGCCAAAATTCGAGACCTGTTTTGAGCTCCAGAGTCGCTAAATTGGACTCAAATCCAGCGTGTGACCCCACCAACGGATTGCTCTCCGAACGAGGACTCGATTGGTGGGGTCACGCGCTCGGTTCGAGTCCCATTTAGTGACTCTGGAGCTGAGAACGCGTCTCGAATTTTGGCCGCCTCCGCCGGTTTCTGGCCCACTGTGCGGCGGGCTGACCTGCACGTGTTGCTCCAGCGCGCCGACGTCCCTCATGTCGAGCTGCAGCAAGGCCGTGTTGGCGGCCATGGCCTCCGCCAGCGCCGCGCCGACGTGCGGCCCCAGCTCCGGGTTGCAGCTAACGTCCAGGTCCTGGGGGCGCGTGGCGTCAGGCGCGGAGCCAGGGGGGAAGACGACAAAATTGCAATACCTCTATTGCCTCTGCTATGCAAAAAGCCACTCTTTGCCGTATCCAAGAGTCGAAACCAACCCTCTGTCTCTCTCGCACTCCTGACGCATCCCGCAGGGGTGCGAGAGAGACAGACCGACGGCAATGACTCTTGGAGTCAGTCTGCAGCTCTGCCCGGAGTGAATATAACCCAGTCCACGGCCCCGACATAACTACCCTCCTCGTTCCGTTGTCCCTGCAGCCCCACACTGTGTTTCTTTTATCCTCGTTGCCTCCGCCCCTCCCTTCCCCTCCCCCTACTCTTGTAAATTGAAGAGCCGTGTGCATCCCGTGAACACACAGGGTGTGTTCTGCAACGCAAGCAACAAGTGCCTCCCCTGACACGTACACGAACATGCCCCGCCAGCCCCGCCACGGTGGCTGCTGTCACGGGGGTAGGTTTCACTTTTGGAGCGGCCTGTACCTGCACCCTGCAGTTGGAGTGCAGTGCCTCGGCGACGTGCAGCCCCGCCATGGAGGCCATGCCCGTGGCGGCCAGGCACAGCACCCGCGGCCCCAGGTTGCGGCGCAGCAGGGCCGCCACGAACTGGCCGCCCAGGTCGCCGATGGGGTTGAGCCGCAGGTCCAGCCGCTCGCCCAGGAAGGCCGCCTCCGCCATGGCGAAGGCCAGCCCTCGCGCGCCCTGGCTGCCGATCTGGGGGACGGAGGGGACGCGGAGAGGACGCGGAGAGGACGCGGAGAGGACGCGGAGAGGACGCGGAGAGGACGCGGAGAGGACGCGGAGAGGACGCGGAGAGGACGCGGAGAGGACGCGGAGAGGACGCGGAGAGGACGCGGAGAGGACGCGGAGAGGACGCGGAGAGGACGCGGAGAGGACGCGGAGAGGACGCGGAGAGGACGCCCTGGCGTGACGACTTGTCGACCCGGCGGGCACCGCGACGCACCCCCACGACGCGCACCTTGTTGTTGACGAGGATGATGGCGGACAGGGAGGGCAGCTGCGTGAGCAGCGAGGCCACCGCCATGGCGCCCTGGTCCTTGAGCTGGCAGTGCGACAGGTCGAGCGTGCACAGGCTGCTCTGCACCAGCGGCCGCAGCATCATGGCCACCCGCAGGTCATCCAGCAGGGACCGCCGCACGCGGAGCGTCTGGTGGCAAGGTCACCGTCAACTTCAAGAAAAACAAAACAAAAACGAATTACTGGGGAAAGCCGGTTCTCGAACCCGGGACTCTCACCGTGAGCGCGTGGCCGTGCTCGGAGACGGCCTGGCCCAGCCGCTGGCAGTCGTCGAAGGACACCTTCAGCTCGTCCAGATCGAAGTCCTCGCCCATGTCCCTCTTGTTGAAGGACAGCGACAGCTCCTGTGCCGCAGCCCGGCGTGGCCCGGCGCGGCCACACCCACAATCAGAGCGGAAGGACGCGACGGGGAGGGGGAGGGGGAGGGGAGGGCATATCGCCTGGCAGCATACATGCATGTACAGGCACGCTCTTCCTTTTGTGTGCAAGTCGCGTTGTGATGCCAATTCACCCCCGCACCCCCGCCACACACCCCCACACACACACACCCCGCCACACCCCGCCACACCCCGCCACACCGCCTCCCTTCTGCACACCTCGTGGAATCCGCCCACAGCACGTCGCGCTTCGCGTGCCAGCGCGTTTTTCGACAACAGCCGCGGCCGTGGCGAGGTCGGCGTGCACAAAGGCTCGGGGTGTGCATGTGTGAGAGCGTGTGCGCAAGAGTGAGTGGGCGCGAGAGAGACGAGTGTCACTGTGCGCGTGCGTTAGAGAGCGGTGGTTTTTGACATTTACCATTTAACCCGATTTCATTTATTCACCGCTGTACATTCTCTATGGACGTCGGTCGCTGCCCCAGCTTCACCTCCACGGACTGCAGGGGCTCCACGGGGTGACATGGCGCACGGCCCTCACAGCCCTCGCGGCATAAAGGAGGCCTCTTGCATGGCGTGACTGATAGTGCTGCTGTGAGTGGCAGTGCCGTGGCAGTGCCGTGGCTGTGCCGGCACTGCTAGTGGGGGCGGGGCCCTAGCAGTGGAGGCACCGCGCTGGCATTGCAGTGTGCTCGTCCTCAACCTCATCACCAAAGTGCTCCCTGCGCTCAAGTCACTCCCTTCCCTTCCGAGAGTCCACCCACCCAGCCAGCCTGGGCGGCGGCAGCGGCGTCGCGTCGGGGTGTCTAGCGCCGCCGAGCGCGGCAGGGCCGGGCAGTGCGGCCCGGGAGGGGCGGGGCACGGCCGGCACGGGGGCGGCCTGCAGACTCATTCCGAATGGGAAGTCTCGGGGGCGCGCCGTGCGGGTGCGAGAGAGACAGAGAGACAGTGGCTCTGCGGGCTGGCGCCGCGCCGCCTTGTGTCGCGCCGTCGTCTGCCCTTCCCCCTTCCTTCCCGTTCCCCTAGGTGATGTAGACGACGCGATGCAGTCAAAGGGAAACTTGAACAAATCGGGACTTTTTTTGCGGCGCCTGTACCCCGCCCTTTCCTGCAGTGCACCGAGACCCATTATGTCCGGCGGTCTGGGTTGCAGCCGGACGGGAAGGCGGTCGAGGCTTTCCGAACGCCGAATGGCGGAGAAAGAGTGAGGCGCTGCGGGATTGCCTACCCTGCCATTGGCAGGGGCTCCTTGGCTTCCACATTGCACAGTGTGCCAGAAGACCGGCGGAGGCGGCCAAAACTCTAGACGCGTGCAGAGCTCCAGAGTCGCTAAACAGGACTCGAACCGGACGTGTGACCCCACCAATGGATTGCTCTCCGAACGAGGAATCCATTGGTGGGGTCACACGCTCGCTTCGAGTCCCATTTAGCGACTCTGGAGCTCAAAACGCGTCTAGAGTTTTGGCCGCCTCCACCGGTCTTCTAGCCCACTGTGCGTCGCCGCGCTGCGCTGAGCGTTCCACGTTCTCGATGCTCAAAAGTCGATAGGGTTGCCAACTGCCCTGGCGACCCTCTGGACAGTGGGGGTGAATTTTGACCACACTGTGTGGCTGCCGCGTGCTGCCGCGTACCTGCAGGCCGGGGAGGTGGCGCAGCACGAACACGAAGTCCAGGTGGTCCCAGTTCTCGGGGTCCGGGACGTACGTGTCGGCGGGGTGGTCCGGGATCACGAAGGGCTCGCCGCGCTTCAGCTCTCGCAGGTGCAGCTTGAGCACCTGTGGGTTCAAATACCAGCTAGGTTGAGTCCTTTTTTTCTGTTTCTTTTTTAAATTGAGAGATTTGCTGACGCGCACCTCCGGCGCCACGGCCTGGAGCATGGTGCGGATGTCGTCGTCGTTGAAGGACTCCGGGTCGAGGCGCTCCAGCGCGTCTTGCAGCGTGCGCTCCGCCACGAGACGCTTCCAAGAGCCGCCGTGGTACCTGCCGGCGGTTCAAACCGGTTCAAACCGGTCAAAACCGGTTCAAACCGGTCAAAACCGGGTCGGAACCGGTTCCAACCGGTGCAATCCGGTTCGTGGGCGCACTGGGGGAAGTTGGTGCCGTCCGGCCAGGTGTGCTCCGCGCGCCGCTTCCAGTAGACGCCGTCGGGCAGGGCGGGGACGGCGGCGGCCAGGGGGATGTCGACGGGCAGCAGTTCCAGGAAGTGGAGGGCGTGGCAGTGGAGGTCGTCCTCGCCGAGCCCCCGCAGCGTCGCCCACGCGCCCAGGGCGCCGTCCTCGGGCAGGGCCGCCAACTCCCCCAGCACCAGGGTCGACAACCTGGGAACGATGTCGCAGTGCTGCACTGGCACGCCACTGCCACGCCATTGGCCGCGCGCGGGGGTCGCGGGGCGCGGCGGCGCGGCCGTTGGCTGTATCTCTCATCTCGTAAATCAGGCTGCCGACTACAACGGCGTGCCGGCGTCGCCAGGGCGTCGCCGGCGACTCCGACCTGGGCGCGAGGCCATGGTCCCACTGCTCGTCGTCGGCCCGGAGGCGCCGGCCCGCCTCGCCGACCAGGCGGTGGGTGGCGCCACTGGGCTGGAACGCCCGCCGCGCCGCCTCCGGGATGGTGTGGGGAACTCGCATGGCGCCTTCCGGGTTTCGGCCTTCCGGGCTCCCGGCCCGGAGGCTGCTACACGACCGCTACGGCCTCAAGTGGCGCCCCTGGAACCTGGAACGCCCCGATCGCCCCGGATGCCACGCGCGGTTCCAGGACTTTCCTGAGGAGGGTGTAAAGCAGTGGTTCACGCCGGCGCGTGTTGCCTACCTCCCCGGCGGACTACCTAGGAAGGGGGTCTGTCATCACCCCCATGGCTACATCCGCGCCTGCGGGACGCTCGCAAGTCGGCCGAAACCCCCGGCCGGCGTCGGCGGCAACATTCTCCCAGTGGCGCGGAAGCTGCAGGGCATCGCGGGGGTGTTGGCCTGCGCGGGGGTGCTGCCATGGTGCCAAGTCTGGCCAAGTCGCCAGGGCAGCCGGCCGCACTTTGTTGCCGCAGTGTTGCAGGGCATTCCCCTCATTCCCCTCCCCGCCGTGTTTCCGACTCGCAGCGCAATCCCGCTCCGAGCGAAGGGCCTTCTTGTCCTGCGGAGTAACTCTTGGCATGCGAGGGGTGAATCACTCAGCGTTCTGGTGTACACATGAGTACATGAGTACGGGTGAGTACACCTTGGTTAACTCGTAAATTTCACAATTTAAAACGTTTTAAGGCTTTATTTAGCGTTTTTAACGGCACTCAACGTTAAATCGGTCGAAAAACTAGAGTATTTCGCCCTTTTTAAACTGGTGAGTACACTGAGTACGGGCAAATTTGTACACATGAGTACACTAGTGATTCACCCCTCGTTGCCATGGCCCTTGAACGTATGGCGCGTTTTCATCATGACCAATAGTCTACGAGTCGATAGTCAGTCCTCTACCCTCGGGTCGATCGATCGATTCCCAAGACACCTTTTCAATTTGGGACTGGCGATTGATTCCACAGGGGATCGCGCCGATCGCACTTCTTGTGCTAAAGCGCCTCCTTCCGCGTGTTGCAGGAGTGTCCGGACGGCGTGGTTCAGGAGGACGCCTTCAAGGACATCTACGCCAAGTTCTTCCCGCACGGCAGTACGTATACGCCCATCACTCGACAAAGAAACCTAGTCAAAGGGTTCAAAATTTAGTTGATTTTCTGCGTAAAATATCATTTTTAAAAAGAGAGTTGGCCCGGATTTCTGTTGCAGACTCCAGCTTGTACGCGCACTACGTCTTCAAGGCCTTCGACGTCAACTGCAACGGCGCCATCACCTTCAGGGTAAGCTGGCGAAGCTGGTGGGGGACGCTGGTGCCACACAGAGCAGCGCGGAGCAGCGCGGAGCAGCGGTTGCATCGCTCGGTTGTTCCGTTGTTCGCGTGGCCGATGTTCGATGTTCTGGGAGGAAGCCCCAAAGATGGGCATTTGGCTCGGCGTCGCGACGGGGCGGCAGTAACTCAAATTGGGCCGCCCCGCCCCGCCATGACTTGGACGCAGCCCAAGTTGTTGGCTGAGCACGAGGGCTGGCAAGCCTGGTACGGCTTTGTACCTAATGCTGCATAGCCCATTATTTTTATGTTTTTATGGCTTTATATTTCATCATTCTTCTCTGTCACTCTTCCCCTGCGGTGTGCTGTGCAGGCAACCCGTCGCCGACCGGCCTCGTTTTCACACTCCTCTGCTTTCTCCGCAGGACTTGCTGGTCACGCTGTCCACGCTGCTGCGGGGCTCCATCTACGAGAAGCTCCGCTGGACCTTCAAGCTGTACGACGTCAACGGGGACGGCTGCATCACGCGCTCCGAGCTGGCGGAGATCGTGGTGGCCATCCACGAGCTCATGGGCAGGAGGGCCAGCCAGGTAAAGGCACAGCACTTCCGGTGGCCTTGCTGGAACCGGACGCACGGTGGGCCAGAAGACCGGTGGGGGCGGCCAAAATCCCGGACGCGTTTTGAGCTCCAGAGTCGTTAAACAGGACTCGAACCGAACGTGTGACCCCACCAATGGATTTCTCTCCGAACGAGCAATCCATTGGTGGGGTCACACGTTCGGTTCGAGTCCTGTTTAGCGACTCTGGAGCTCGAAACGGGTCTAGAGTTTTGGCCGCCGGCGCCGGTCTTCGAGCCCACTTTGCGACGTGAAGCGTGAACCACGTCATCAGTCATATAGAACCTTTTTTTCGTAACAAAAAAAGAAAAAGAATTGATAAGATTGGTCACGTATTTTTTTTAGCCCAGTTAGACTACTAATGAGATTGGGTCTGAACTGCGCAAGTGCTGTGGTTGTTTTGACACTTTCATTTCCTTCACCTTACAATACTCTATTGCCGTCCATATCTTCTTCTTTCTCACCGGTACTGCACATCTGCCTCAGTATGATTTACACTGGCTACTCCAGTATTATTGCTCAGGTCACGCCAAACGAAATAATGTAGCGGTAATAGGTAGACAGACAACACGTGGAAGTTTGCCACATTCAGTAGTTTATTAATTATTTTTAGTTGATTAGTAGTAAAAATTATAATTTCGGGCTGAGCGAGAGGGGTTCCGTATCCGTAGAGCATCGGTGCATACGCTTGTTGTCGGAGCGGCAAACCCAAACGTTTATCAGAAGCCGTGTTCAAAAATTGAGCGGAGCTCATTAATAGATAACAGCAAATCAATTATACTTTGATTCAATTTATCATAAGTCGTCGCTCAGCTCACGCTTCCAGAAGCGCGTGTAGTTTTCCAAATAAAATGAGGAAATGTTTGCGCGAGGCTTCCTGTTTGTTCTGAACGTGGCCGGCTTCCCACGGACTTGCATTGTGTTGTGTCTCTGGTGCGGCCTTACGGCGTAGAGCTGACTTTACCTCACCTTTGTGGAGTCCCTTTCTGGGGCTCCGCCTGGCTCCCTCCCGGCGGCTCGCCCCTAGGCGCCCCTAGGACTAGAAGTAGTGGTCGATCGAGGCAAGCCCAGGGCGACAGTGGGCCAGCAACCGGCGCAGGCGGCCAAAAGTCTAGACGCGTTTTCAGCTCCAGAGTCGCTAAATGAGACTCGAACCGAACGTGTGACCCCATTAATGGATTGCTCTCCGAATGCGGAATCCATTGGTGGGGTCACACGCTCGGTTTGAGTCCCATTTATCCTTTCTGGAGCTCAAAATGCGTCCAGCATTTTGGCCGCCTCCGCCGGTTTCTGGCCCACTGTGAAGCCCATGCGCACTGTCCCGGCCGTGGGCCGCGGCCGCTCGCGGCTCGGCATACAGGACATGAGCCCCGTCCCGTTTGAGCCCCGATGGTCTGAGCCCCGACCTGAGCCCCAACCTGAGCCCGGGTTGAGCCCCGACTTGAGCCCCGACCCAAGCCCCAATTTTCAGAGCCCGGATTGAGCCCCGTTTGAGCCCCGTTTGACCCCCATTTGAGCCCCACTTGAGCCTCGGGGCAATAAATCATGCGAAAATGCGTGGTTTCAGGTCGCGGGGCTCAAATGGGGCTCAAATGGGGCTCAAACGGGGCTCAAACGGGGCTCAGGTCGGGTCTCAGTCCGGGCTCTGAAAATTGGGGCTTGGGTCGGGGCTCAAGTCGGGGCTCAACCCGGGCTCAGGTTGGGGCTCAGGTCGGGGCTCAGACCATCGGGGCTCAAACGGGACGGGGCTCATGTCCTGTATGCCCGCGGCTCTGAGGTTCGAGTCCCGCCGCAGCCGGATTTCTTTCTGTCTTTTTTGCCGCCACTCGAAGCGGGAGCGAGCGGGTGGGGTTGCTACCTGAGGCACTGAAGTGGCGAGTACCGCCCTTGTGTGGCGACCCTCGGCGGGTGCGCCCAGACAGTGGCCCAGACAGTGGCCCAGACAGTGGCCCAGACAGTGGCCCAGACAGTGGCCGACGGCAGGCCGCAGGGAGGCACCCCCAGACTGCCACAGGCCATGAGGCACTTAGCCAGTAGACTGTATCGTTGAGCTGTCAAGCTGTCATCAGGGTCCTTCCCTTCCCTTCTCGGCCATCTCCAGGTTTGTACAGCCAGCCAGCAACTTGCAGTGCAGTCACTTCCAGACTGACTTTTGCAGTGACGCGACGGAAGGGCCGCTTCCCGCAGCCCGACGTCGCAAGTGGGTTTTCATTGCGCAAAGCGCAGGCGCGGATCCACACAGTGGGCCGGAGGCGGCCAAAACTCTGGACGCGTTTTGAGCTCCAGAGTCGCGGAGCAGGCCTCGAACCGAACGTGTGACCCCACCAATGGATTCCTCGTTCGGAGAGCAATCCATTGGTAGGGTCGCACGGTCGGTTCGAGTCCTGTTCAGCAACTCTGGAGCTCAAGACGCGTCTAGAGTTTTGGTCGCCTCCACCGGTCTTCTGGCCCACTGTGATCCAGCAGTTTTCGTAGGAGGGGGAAATGTAGCGCCTCTTGCCTACTTTGCAGGGGCAAAACAGTGCATTTTGCCTACCTTGAGGGCAGCCTACCGGGTCCCCAAGGAGGGGGTAGCTAGTACCCCGGTTACCCCACCACACCCCTGGATCCACGCCTGCCCAAACCGCGCGCAGAATTGGGGGGGGGGGCTAAAAAAGCTGCTGATAACATATTAAGCAGCGATGTTTATTCAGCTACACATTCCAGCGGGTCGTAGATTTGTTCCACGCTAAACACGCTACCCACACAAACAGACACTCACACCGACACACAAACAACGGTGTCAATTTGCATCCAATCGGGGAGCGGGGCTGGGGGGGAAACGCATTACAAAAGCGCGCGTACAGGGGCGCGGTCTCGGGGCTCGGCGCGGCGGCGGGTCAAGGCCACGCGGCGCGCCACGCGGTCCCTCTAGAGCAGCCCTCGCGAGGCCGGCGCAGCACAGTGGGCCAGAAGACCGGTGGAGGCGGCCAAAACTCTAGACGCGTTTTGAGCTCTAGAGTCGCTAAATGGGACTCGAACCGAACGTGTGACCCCACCAATGGATTGCTCTCCGAACGAGGAATCCGTTGGTGGGGATCACACGTTCGGTTCGAGTCCCATTCAGCGACTCTGGAGCTCAAAACGCGTCTAGAGTTTTGGCCGCCTCCACCGGTCTTCTGGCCCACTGTGCGCACCGCAACTACTTTACATGTGCTGGGCGCCGGGCTCGGCCGGGCCTGCACCGGTCTCGTAAAACCGAGTGGTCTCCCCGACCACCGTCGGCGGGCGCATAGTTGCCTGCGGCCGGAAGCCCGTTCAAAATTCAATTGGCCCTCGCAAGGACCCTTTACGCTGTGCAAGGCGGTACAGGCGGCCCCCAAGTGTCCCATACATCAAAATGAGCCTCCGGCCTTCCCTCGCCCCTAAGACACACACACACTAACACGCGCCCTCGCTGTAATGTCACGGCCGGGCCGTTCTTGTGTGAGGATGCCGCGGCCTCCTCGCACACACACACGCACACACACACACACACGTGCACGCACACCGCGGCGCACCCACACACACACACACACACACACACACGCACACGGGAGGAGTCTGTCAAACGTTTTGGACACGAGGCTAGAGCGCTTGGCCGTCGCGCTGCGGTGCCCCTGCCAGCAGTGTGCCGCGGCAGCCACAGGTTCCACAGGTACCCGGGGACGAAGCCACCTCCAATCACGCCACCGCGTACACCACAAGCCGGGCGAGGGGGTGGGGAGAGGGGGGGGTGCCACTCCCCTTCCGAGACACTATACTTCCAACGCGACTTACTTCCCTGGAGCTACACTAGAGCTACACTGGTGCTACCGGCACTGCGGCCACGAGGCACGGCAGGCCCACGGCAGGCCCACGGCAGGCACAGCTTGTTAACTTGTCTGTTTCTCTTCCAGCGGGCCCTCCGCAGAAGCGGTGCCGACGCGCAGGCTGTGAGTACGACTGTCTCTCTCGCACTCCATCCTTTCTCTGCTTCCCTGCCGCATGCCGACCGCTGCTGCCGCCGTTATTACAATAATTATTATTCATTACTCTCCCAGTTTATTCTTATTATTTGTAGTGAACCCTTATCATGATTGTCACTGTTCTGAAAGAATTTTGTTGAGAGTTTTGTTCCCTGTTTTTTTCTTGTTTTTTCTTTGTTTTTTGTTTGATGTTTTTGACGAGGCACGTGGTGCGGAAAAGGTGCCGCTTACAGACCGATCCCGGTAAAGGTCGTGGAGAGGAAGGGTGCACTGCAAATCCATTGGTAAGTTTCCCTGCCAATCCGAAAGCGCTCCGTTTCGAATGCCGGCGTCTTGGAGCATCAAATTTTCGCTTCCTCTGAGGGCCGTCCCGGCCAAGGTCCAAAACTTGGCATTCGAATGGGAGCGCCTCCGGAGAGGTGTGGAAACTTCCCGATGGATTTGCGCGGAGGGCGAAGAAAAAACAGCCTGTCCTGGTTCGCTCTCCACATTGTTCTTCTTCCTGGCCTATGCCGGCATAGTCGGTGTTCCAGGCGCCCGGGGAGCAGAGCACCGGACGAACAAAAAACGCATTCTTTGGCAGGTGCATGCACCTGTGCATATGTGGCTTTTGTTCGCCCAGTCCTGCTCGTCCTATGGCGCCCTCTGGAGTACGAGGACTGGAAAGCAAAAGCAGAGGTCCAAACCAGAAATGCATGACACTGGTAAAACAAGTCGTGTGCTTTCCAGGCCACAGAAAATCAGTTTAAATAAAAATGAACTGTATAGTTGTTTGACCTCTGCCCAAACAGGAAAGCCTATTAGAAACGGGCCGTCACTCACAGAGCTTCTCTGCTTCTAGCAAATGGAGGATGACCGGAAGTGCCGAGAGCAAGTGGACCGGGTGTTCCGGAAGCTGGACCTGAACCAGGACGGCGTCATCACCATAGAGGAGTTCATCGAGTCTTGTTTGAAGGTCAGTGCTTTGGTGGCCAGCCCTGGCCCACTGTCAAACCAAACGTGGACAACTCCACATTTGAAATGCAGAGGTGTGTAATTTTCAGTCTCCGCACTTGGAAGTGCAGAGTTTGCAGTCTCCACACTTCAAACGTGGAGTTGTCCACGTTTGCACCATGCTAATGCTAAGAGATAGGGGCTTTTGGAGCTACTCCACACTTGAAGTGTGGAGGCTGCGTACTCTGCACTTCGAAGTGTGTAGACTTACTCCACACCAGGAAGTGTGGACTTGTCCACGTTTGGTTTCACTGTGCAGCCCTGCAGCCCGAAGGATCAGAGTTTTCGCTGGTTGACTTTGCGTCATCGTTCCAGGACGAGATCATCACGCAGTCCATGTCCATGTTCGACACCTCGCTGTGATCCGAAGAGGCGTCGCCCATGGCGGTGCCGGCCAGCCTGGTGGCGCACCTGGGCGACCTCACGCTGTCGGACTCGGACGGCGACTCCCGGCGCGGCCTTGGCACCTTCCAGGGCACCTTCCAGGTGCGCGCGCAGGTGGACCACGACCCGCGCGCGGCCAGGACGGCGCCGTCCAGGGTGTCGACGGGCGCCCTCGCCGGCACCTCCGGCCCCCACCCTCACTGCCCTCCCCCGCTACCGCCACTGCCCAGCCAGGCGGGGGGTCTGGCCGGCCCCCAGTGGCGGCCCATGACGGCGTTGACGTCGGCGACGTCCGCGACCTCGGCGATGGACTGGGCGCAGGCCGCCGCCTGGCCCGACGAGGACGACTTCGGGCGCGCGCCCCTCGCGCCCCGGGAGACGCGGCCGCCCTCCGGGCCCGGGCCTCCCTCCGGGCCTCCCTCCGGGCCTCCCCCCGTCGCGTCCAAGCGGAACAGCCAGGAGACGGACGTGTAGGGCACTGCGCCGTCACCGGGACGTCACCAAGCCGTCACAGTCAGTCCGCCCGTCCCCGCCGCGCCAGTTTCGCCACCGAAAAAGAGAACACTTTCATTTCATTTACTTTTGAAAAAACTATGACGTTCCACAACAAAAAAAATATTAGTTAAGATCTTAGAGTACCCCCTTTTCTCTCTCGACAATAAAAGAAAAAAACGTGTAGAATAGTTGAGGCTTACACCAGCCCATTAGTTTCTGCACCATAGCGGAGTAGGCGGTACCGGAATTTCGACATTTAGGACGAGTCGCTATTGTCCACCATAAGAGTCAGTGCGCCCATCCGCACCATAGCGGAGTAGGCGGTACCGGAATTTCGACATTTAGGACGAGTCGCTATTGTCCACCATAAGAGTCAGTGCGCCCATCCGCACCACGACCAGCCGAAAACTTTTAACATTTTTTAAGCACTAGATTTTTTTCGGTGGTGAAATTGGAGGTAGTTTGGCGGCGGCTCGGCCGTGCGGGGTCGGACTGCTTCGTCTTGGACTTGGTGCTTAGCGCCGGAATAGCAAACAAAGACAATTGTTCAAATGCACCAATTCTTAGCGCTCGGAACTTCCTACTTTAAGACGATCAGGGCGGCTCTCAAGGACGTGATTTTTTTTGAGTAGTCAAGACAGTTGAAGGACGCGGGACTCTACTGCCGCCGTTTCCGGCCTTCCAACCGTACTTCCCGTACTTCCTCGTCTCCTTCTCCTTTTGTACTTCGAGACTGAAAAACCTCGTTTCAACCACACGACCTGTGTGATAGCTCACAATAAACCGTTTATTTTTTACAAACTCGGGAATACTTTTACTCGGCAAGTATTGTACAGTGTTTATTCTGTTCGGTCGACGTGCGTATTTGCTCGGAAAAAATAATGAATTATGAAAATAGTTGTGTCTGGAGCAAAGTTCCTTCGTCGTGCCTGGCGATTTGTTTCTAGAGGCATTTGACTTTCAGTCTCACGACAAAGTCTCTCATTTCGTCTTTCGTAGATCAGTTTTAAAAGTTTTCAGATCTGAAGCAATTGCATAAAAACTCTAATGTAGTGCAATTTTCTAGATCCAGAGAACTTGCTCATGATAGTCGATTCAGACGTGAACCTTTTGTCATTTAGAACTACCATAGATAAGAGATTAAGAAATTACCTTTAGCCTAGATCAGTTTATGAAATGTTTAACGAAGTATTTAGTTGTGTAAGCAAACATTAGGACTCCGAACTTAGCCGTGGTCAAATGCCCCTATCCCTCAGAGCCGAGCCAAAGATTCCAGAATTTAAAAGGAATTCCCTCGGCGTCAATTTTTTTTGTTTTCCATTTTCTACCTCTGTGGCGTTGGGGTCGAAACCGAACAAGGTTCGACTCCTCCTCTACCTTGTCTTCATTTGTGAGCAACGAAGATAGAAATGCTAACGGCACCTAAGATTTCTCTCATTCCCACAAACCATGTGAAAATAGTGTTGTCCTCGAGGTGAATAATTGTAGGTCGATTGGCCGAATAAAATTTTACTGTTTCAACCGTCCCGTTTTTCACCATTTCCTCACACATGTATGTGCACATACGTTTGGCTCGTCACACCTAAGAAAACTTTCAAGAAATATCTAATAAAAGACAGCTTAGAGGAGTGTTGGCAAACCAGTGGATGTCACAAAATTCTCGCTGAAAACTACTCCGTGACAGTTTTGAGCATGAGCACTTCCGCGAAACTCCCGCAATACTCCACCGTGCTGCTTTCGAATTCCTGCGGCTCCAGTGGAGTACAGTGGAGAAGCGAGTATCGACCGGTGCTAGCCGCAGGACATACTCCACGCTCCGCGCTGCGGGGGGTATCGCCAGCGCCGCCTCCACCGCCGCGGGGACGGGCCAGCCGGGCCGGCCGACCGACGGCCAAGCGATTCCGGAGACTCGAATCGTCACCCTGTATCGACAAACTGAACAGTGTATGGCACATCCAAGCAGGGATGCACACCGCTCCTTGAAGTGTGCATCCAGGCACGCTCCGGGTGGAGAGTGCCGTACCAACTAACCAGTCTGTAGAGTTGGGAAGTTGGGAGCCGATCTCCGGTCACGGGTCCCAACGGCCAACACAGCTGATGTTAGCAAATTTTGTGAGTGGCTATAGTAGCTTCAGGCCGTGGCGGAGCCGGCATGGAATGTCTCCGGGGGCTTCCGGTCAACACGGAAATTCAACGCCCTCGACGGCGAAAAACCAACAACAACAACAAAGGCGTAAACAACAGCAAGAACAACGGAAAACAATGTGAAAAGAGTTGGCAGAAGAAGTTTGTTTATTATTATTCTGACGGCGCGCGCCGCGTGGCCGCGTGGCTCGCGGACATGAGTGAGAGAGAGGGGGGAGGGGCATTCAAACAGAGAGTGAAGACGAGCCAAAAGTATCCCCGTCCCCCACCCGCTATATCGGGATCCTCTCGCCGGCGGCGGGGCGGGGCGGACGCACGCCGCGCAGTACGCACGCGGGGCGTCGCGGGGCGCACATAGCAGCCGGCCGGCCGCGGGGCAACAACACAGAGGCGGAAGTAGACGCAGGGAATGCAGCGAGTGACGGCAAAAAGCGCAGTGGAACAGAGTGCAGTGAGGAGAGTGCCGCGCGCAAAACAAAAGTGCAGTGAATGTCAAGGAGTGAGCCGCAAGAAGTGTCGAGAGTGATGACAACATGCAAATGCAGTGCACTGTGGCAACGAAGTGCAGAAAGTGTGAGAAAAGTGCAGCAGTGAATGCAGTGAGGGATAATAATGAAAGTGAGTGACAAGCCAAGAGCCAAAGGGAAACGTGACAGCAAGACAGGTGACTCAGGGAATGCGGTGACCGGCAGTGACAAAAAGTGTCTCGGCAGTGACAAGAAGAAAAGTGCCTGCGGGAATGCGGTGACCGGCAGTGACAAAAAGTGTCTCGGCAGTGACAAGAAGAAAAGTGCCTCCGGGAATGCGGTGACCGGCAGTGACAAAAAGTGTCTCGGCAGTGACAAGAAGAAAAGTGCCTCAGGGTATGCGGTTACCGGCAGTGACAAAAAGTGTCTCGGCAGTGACAAGAAGAAAAGTGCCTCAGGGAATGCGGTGACCGGGCAGAGTGCCGCAGAGTGCCTCAGAGGGAATGCGCTCTCTGCTGGCGTTCGTCGGTCTGCTGGCGGCCGCTGGCCTGGTCCTCCCGGCACCCACAGGTCAGTGGGGTTAGGTGACGCGCCGATAACGAACGGCAGCAGCAACAACAACAACCACATCACCATCAACAACAACACCAATTCTGACACTTAGGGGCAATCTGGGCTCGGGCCCCCGATACTCGAGCAGCCGGGCGGGCGCCGCGTCGATGAGTACACTGTAAAAACAAAAGCGATGAAAATTAGAAAGAAACTGTTAGCCACGTCAGTTGTTGGCCCTCTCCGGCTGGACAGTGGTGCGTCTCTCTCGCACGTTACGGAACGCCCCGCGAGTGCGAGAGAGACGGCGCGACGAAGGCCTTCGGTGGCGTGTTTGCGTTTCCCTTTGATTTGTGATGCCTGTATACCGCCCCATCACTAAAACATCCGGGCGGGCGGGGCTGGCTCGGGGCTGGCCGTCGGTCCGCCGGCCGGCCGGTCGCGGCGCGCGGCCCTCATCAAATATTTCGTGGTGTCCGCGACGCGATGCACCCTTTGACACTGGCGCCTTTACCCACACTCGATGAAATGTGGGGGAAAGTAGGACACGCTGACAGCGCCCAATGTTTTCAGACGGATCCGTCCTGCCGGCGGCGGAACCAGGTCGCCGTCAACGCCGCTTCCACGACGCCGAGCTCACCGAGGTGTGTATGTGTGTGTGAGAGAGACTTTGTTGTGCTCGACTTGTTTTGACGGTGCAGCTGGTCTTAGGCGGCGCTTCCCCTTACAGAATGGGCTCGCTTCGCTGTCGCCCAATGCCGCGCGGCGCGAGGACCCGGACACGGACGACGACGAGGACGACGAGGAGATCCTGTCGCCCCACCAATGTGAGTCCGCCTCAAGGGAACTGAAACTGATATGTGTACTAGTCGATTTGACGTAACCCATTTCACTGTGAGAGTCTCTTTGCTGTCCAGTCGCGGAGTGCTGCGGGCTGGCCGCGGACCCCACCTGCAGGCAGGCGTGCTTGTCCGCGCTGGGCGCTGCGGGCGGCGCCACCCTCGGCAAGGTGCTGGACGCCGTGCAGCAGGCGGGCTGCGGGCTGATGCTGCATGTGAGTCCAGAGTCCCGCCGCACAGTGGATTTGCCAGAAGACCGGTGGAGGCGGCCAAAACTCTAGACGCTTTATGAGCTCCGGAGTCGCTTAACAGGACTCGAACCGAACGTGTGACCCCACCAATGGATTCCTCGCTCGGAGAGCAATCCATTGATGGGGTCTCGTGCTCGGTTCGAGTCCTGGTTAGCTACTCTGGTGCTCAAAACGCGTCCGGAATTTTGGCCGCTTCCACCGGTCTTCTGGCAATCCACTGTGCGCCGCTCTGTCTCTCTCGCACTCTGCGGAACGCCCCATGAGTGCGAGAGGGACGGAATGTTCCCTGTACTTCTGGATGAAGGCGTTCATTGTGTGTTTTGCTATTGCCAGGACCCCACGGTGACGTGCTTCCTGTCGCACAGCGGCCCCGGCCGGCAGGGCCAGGGCGGCCAGGGCCCCCGGGCGGCGGTCCACGACGGCGGCGTCCTGGACGTGCTGGACGCGGGCCGCCTGCACTGCTGCGGGCTGGCCAGGGCGTCGGCGTGCCGCCGCGCGTGCCAGAAGGCGTTCCGGCACGACTGGGGCGCGGCGGCCAGTGGCGGACCCCTGCAGGACTGCGTCAACCGGGCCAACGAGTCGGCCCTCGCGTCCTGCCTGGCGGAAGGTGAGGTCCTTGCAGTGGCGTGCGCAGAAATTTTGAAAGGGGGCGGGGGAGCGGGGTCAGGCCATGCTTTTTGCCTTCTTACAGGGGAAAGTGACGCAATTTGTCTATCTTCCAGGCGGCTGTCTAGTGGCCAGAGGGGAGGTCATGACCCCCCCCCCTTTGCGCACGCGCACGCCGCTGGGTCCTTGGAGGGCCCTTGGAAATGCGGAGGCCGTCGCACCGACCAGAGTCTTTATGTGGTTTCATTTTCCAGTGGACTACCCCTGCCGGCCGGCGTCCGCCTGCGCGGGCCTGGACTTCTGCGCGGGCGTGCTACGCGACGACGGCCGGTCCTGGTTCCGCACCTGCGGCTCGCTGGCGGACGCCGCGGCGCGCCACGTGGCCTCGCAGTGGTGGCGCGATGGCGTGCTGACGCTGTCCGACGCGCACCTGCACGTGCAAGTGCCGCTGCTGCGGGGCGTCGAGTCGTGCCACCGCGGGCTGTGGACGGCGCTGGCCTGCCTCACCCACGCGCAGCCCTGCTCGCCCCGCGCCGGCGCGCTGCCCCTCTGCCTCCAGGTGCGACCCCTTCCAGATGCATGTGTCGCCTAGTCGTACCCGAGTTGACGGCGTGCTTCCCGTGCTGCAGGACTGCCTCCGGCTGCTGCCGCGCTGCGTGCGCTGGTCCGCCGTGCCGCCCGGCTTCTCCGCAGAGCAGCTCTGCGCGCAGTTGGCCGGGCCGCCGCCCTGCGTGCCCATCCCCGCCGCCCGCGAGGACGACGAGGTCGCCGCGGACGACCCGGAACCGCCGACGGCGGCCGCCAGGCGGCAACCGGGAGCACAGCAGGGAGCGGCGCCGGACGGTGACGCGGTGTGCAGGCTGGGCGCCGCGTCCGACGTGTCCGTGGCCGTGGGCGCGGCCGTGCGCGTGCCCCGCGAGGGCTCGTCGTCGCCGTGCTACACGGCGTGCTTGTGCGAGGCGCCGGGTGAGCGCGGCGCGGGCGCGGCGCTGGGGCGGTGCGTCGACCTGCCCTGCCTGCCGCACGCTAACACGTGCGCCCTGGGCCAGAGCACTGTGGGTAAGCACCGCACTAAACACGCACCAGACGTGGCGGTTATGGTTCTAAAAGTTGAGTTTAGGCGCGAGCCAAAGCCACCAAAGCCACCAAAGCAAACTCTGGGCGCGAATGGGCAGTTCGGGCTGACGGCTTCCTTTGTCCGCAGAGCATCGGCGCACCGTGGTGCAGGGCTGCCTGGTGTGCACGTGCTCCTCCGGCGACGTGCTGTGCACGCAGCGGCCCTGCGCCCTGGCGGTGGCGGCCGCCTCCAGCCGCTCGCACGGCCACGGCCACGGCGGCGCGCTTCTAGATCTCCAGGAACCCAGTCCGTGCGGGTGCCCGCCGCACCGCGTGCCCGTGTGCGGCCGCAACGGCCGGACGTACGACAACGCGTGCCTGGCGCGCTGCGCCGGCCTCGCCGTGGAGGCCGTGGACGACATGGCCCCCGGGCCGTGCCCCGCGCTGGACCCTTGCGCCGCCACCGCCAACGCCACGCGGTGCCCCGCCAACAAGCGCTGCCTCCCCGACCGCCGGCTGTGCCTCAGCCTGCTCGCGCAGCCCTGCCCGCAGTTCAAGTGCGGTGAGTCGGCTTCGATTTTCGTTACTGCCAGATCCCCGCCGACTCGTGCTGAACCACCCGTGTTGTTGCAGTGGAGGCGCCGCCCCGATGCGACCGCCGCGCCGACGGCCCCGTCTGCGACACGGCGGGCCGCACCCACGCCAACGAGTGCTCGCTGCTGCTGGCCGGGGCGTCGCTGCGACACCGCGGCGCGTGCGTCCCCGGCGGCCCCGTGTGCGGCGCGGACGGCTACACGTACCCGTCGCGGGGCGCGGCCGAGGAGGCCCTGGTCCTCGTCGACTACGCCGGCAAGTGCGCGCCGGACTGCGGGGCGGCGCGCTGCCCCGCGCTGCCGCCGGGTTGCAAGCGCGGCGTGCGCGCGTGGGGCGCGTGCTGCGACGCGTGCGTCGGCGTGCTGCACGCCGCCGTCAACACCAAGGCGCTGGACAAGGCCGTCCTCGCCGTGGGCAAGCTCGCCGAGCCGTGGCCGCGGGTGGCCTCCGTGTTCAGCCTGCGGGCCTTGCTCGGCCAGCTGCAGGAGCTGGTGCTGGAGGCGTGCGCCGTCCGCGGCCACGTCACGCGCACCGAGCAGCTCGTCGTGGTGCTGCGGCCCGGCGACGCCGGCGACGCGGCCTCGGTGCGCGCCTGCTACAAGGAGGCCGAGAGGTTGGCGGGGCTGTTCGAGCAGAGCGGCGCTCGGGTGCAGGCCAGCCTCCTGCTCAGCGCCGTCGTGGCCGTGGACCTGATGCCCGCCCCCGTGCTCCTGGCCGACCCCGACAAGGCCGTCTCTCCGGACGCCGCCCCCGTCGGTGCCGTCCGCGCCGCGCCCCTGTCGCTGGTGCTGCTGCTGTTGCTGCTCCACTTGCTGATCGGTGCGCTGCGCTCGGAACGCTGAGGACGTCTACCCACCCCCCAGTGAGACTGAAATTATTTCCACTGCTGAACTGTTGTTTTTGGTTGTTTGGTTGTTATTTACTTGTCGGGACCTGAAGACTGATGATGCGCGTGTTTGTCTGTTTGTCTGTCACACTGCGAAACACATCGAGGAGCCTGTTACGCAGTCTGGCGACCTTGCATTGTTATAAAGTTGTTTTATTTTGTGGTTACCAATTTACCAAGAAAGACTGTAAAGGTTAAAACTTTGTTGACAATAAATAATAACTTGTTTCTTTTTTTTTCAAATGAGTTTATTTATTACTAAATAATCCGTTCTTAAAATAAAATGTTGAGCCCCCCGACGAGCCTAGCACTGCGGAAGGGCGAGGCTGACGCCCCACATGATGGCGGCGCCCAAGCTGAGGGTGACCATGTCGCGCACGGTGGGCATTCGCGGCAACTCCCGACGACGCATCACCATCCGGAAGAAGGCCATCTTCTTGTCGTGGTACGGCGGGTACCTCAGGCTGCGGCACAACGCGTCAGAATCGAGCCGAATTACAGTGCAGTGCCACCAGAGCACAGTGGGCCAGAACACAGTGGAGGCGGCCAAAACTCGTTTTGAGCTCCAGAGTCGCTAAATGGGACTCGAACCGAACGTGTGACCCCACCAATGGATTGCTCTCCGAACGAGGAATCCATTGGTGGGGTCACACGTTCGATTCGAGTCCTGTTTAGTGACTTTGGAGCTCAAAACGCGTCCAGAGTTTTGGCCGCCTCCACTGTGTTCTGGCCCACTGTGAGTGGTCGGCGGGAAACTCACGAGCCGGCCGCCTCGCCGATGGCGCCCAGGTCCTTGATGAGGGCGGACTTGTGGTGGCTGAAGGTGTCGAAGGACTTCTTGCCGTGGTAGGCGCCCATGCCGCTCTCGCCGACGCCGCCGAACGGCAGGCCCTCCACTGGAAAAACGATAAAAACAGGCCAAGTCTAGTTTCATCCAGTCATGTTAAGAAACGTTAATCGCACAGTTCATACCGGCGACGTGGATCATGCAGTCGTTGACGCAGATGCCGCCGCTGCTGGTGTGCTTGATGAAGAGTTTGTACTCCTGCTCATCGTTGGTGAACACGTACAGAGCCAGGGGCTTCTCACTGCAACACGCATCCACAACGTTTAGAGGAACCCGTCCATACCCCGCGCGCGAGAGACTCCCATTGGCACCCCCGCGCGGGGTAGGGACGCGTCAACCCCCACCGGCTGTTGATAAACTCGATGGCCTCGCTGGCGTCGCGCACGGTGTAGATCGGCAGGATGGGCCCGAAGATCTCGTCCTGCATGACGGGGTCGTCGGCCTTGACGTCCACCAGCACGGTGGGGGCGATGAAGCGCTCCGCGGCGTCTGTCTCGCCGCCGATCACGATCTTGCCGCACTTCAGGTACTGCGTCAGCCTCCTGCGGGGGAAGTAGTTTCAGAATTTGCAAACAGTCGACGGGCTACGTGTAAACGGCTCGGGGTCCGTGGCACGCGCTGACGCACTGGAACTGCCTGTCGGAGACGATGCGGGCGAGGTCGGTGCTGGCCTTGGGGTCCGCGCCGCAGAAGTCCAGCAGCACCTTCTTGGCCGCGGCCACGAACAGGTCGCGCACCTCGGGCGTGCACAGCAGGTAGTCCGGCGCCACGCACGTCTGGCCGACGTTCATGCACTTGCCCCACATGATGCGCCTCGTGGCCACCTCGATGTCCGCCGTCGCGCTCAGGTACGTGGGGCTAACAGCGTGGGTGTTACTCCGCAATTAAAAAAATAAAATAGAAAAGTTTTTGTTTTTGTTTCTTTACCTCTTGCCGCCCAGCTCGAGGGTGACCGGCGTGAGGTGCTTGTTGGCCGCCTCCCGGACGATCCTCCCCACCATGGTGGACCCCGTGTAGAAGATGTAGTCGAAGCGCTCCTTGAGCAGCAACGTGGTCTCGGGGATGCCGCCCAGCACGACCCGGTAGCACTCCTGCAACGGCCGGAGTCAGCTAGTCAGCCAGCAGTCAGCCAGCAGTCAGCCAGCAGTCAGCCAGCAGTCAGCCAGCAGTCAGCCAGCAGTCAGCCAGCAGTCAGCCAGCAGTCAGCCAGCAGTCAGCCAGCAGTCAGCCAGCAGTCAGCCAGCAGTCAGCCAGCAGTCAGCCAGCAGTCAGTCAGCAGGCGCGGCTCTAAGTCCGCCCTTGTCACGGTGCTCTGACTCACCGGGTCCAGGTACTTGGGGACCTTCCTGGCGAAGAACTCTGCCGTGGCGGCCGCGATCTCTGACGGCTTGATGATGGCCGCGTTGCCCGCGGCGATGGCGCCGATGAGGGGCGACACCGTCAGGAACACGGGGTAGTTCCACGCGCCCATCACCAGCACCACGCCGAGCGGGTCCTTGTAGATGGTCAGCGTGTCCAGCAGGCTGGCCATCGTCTTGCGCGGCTGCAGTCAAACAGTCACACGTGTGCAGCATGACGCGCGCTTTCGGTCCAACTTCCCGCATTTCCGGCGACACTGCAGCAGACTGACTCACGCACTTTCTCCGGCTTCATCCACTCCTTGAGCTCCGCCAAGGTGTGCAGCAGCTCGTTCTTGGTGGCGTCCACCTCCACGAAGATGGTCTCGTGCTTGTTCTGCGAACAGGGGGACGCCCTTCAGCCTTCCCGACCCCTTCCAGTGCCTGAGCAGCCCGAAGCGGAACGCCGCGTCGCCACCCACCCTCCGCAGGTCCAGCCTCAGGGCCTCGATGATGTCCTCCTCGCACTCCTCCATCATGGCCAGCAGGTTCTTGAGCTGCTGCATGCGGTACTCGTAGGACAGCGTCCGCCCCGTGGCGAACGCCCTGCGGACGCCCTTGACGACCTGGCACGGCAAACAACCGCCAGTGCGTCAAGCAGAGGCACGGCGCACACCCTACTAGGGTGTGCTTGAACCTTGAACCTTGAAACTTGAACCTAGGGTGACCAGGTTCAAGTTCAAGAGCCTTTGGGTGCGGTCCTACCCTCGGGTAACTCAGGTCGCCGTGGTTGGCGTCCGCGGCGTCGCCGGGAGAAGAGGGGTCCGGAGGCTGCGCCGTCGTCCTCCCGGGGTCCGCCTGGCCGTTCGCCTGGCCGTTCGCCTGGCCGCCCTCCGCCGCCTTGGCCGGCCCGTCCTGCCCCGCGGAGTCGATCTCCTCCACCAGGATCCGCACCGCGTTGTCCATGGACTGCAAGCAGCTCGTGTCCGAAAGGGTTGCCAACCTCGGCACAAGGACTGGACAGAGTTTGGCAACCCTTTCATCGGCGCATCATGCAAGTTTTCCCTTCTTGCAGCAACACTGCTGACATCAGGGTCCGGCGCGCTCTGAGCCCAGCTTCGGCCAGCCGCCCCCTCCCTCCCCCTGTTTTGGGCAGAGTAACCGCCGCACCGCGCTTGACGCCGTGGTCCTGGGCCTGCCGCCGCTGCCCTGGCTGGCCTGCTCGATGACGTCGGTGATGTCGGCCACGTCTCCGGAGTCAGGGATCCCCACGGGAGGCATGGCGTTGGCGGCGTTCACGGCGGCGGCTCAATCCTTTCTCGTCGCCGGCCCGTCTAGCACTGAGCGGCGTCTAGCCCCGCGGCCGCCGCGTCGGCTTCCAGTATCGTCCGATTCCGAAAGTCGTTTTCGTCGCTCTGTCTCTATCGCACCCATACGGGCCGCCCCGTGAGTGCGAGAGAGACAGAGCGACGGAAACGACTCTCGGAATCGGTCTGCTGGAGGGTGGCGTCGTCACGCCACTGGCATGGCGACGACGCGGCGAGGAGGAGTCCGCGACACGCGGCAATGGCGAGAAGCTCTTCAGGGAGAATCCGTCAATCAGGTGAATTGGAAGGGAACGAAACATTAAGAGCAGCTTGGGAAAGGCTAGCTCTCTCAATGTAGAGGAGGGGGCTCCAATTTCCCGAACCCCATTTTTTCCCGTTGGTTTGGGGGCACTGAGTGAATTTATTTGTTTACAAGAGAAGTCTTACATCGATATTGCATCATTTTATTGAACTGGTAGTTGTGACACGCTGTCCTAGACAGCCTGTCGAAAAACAGCCCCTCAGCCCCACACACACACTCACACGCGCGCGCACACTGATACAAACACACACACAGACACACACACAGACACACACACTGACACACACACTGACACACACCATGGATCCATGCACACAAAAACACACATGCACACACAAAGACACACACGAACGTGCACGGAACACACGGGAACGGGGGCTCTGTCTGATGAATGTTTGAGGGGCGATGGCGATGCCAGCGCGCATCTCCTTACATCGGGCAAAGAATCGAACGGGGTGCGTGGTTTATTAATTGTGTGAGCCGCGCTGACGTGGAGAGACAGAAAACGAGGGGGGGAAACAACAAAATAACAACCGAGAAACTGTAACAACGGCTTTCGGGGAACGCGACCGCGAGCTCAGCGTCGTTTGGGACTTCCCTCATGATTTATAGCAGCGGGTGGAAACTCCCTTAGCGCGGCTGGGACCATGTCTCGGGCGGCTCGCCACGGCCCGGTCGGCCGCCCGGCGCCCGAGAACGGGCTGCACTGGCCTCTATTATTGCTTAGAAATCAATTAAAAAATTTGACTTTTTGAAAAAGTGGCCATGCTAAGCCACAATTTAAGGACCAAGGAATCGTTTTCATTCATTGGATTTGACCAGCAGACATGTTATAACAATGAATTTCTCTCCGAAACTTTTTGGCGGCGACGCGCTATCCTGCGAGCTACGGCCATCCTACGCATAGCAAACTTAATCCGTTTCGTTCTCAGCAATCGTTCATTGCATTGCAAATCCGAGGACAGATTCGGAATCTGCGTGAAATTTCCTGTGGCGTAGGACGTATCGTTATATTTAAAACTCTCGAGATCAAGTGTAGTTATAATGAGAAAACTACGTTAAATTTGCCGGTTTTTCAAGGTCATTTTAGGTTATTTTCCCTCGGCGAGTAGGCGTGCCGGGCCCGGCATGTTATGACTCATGAATTTCTCATCTTGTCCGTCCTAGCCTCGCTGCAAGACTCGCCGGCACCGCCATCGCAATACGAATAACAATGTGTCTTTCCAAAACTAGGCAGGGCCGATGAACGGAAAAAGGGAGTCGGCAGTTAACCTCATCCAATTTGTTTACCTAAAATTTGGACGTCAGTATTGCGAAAAGTAGAGATTTATGACCCTCGTAAGTTTCTGTTTGGGATGAACTGGCAGTGAACCAAACTTGCCTTTCCTCGGTGGTCGTTTATTGTTGAATTGTCATTCTGACTCATGATGTAGAGGTGTTTCATTTTCAGTGAACTGTTAATTGGTCACCCTCTTGTATTCAAGCATTGCGTAGGCGTTTCCCGTTGATTTTAACAGAATGTTTCACTGAACTTCGGTTTCTGCTCTACTGTTGTGTCAGTTCTTTCCCTGCTCCTATGCCACTGAATTTGGTTAGGTTTCTTTCATTGTGTTGGAGAAGGTAGGAGAAGGGGGCAGGTTTATAATCAAAAGTGGTCTAGGGATGTGTTTGTTCCAACATTGTCTGGCACGCACACTGTTACACATAGAGTGTGCAGTGTTTATTTGTTGAAGCAGCAGTTCAGCAGTTCCCGATGATTTTCCTTGAATAAAACCAGAACTGGAAAATAAATTGTTTTTTGTTTTACTTCCATACCTTGAAGTATTTATGTTCATTTTTAAAACACAAATGACATGTTTTCTAAATTGATGCATTTATTTTGGTTGCTTATTAGTACAAGGACCGTTTCCTTGCCCATAATCTTAGCTGTTTGATTTATGAGTGTGTTACTTATTTAATTCCAGTTTAGAGTTTTCTTAATTTTTCTGCATGAATCTGGTTTGCTCTTTAATTAAAAGCATGATAGCTGGATGTTTTATTTTTGTTTTCTGTACTTGTTTGTTTTTATAATAGGGTTGCTCGGGTCTTGGCCGCATCCTATAGTGTAAGTGCAGTTAACACAAGATGCCGACTCAACTGGTTCCGGAGATGGATGTACCTGAGATTCGTGTGAAAACAGTCTTCAATGGGTATGATATCAGTAATCAGTGAAACACGTGGCTGCCTGCAAACAGACTGCATGTGATAGTGATCGTATGCAAAGCTTGTTTAAATTATTATTATTTTGCATGGTGCATGCTTATGTTTTTTCACTACATACACATTTTATAAACACACCTACAAGACACAAATTTATTGTTTAAAGCAGATACCAAAACCCTTCCCACACTTGCCTACATCATATAAATCAATTTGGAATAATGACGAAAAAAATTTGTCATACGTAAGTTTAAATCACTGAAAGAATTTATGATGAAATTCAACCTACACCTGTCCAGTGCACCACCGCACACACATCACCGTGTTCCTCACTTTATTTTTGTTAATTTTTTTTCTATTTTTTTTGCGGTGGCTGTTGGACAGTGCAGTCGCCATAACGAGGCATGTGTTTTTAGGGAGGTGATGATCACCTACATCGACCCCAATGTGACGCTGGAGCAGCTGCAGCGCGAGATGCGTGAGATTTGCCACTTCCCGTCGGACCAGGTTTTCACCATGAAGTGGGTGGACGAGGAGGGCGACCCCTGCACCATCACCACTCAGATGGAGCTGCGAGAGGCCATCAGGCTCTACGAGCTCAACAAGGACTCGGAGCTGACCGTGCACGGTAAGGACCGGAAACGAATCGGCCGCACTCCTTGTCGCGCTGTCTCTCTCGCACTCGTGGGGCGCCCCGCCGGACTGCGGCCCTCGGGAGAGACAGAGCGACGGAAGCACTGTGGTGAGGGTGTATTCTCCATGACCGCTGGCTCCGCTGGCCACTCGGGGCCTGCCCTCTCAATTCCGCCACTCGAAACTTTTCTCTGCGGCTTACACGCACAGGCCCCGGCCGCCCCGCTCGAGGGTGCCACTCTGGCACTCTGCCGTGCGGACCGTATGAACGGAGTTAGTCTATTGAATTAGTTTGAGTCCCTCTCCGACGAAACCACACCCAGCGGTCCCTTCTTTTCATCCCGAATGTTCGGTGGGCTTAGCGGGCGGGGCGGGGCGGGCGCGGATCAGAGCCAATGACGTCACCGCCGAGGGCTCCGGAAAGGGGGAGGGGGAGGGAGTCCACCCTCCACTCCCCGCAGGACCCGCAGGACCTTCCAGCGCGGCCCCTTTTCCGACACTTTCTCTCTCGTGGACGTTTCGAATTTCCCCATGACGCCCCCAGCCCACGCCCCAGCCCCTGTGTGTGTGCCCGGTGTGTCGGTTGGCTGTGGCTGTGGCCGCTCCACTCCGGTCCGGGCTTTTCGGATCCTTTGGGGTCTGCTCGGCGGGGCGCGGCGGGGCACGGCGCGCGGTAGATCCAGGCGCCCCCGGCCTCTCGCCAGAGCTCCCTTCCAGTCTTCCAGCATTCCAACCTTCCAGCCTTCCGGCAAACTGATTCCGAGAGTCGTTCTCGCCGCTCTGTCTTTGTCGCATTCGGGGCGTAGCCATATGGGCGCGAGAGAGACAGAGCGACGAAAACGACTCTCGGAATCAGTCTGCAGCCTTCCAAGTCTTCCAGGCGAGCCCAGAGGGGCTCGGCCTAGCCCGGCCGGGAGGGGCACTCGCCCGGAGGAAGAGCAGGGCTCCGTGCTCCGGCTGCTCTGCTGCTCCGCTGCTCCGGCCAGCGCGCCTCCGTGGCGCCAGCGAATGGTGCAGCGCGAGTCCGCAGGGTGTGGCGCGGGGCGGGGCGGCGGGGGCGGGGCGGGCGGGGCGGACTGACCCGACCCGGTGCCCTTGCAGGCCGCACCGTCCCGTGATGATAATGATGGTGCGAAGCAAAGTACCCGTTCCCCCCGCCGCCGCGCCGCCCCCTCGCGGGCTGGCGAGGGCTGGCCCTTGGAGCCCCCTCCCCCTCACCTCGCGCGAAGGCCCGGGCAGGGCTGGGCAGGGCTCGGTGGGACTGCACCCCTTACCCCTTCCCGGCCCCGGGCGGCAGGGCACGGCAGGGCCTCTGCGTCTGCGCAGGGCGCCGCCAGTCGCAGCGAGGGGCGGGGAGGGGAGGGGGACCGTTTGTGGGACGGGGGCGGGGCGCGGGCGCGATGTGGGACTCCGACTCCAGTGCAGCCGCGCCTCTTGACCGAGTCGCACCGCGCTCCAGGCCGCGCTCCAGGCCGCGCTCGGTACAGCTGCGGCACGGCACTGCTGCGGTAGGCGCGGGCGGCGTCGGTGACGTTGGTGCCAGGTCGTTGGGGCGTGGGCCAGGCAGGCAGGCAGGCCGGCAGCCAGGCCATGGCGTGGGGCTACTGGAGTGCCACGTCGGTGCAGCCGGACCGGCGGTCACCGCGGCGCGGGACCACCGTCGCCCAGCAGCTGCCCGTCGCGGCGGCGCCGACGCCCACGCTGCACCAGGCGCAGACCGCGCCGCAAGGCGGCCAGACCGTGCCGCAGGGCCCGCAGGGGCCGCACGCCTGCTCGTCGTCGTCCTCGTCGTCGGCCGAGGGGCCGCTGGCAGGCATGGCGGCGGCGGCGGTCACGCCCTCAGGGGCCGAGCCCATCCGGGCGGCGCGGCGGCCGTCGCTGGACCTGTACGGCAGCCACATGGACCCCCTCGGCAGCATGCCCATGGAGCGCGCGGGGGGGTTGCCGCTGTGCTCCAGCGCGCCGCACGCGCACCAGATGCAGGGCGTGCCGCACTACCGCAACGTGCCCTGGGCCTCCACCACGGCCGTGCACCTGGACGACGGCCACGACGAGGAGCTCGTCATCAACCACTCGTACTGCCCGCGCCTCGACCACCGGCACCCCCAGGGCCACGGCCACGGCCCCGGACTCGGGCCCGGCCACGGCCACAGCCACAGTCACCTGCACGGACTGCTGGGCGGGCCGACGCACGGCCCGGGCCACGGCAGCGCGCACGGCCCCGGACAAGGCCCCGGCCACGGCCACCACCATCACCACCACAGCCACACGCCCACGCGCTACCAGGCGCAGGTGCAGTACCACCGCGCCGACCTGGACATCTCGGACGACGAGGAGGAGCCGGGCTACGCCTCGGGTAAGTCGCCGCCTTGGCCGCCTTGGTCGCCGCCGTGGCTGCGAGATGAGTCGTAGCCTGGCAGCGCGGAGCAGCAGAGCGGCGCCTCACTGACACACAGCGTGCCGCGGCCTCCCCGCCCCGCCGCCCCGCCCACCAGCCAGCCGCCCGCCCGTCGGGCCACCCCCGGCCCGCCCCCGGCCCGCCCCCCGGGCCCGCCCCCGGCCCGCCCCCGGGCCACCTCGGCACAGCCTCCACTAGCCTCACCAGGCAGCCTCAGGCCTTAGGCTCGGCCCCAGAAGCACGTGGATTCCCCTCCTCTCCCCTCTCTGATCCCAGCCGCCTCTCGCAAACTCCCATCTTCCAGCCGCGATCCCTTGGCCTTCCGAGCCCCCCCCCCTTCCGCCGCGCGAATTCCCGGCATTCCGCCATCCTCCCCTCCGACTGGCACTCGATGACGTCATTGGCGCGGTGTTTCTATTATTGATCAATCACAGCCCTCAGGCGTGCATGCCAATCGCGACGATGCAGACACTTTCAGACAGTGGGGCGGAGATGCACAGACAGATAGGCATTGGGGGGGGGGGCGTTCGAAAAGGTCCGGAAGCCTTCCCTGGATGAGGCGGGGCGGGGCCGCAGGGAGCAGGGCGCTCCCTGCAGACGCACGCCTCTGTCGGTGACAGGTGTTCTCAAGCAGGCGCCCCCAGCGCGGTGCTGCGCGGTGCCGCGCGCCAGCACACTGTTCCGAGAGTGGGATAGAGACAGACACAGAGACAGGGCCGCGCGCGGCTTGCCGGGCTCGGGCACGCCTACAAGTGCATGACAGCAGTTGGGACGGGCGGTGTCAGTGAGCTGGCGTTAGCGGGCGTTAGCCTGGCCCCGCCAGGGATTACCCGTGCCGCCTGCTCGCTCGGAGACACTGTCGCACTGCCACACCCGCACTGTCACTCCGACACTGTCACACCCACACTGACATACTGTCATACTGTCACGCCAACGGGGGCAGACACTTCAAGGGATCGTGCACAGACTGCGATGTGCTGGAATTTTGCCACGTTGGACCTCAAAGTAGTTTGGCGTAATACGAAGCTTGCAGTGTATTACGTCAGTGTTTACCCCCTTGTATCTATGTCACACTGACGTAGTCGTGCTGTTACGTTGTCACACTGTCAACAGTCGCACAATCATCCTGTCACACTGTCGGAGTCATTTGGCTACAGTCGCACATTTCGAGTGCAGTACACGTGGGCAATATGCCGGCCGGGGGGCGCTGCTGTCGCCGGAGGCTTTTCGGCGCGCTGTCTCTCTCGCACTCGAGTGGCGTTCCGCAGCGGTGCGAGAGAGACAGCAACAAAACGCGGCAAAAACAAAAACAAAAAAGGCGCTCGGCGGGAAAACGCGAACGGCTGACGGGCTGTGCGGCGCGGCGGTTTGGGGCTGGGGCGCTGCGGCGGCCGCCTCGAACGTCGTGACACAATATTGACAGGCGTGCTCCCTGCCCCGCCCCGCCCCGCCCCGCCCCGCCCCGCCCCGCCCCGCCCGGCTCTTTGCCACGGTCTCGGCCTGGTCGCGTGCAGTGCCCCGGCGTGGCGCAGTACTGCACTGGAAGGAGAAACTGGCCGACGACCACACTCGCAAAACCCTGCCAACCATTTCATCCCTTACAAGGAAAAGTAGCTTGCCATGTGACTAAGCATTTGAAGCGAACATAAGCCTAAAAGGAAAATGCTTTACAATTTACGAACTATTTCTTCGCGCAGGCCGAAACAAAAGACAGAGCTGCTGTGCACGCCGCCCGTGAACCGAAATAACATTCGAGATCTCGAAGCGGCATCCCCCAACGTCCGAGCGTGAAACTTTGCCCTTATTCCAAGTTTATCTGTCATCCCATCGTCCCCTGTGACGCTTTGCGGACGCTTGTGACACTTTGAAATGGGACCAGTGGGTTGACTTTCCGACCAGGACGCGGCTCGACGCACACCCCTGCGCTCGCGTCGCCTACCTCCCAGGCGCCCCCCCACGCCCCGCCACGCCACGCCCCGCCCCGCCACGCCACGCAACACCCCGCCCCGCCACGCCCCGCCACGCCACGCCACGCCACACCCCGCCACGCCCCGCCCCACCCCGCCCGCCCCGCCACGCCACGCCCCAGCCACTCGGTCCAGTCCCCGTGGCCATCCTCTCGTTCCTGGACCTGGGCGCACCGGGACGGCGTGGCCCAAGGCAGCCCAAGGCAGCCCGGGGAGACCCAAGTGAAATGGACAAGTAATCGTGTTTGGATCCTGCGAGGCCCCGGACTGGCCTGCGACTCGGTGGGACTCGATTTCTGTAATTTCCCGTCGGTGCGGCTATGCCTCTGGTACGGCCCCTCCGTCTGTCTGTCTGTCTGTCTGTCTGCCTGCGAGTATGTCTCTCTCTGTCCGTCTGCCTGCTCGTCTGTTTGCCCGCCCGTCGCGGGCCATGGCTGGCTCGCTGGCGCGCTGGGCGGGGCCATGGGTGGCACTGCTGCAATCGTCCCCGTTCGGCTCGCCCATGTGACCGGGGGACTGGGGGACCGGGGCCCGGCCAGGCCCGTGGTCAGCCGACCGAGGACGAGTCTCACTGCCGCAGCATACCGGATGGAACGCAGACAACGCGGGCCCGGTCAAGGCCGTCGTGGG